CATATGTTTGCGTACGTTTAGCTCGGTGTGTCTGCATATCAGGTGTGATGATAATTAAAATGGCCGATAAGAATCGCATCGCATTTCCTGTGATAAGTGTTTTATTGTTCCGCACCTTTTTAAAGAAGAAATAAAAATAATAATGAAACGTACAAAACTGGGAGAATACTGCGAACGAAAAGGAAATTGCCTGTCGCACCAACATTTTCACACCTTTCATAATTTAAATACTCTCATATATAAGCATGAGATCACTTCAGGCATAAAATCTCAATTATTTATTAAATAATATTAATAGAATTAGAAATATTTAAACAAACAATTTATTGTTTAACTATTGTAATCAGTACATTGTTTTACAAACTTTGTAAGAAGTTTTTTGTATTAATGTTTTCAAGACTAACAAAATCGCACAATTGCAAAGCGTTAGTAAAAAGTTTTAGTAAATGTATATTATAAAAATAGAATTGTTCTATTATGTATATGTTATTAAAGTAAAACGAATAAATCTCGTATAGTAAAAGGTATCAAATAACAAATTTCCTGACTAATATAAACGTTGTACGAGATGTATTCAGATAAAACGCACGAGAGAAAATACATTATTTTTTTTTATATCAAGAATTATTACATCTCAGATCACAATAAAATTCCGTACAAGGAATAAAACAAAAACGTGTACAAATTAATTATCTTTTTCTTGGAGCGGAATTCAATGAATTTCTTTTATGATACGTCGATAAATTTCATCCGTGTCTCTATTAAAATAAATATACTGAATAATTTTCAAAATATCAATTTGTTATATTATATTGATAATCTATGAGTTGCCGAATAGTTTTGTCGCTTTTTGTCATCTAGTAGTAACGTGAAAGTTGTTTTGAATTTCAGGTTGTTCGACTTTCAAGTTAAATTTCCCCAAATTGTAATCGTTTCTAAATTCCCCAAAATAACAATTCAATTAATACTCAAATATTTTTGTAGGAAAGAAAGGGACGAAAGGACGTATCTTTTGATTTTTTTTTCATGTAATTTTTCGTGATGATGTATATTAGAAAGGAGCCAAGTGGCATTTTATTAATTATGCAAATCGGGCGTAGGAAATTTGAATATGTTAATCGCAATCAACATTAATGCGTGTTCCTGTTGCTCGGTTACATCTTCGGAGCGGAGAAACTCAATAATAAATTATGCAAATGGACATTTATTTATTTTTCTTCTTCTTCGGGTCTCCAGAGGGCACCAATTGGGCGGAAGGGGGTTCGCAACGTGCATTTGTGTGTGTGTGTTTGTGTCGGTAATTAAATGGCGAAAGGGAATAGTTTTCTTGATTGTGGTGTTATTTGTGTGGAGCGCCGTTAAGAAACAGATGGACTTAATTAGAAAATCCTCAGGTAATTGAAAGAGGGTAAGAAAAATATTGGATGTGTATGCGGCGAGGATCGTATAAAGAATATTATTTATTGGCGGGGAAACACAATGAGGGCCCCAAAGGGGCCGAACCCCTGCATATTTATACGGTAATTAGGCCATGTAGACGATAGTCATTAACATTGAGCATCTTCATAACTCACATTTATTCACGTTTTACCGCTTTCCTTTCGTTTAATACAAATAACGATATTCCTCTGTCGGTCGGCAACAACAGAAACCTTCGTCCCTCCATCCTTCCTCTCTACCATTCGGTGAGAGAGAAGAGAGGAGGTGAGGTCCTCCGACACCCCGTGCACTCGGGGCGATTCCCGAAACCTGCACTTTAACAATTATCTAGAAGTCCGATGTGTGTAATTTGTAATTTCGCAGCCGCAACCACAAATTATACAGCGCGCATACACACACTCACCCCACGATAATAACCGACTTTCCGTCGTCTTCTTTCCGAGCTCCCTTTTATCCGAATCAACAAAAGACCAGCAAATACCATCTCGGATCGAGATGACACCTGTCCTATCAGTGACTCTTCGAAATGGCTCTAAAACGATTCAGCACCTCTAAATCTACAATTATCAAGTGTAGATAGATTTAAAATTGGAGTTTTTCCCTTGAACAACTTTGAAACTCAAACCAATAAATTGAGAAAAAGAAAACAGTTTTTAACTATTTAAGGAATTCTTGACCCAACAAACAGACAACTACGTCAACTGAATCAACATCGGATGGTATGGACTATCAAGATTCATCGTTTGACATACCAACCAAATTAAAAGATAATTCCTCTTGCCTGGACATTTCCTAGAAAATTATAATAATGTCCCACTAGACATGTTAAACTGTTATAATTTTTACTAAATCAAAAGTTTTTCTTTCTGTAACAGTTTCGTCTTATAAATTTAATTGGAGATCATCTTAATGAAGAACAATTCTCAACTAGTAGCTGAGATTTGCCCAATTTAAATTAACCGATTATTATTTGTTAATTCCCTATAACCCAGTCTAAGTTTGAATTCACATACTATAATTATTGTTTTATTTCACCTCTAACCTGGATTATACATCTCCTGAGGAACCAATAGTATCCTAGTTGTTATTAACTCTAACTTATGATATCAAACTAAATACTTTTGTCGGAGTTTTTCAAAATATAGAGGTTATAAAAATCATCTACAATTGTAGTTTATCTCAATAATTTCTTATTTGTTTCAATTTAAACAATCATTTCAATAATATTTTCATATGGCATAGCCAATTTTTACAAAAAAAATTGAAAACTATATTTATTATAACAGAATCTTTTAATTACTGAATTCATTATTAATTTATAATTAGAAATTTGATAAATTGATTTTGTAAATTTTACTTATTTTATTATTTTGTAAAATGTTTTTATATTCAGAATTATTGAAATCTAGAGTTTTGCTCAAATTTGTTCAAGTTTAATTTATACAATTGCTTTTAGTTCAATAATATTAGACGACTATAATATTAGAATAATATTCAACTATATTATTATATATAATGACATATTTTGTTATTTTAGGAAGAACTATTATTGATTAATTAAAATTAATTATATTATGTATTATATAAATTAAAATACTTGCTTTACAATAATTAGGTATAAATTCAATTTACATTTAAACAATTTAAAGTTTCTTGGAATAAATTGCGTTCGAAATTTGTATTAGGTCATACTATAAAATCTAAAAAAAAATATGATTCAATGTTTTTTTTTTTATAAAATTCATAAATATTGTTTGTTCTTCTGACTGTCTGTTCTTCACTCTAACTGTCTGATGTACGCCATATCTGGTTTTCTGTATCTGCAGTTTATTGTTCTCCATGACTGCACATCTCACAGAAGTTGGTTATCCTTATTTTTTTCTTGACGTGTCACCGTGACTCCGTGGTATCGTCAAAGCCGGAGCAATTAGAAAACAAAAAACATGTGCGTTTCAGCTTTTCCAACAAAGCGGTGCGGTCCGGATTTCGCCATTGTATTCATAATTGACTTAATTACTTAATGAGCGTGAAATGTTGCTAATCATTCCGCGCACCGTCTCTTTATTATGATTATCGTTATTATTATTATTATTTCTTCATACAATTTGTTTCTTTTGATTCCCGGTGCAGCGAAGGTTAGAAGGATGTGTGTCGGCATTTCTGTGCCGATGCGTTTGTGTGCGTTTAGAGACAAGTTAATGATAGGCTTGGTCGTAAAGTACCGTCTGCAAAGCATATCGTTTTATGCACTTATGGAGTTATTGTTAATCGTGATGGGTCCCGATGGGGCGTAAATGGGGGCCTCCGCTTGTGTTGTCTGTTAGAACCCCTCTGATAATTACTGACAGCAGATGACGAATCCACAGGTGCAACTACATCCAGACGCGCACACTCTGTACTGTGTGTGTGTGCGAGTGTGTGCATAGTGCACATTAAACTTCTTCCTTTTCGCAATTAATTATCCGAATAATTAATGGTGCCGGGCGTTAAGATTACACGGAACCCATCGTTGTTCGCGTTCATTTGTATTGCGTCACATCGTGCATACGCAACTGTACATATGCGCGCACATTCCATGTATATCCAAGAACAATTCTACCCTAAATTACGAAATTAATTTTAGGATATTTTGTGTCTTTAATTAAGCATTTCTATCATTCGTAGAATTTAACATAAACGTTCAACTTCCCACATCCTTAGAGATCCTGCCAGTGGATAACAAACCTAGAATAACTAAGGCACTTATCAAATTATTACACAACAGCAAAACCCACAGCTACCGTCTAAAATGCATCTTTATATATTATATAATAATTGACCTGTTCGAAGTTCCACTTGTCATCGGAGTCCAATGTTGTTATATAACCATTCAATAAGTACAAGCTGACATAATTGAGTCGATATAAAAGTCACCAGGAAGAAGTAAGAAGAAGCATTACTACATTAATTCCAATAGGATTCAAGTTCGTTCCCATTAAATTTTGAACAGGTAGACAAAATATGAGCGAAACAAAAATTACGTACAAAAATGTGTTAATATGAGATTTCATCAGGTTTTTTTCATTGCATTTCCACTAAATCAATTATTATTACCCAAATATGAATATGAAGCAAAATTTAAATAAAACAAGAAAATTAACATTTAAATGCAATTAATTACTTAATAAATACTTTAAAGTTTAGAAATAATACATCTTTTCTATTATGTAAATTGTAATTATTTAAACATATTTCTGCAGATCATTACTTTCCAATTGTTATTAAATGTTTTGCATAATTCTAAACTGTTTAATAATATTCTTAATTCATTTAATAAAAGTTGTGTACTATTTAAATTTAAATGCTTGATTCAATACCGATGGCGACATCTTGAAGTAGATAGTGAAACAATTTCAATAATATAACTTGTGAATTCTTCAATTTATAAACCACTAATAAATTAGTTATAATATTAGGGAATTTCATATAATTATATATATATATATTATTTCTATAGAAGTATTAGTTTTAATTGTGAGATGTCAATTAGTAAATAAGTAAAAAAATAAACATAACCTAAATTGAATAACATGAAATAACATAACCCTGCTAATTTTTGAAATTGTGAACTTTGTTTTTATTGAAAGGATATTATCTATAATGGAAATGGATTCAAATACAGATTGCAGCATGCCAATATCCAATTTTGGTAATCTAACTAGACCAGATGGTTCAACAATATATAGCCAAGGTAAATACTTGTATGAAAACAAAACATTTTCCAATATAGTTGTATTTTCAGGTAAAAGCACTGTTATTGCTGGAGTGTATGGACCAATTGATGTTAAACCACAGAAAATGTTAATAGATAGGGGAAGTGTTGAAACTTTCTTTAGACCGAAAAGTGGTTTACCAGGTGTGTAGTTAAATCTAAAAATGAAATATGTTAATAATTTATGAAAATTCTGTTAGGTGTTGGAGACCGATTGTATGAGACAATAATAAGAAACATATGTGAAACAGCTTTAGTATCAACATTATATCCTAGGTCTGGAATACAAGTAGTAATTCAAGAAATGCAAAGTGGAGGTGAACTGATCTCATGTTCTGTAAATGCTGCTTGCTTAGCATTGCTAGACTCTGGCATTGATATGAAGTTCTTAATTGCTGCTGCTACATGTTGCTTGGATCAAGAAGGTTATTTAATTGTAGATCCAACTGAACTGCAACAAGAAAAAGCCAAAGCTACATTTGTGTTTGTTTTTGAGAGTTCAGAAGGGAGAATCGTTGCATCTCACACAACAGGTACTTTCAAATTAGAACAATATGAGCAAGCGCTTGACCTCTGCAAGAAAGGAAGTGCAAAAATATTTGAATATTACAGGAAAGTAATTAATGGGAAATACAATAAGAAATAAATACTTTTTTTTGTATCAACAACTATTTCTTTGTCTTTTCTTTTAAATCACCTAAAATGTGCGGGAGTTCTTTCAGTATTTCTTCCGCGCTTAAGCATGTATCCTTCTCAATCCAATGATCCTTTAGTTTATTTAAAACGTAACCCATCTCCTTGCCATTTGCAATTCCCTTCTCTTTTAGCATGGATCCGTTAACAGGAAACCTTGGAACGTCCCAATCTTCAAACTCTTTAATATGTTCACTGTTCAGATATTTCAAGAGCTCGATCACCCACAGCTTAGTTTTGTTATTTTTAGACAGCAACACCAATCTCTGATATGGCTTCAAAGGTTTCTCTTCTAATTTAGGCGAGCGATTTTGGACTAAAAATAACAGCAAGTCCCTTTCAAATGCAGAGAATTTCAATCGACCATGCAAAACCATGGCCTCTTCATCTGAATTAATCAATGAACTCAATAGTGTAATTGCATTCGTATCAACACCTTGTAAATGCTTCCAAACATTTAATAAATCTTCAGTGTTACAATCCTTTGGTAAACCTAGAAATATATTTTAAATATTTATATCTATCATGTATTTCTAATACTAACCTATATATGGTCCAATATTACACTCTATTATTTTAGTCATAATTTCACCTGCAAAATTTCCTTCTAATATTTTCTTCAGTTCCACCCATATCCTTTCCCCTGATATTCTTTCCAATCCATCTACATTATCTCTAATAGCTTTCAAAGTCTCCTCTTCATGTTTATTTGATTCTTCAGCTATTCTACCATAAAATCTAAAATACCTTAATATTCTGAGGTAATCTTCTTGAATTCTCTGTGAGGCTTCTCCAACAAAAGCTATTCTCTTATTCTGGAGATCATCAAAACCATAGAAATAATCATACACTGTTCCATCAAATCCCAAAAACATTGAATTTATTGTTAAATCTCTCCTATTTGCATCCAGAAACCAATCAGTGGTGTATTGTACTTCTGCATGTCTACCATCTGTTACTACATCAATTCTCAAAGTTGTAACTTCAAAATTTTCCTTATCATTGATCCTTGGTGTAATAGTCCCATGTTTTTCACCATTCATATTAATCATTCTAATGTTCTCTTCAGTGAACATTGTCTTCATTTGATCTGGTGTGGCTGTTGTGGCAAAATCCAAGTCCTTAGGCTGCTTCCCCAACAACAGATCCCTGACTGCACCCCCAGCAATCCTAATCTCATAACCATACTGTTTGAATATTGAAGATAAACTGTTCAGTTCTTCAGTAAATATTGATGTGAATTCAGTAGTATTCAACACCTTTATGACAGGGTCTTTCCTATATTTTGGAGCCATCTCTTTGCACCTTACAAGTCTCTCTTTGGGACTCAGATCTGCAAGCTGTTAAATGCATACCAATAGGATTTATTCACACAAACGTTATTGCTCACTTACGTTCGAAAAATTGCGTATATTATTTGTAAATCTGTATTTGATTAAACGACATAGGATCATTATTTATATATCACAAATTCAAGAAAATTCAATTAATTAACCTACAAAAACGTATGCAATTTCCCTACTAGACAAACCGCAAGAGGGCAGAAGTTGTCTCCAAATCTTATAGGGATTCAAATTAATCTTTTTATTGTTAACTAATATTTAAATCAAATTACATTCAAATAAGAATAAGTCAATTAATTATCGTCTTCGAATCCAATCATTTTAATGAATTTCATTTTTTTTAATATCGTAAATATATTATCTATGATAGCTTGATATAGATTTTATTGAGTTTTGTCAAACATATTAGTGTCTTAAATGATATGTTTATAATTCCACAGAATGATATAGACAACAGTTTCGAACAGAAAGTGTCGCAACTCACGCATTTAAAATCTACTGTGCGCGATATCCGCAGTACATCTTGCGACGATGTAGGTGTTATAACGTTGTTCAACAGCCCGAGCTTGGCCATCCTCTTCGTGATAGTTTGCCTGGTCTTAATGTTATTGATGCTGGGTATAATGAAGGGACTTTTGGGTCTGTACTGCTGTCCCCCGATCGGTATGTGCGGTTTGGGGGCGCTAATTGATCTCCCGAGACCACTGCCTTATTACCAAGAGCCAGAACTCATAGATTATCCTGTAAATTACGACATAATAGGATGGCCCGTACACCCACAAACAGGGAAGAGGACCGTGAGGGCTATCTCGCTGTAAGTCGAAGTTGGCTCACGACTCACAGCAAAATATCTGACAAAATCGATTATTTGTTTTAGACGTACGGAATTTTGTTTGAATGTGATCTTCTTCCTGACGTATCCGGTGATAATGGTGATCAGCATTTTATCGCTGTGCTGTTTTCAGAGAGTCTACGATACAGCAGATTCCGAAAAGGAATACGAAGACACGCACACGATCATGCTAACCGATTGTCCGTCAGTGGTGTCCAAGAAAAAGAAGTCGAACCGATATAATGACGAGAAATTAGAGGAAGAGGACACGGAGTACGTCATCAACCAAATGAAGAAGAGCGAACAATCGTTACTGGGTAGATGAATATAGCAAGAGAATTAAAAACATAAATAAATATTTTTTTACTAAATCTGTATGATCTCACAAGTTGTATCTTTAGTACTAATATTGAGCCTGGCGTAAGTTCCTCCCGACATACCCTTGACCAGTTTTTCTGGATTAACAACCGTGCATCCATTAACATTCTGAAATTAATGAGTTAGTATAATCTTATAAATAAAGCGAAAAGTTACCTTAATGAAATGTTTAAAGCACGAAGGTAATATCATTACGTGAGGTACTTTCTCGAACATTCCGAATCTCTCCAATAATTCATGATCAACGGACATTGTTTTATCCGGTGGATACAATGGATAAAAGTGCTGTTGGCTCAGGACGTGTCGGCAGATACGTGACATGCGATCACTAAGCCCAGAAGGCCTAAGAAGAGGTGCAAATTAATTAGCGTAAATAGATTACAACAGTTGCACTGTTTAAATAAATCCCAGCAAAAACTTACCAGCATAAATCTTGTTTAGCAATGTGAAAAACTATATCAGCTGTCGTAATTCCAACTAGAACTCCTTCAATATCCAAGACACATGGATCAGGTACACAGATCATATTTGAATATTGATGTTTCAATTCGAACGGCGGAGTTGGATAAACCACGTGATGAAAAACATCTTTATGGGAAGCTACGAAGACTACAGTCGTCTTTGTGCTGAAAGACATTCGTCAGTTCTCTATATATTCACGCTTCATTACAATCAATTCTTACCCAGCTAAAGGCAGCATAATACTTTCAACTAAAGAATTGAAAAATTTTTCATAGTCCTCAGTAAAGCCATTCGCTATCAAGTCATGATCAACATCCATGAAAGGTCCGGTAAGGATCAACACGTGTGGTAGTTTCTCCAACACCACTTTCAGCAGATCTTGCAAAGGTTCATAAAGCAAGTTGTTATTCAAGGTATACGGCCCACAGGCGGTCATTATTTGCAAGTTCTCTTTAAGAACTGGCTTCTGTCTAGGAATTTCGTCAACACCGGGATAAATCTTAGCAACGTTAATCTGTCCGCGAACTATCAAACCCTCCGTGACAACTATTTGTCCAGGGTACAAAGAATATGAAGGCATTTGAGTCAGATTCATGGGTATCGCGTCCCCTGGAGAAAACGAGCCCCTCGGTAACTCTAGCATCACAGAAGCTTTGTTCAATTTCCCTTCGCTATCACAGATAATTCTACCGTATAGAAACTCGTCCTATTGTAAAGATTTGTTTTAACAATTAATTAAACGGAATTTGATTGACATTTGAAAGACTTACACCTTGCCCATCGCGAATATACCTTTCCGGCATCTGCAGATTATGCTGCTTGAAGATGCAATTTGCTACCGATGTCGTTATACTCGCTAAACTCGTTACTTTCCGTCCCATTGATTCGTACATGTATCTGACATCCGATGTTAATAATTCACCGCTATCACTGTGCTGCTTAACAGCAACAGCCTGCATACAACATACATAATTTTTGTTAGTTCCATGTGACAAAATAACTTTTCCTGCATGTTCTCTTGAAGAATATTGTATAGCCTGAGAACTAAGATATTGTATTTAATAAAAACAATACATATATTGTTTCTTCAGTGACTTACACACTTGGACTCAATGAAATTTCATCACTCAGGATTGGTATTTTATTGACTGCCTACAAAACAAAAGAGATTGCAAAATAATCAAACAATATTTAGTTTAATTCTACATTTTTATAGAAAATGCATATGATTCGTTAGAAATAAAACAAGAAATTAAAAATGTCATTATAAATAAAAAATAAATATAGTTATTATTAAATATTTTTTTATTGCTATAGGTTGTACAATAATAATAATATTTTGTATATTGATGATATATTCTGGACTTATATAGACGAGTAAGGATCTAGTCACGGTGGCAAATTAAAACTCGTGTACTAGACCATACCAATCTCTACAAGTGCAAATAAAATGTTCCAGAGCAGACAGAAGCTGAAGATGCTTTAAGCAATTGTTCTTTAATGAGTGTGGATCTAGTCACGAATATAATTAAAATAAAACGAGACACTAGACCCAAACCCACTGAAGACCAATAACTTGGCTAGAAGATCTGTGGAATGATACACACTAATACTTGGATGTTCACACAAGGGAAAACAAAAACAAGAGAGAAAGGTTGTTTACACCAATGCGCGGAAAATATGTAAACACACCGAACGATCAACAGGTGAAAATCGACGACGATAAGATAAGAAGTGCGCGTTTTTCCGACGCACTCACCAATACCGAACAAGTTGTAGATGAATATGGGAAAGCTATGGCGGTGGATGCGGCCGCCGTTCTTCTAAACCCAAGCGTCTTCCGATACGATTTCAACAAATGGCGGCCCAAGAATAAGACAGCCTTGAAAAGTTTCTGAGAAAACTTCCACAGGCCGGCACTGCGCAAACGACCTGTTGCGATCCCGCTCTCACCTTCAGCGTATCGCGGCCCTCTCTCTCTGACAAGCGCACCGCCCAAGAAACAAAGACGGCTTTGAAGAGTAAAAAAAATGGTGGTAAAACTTTTTAGAGTTTCCTCCATTTTTAAACGATTAATTAGCCGATAAACCGCCACAAGATTTAGTCTAATAAAATTATTGCAAATGGGCAAAGGGACAATACCTTCGGTGTACTCGGAGCGACACTCTGAGATGGTAATAATGGTAATGGATGGTGTAATATGTCGGTAGCTTTTTGCACGGGCTTCGACAACTCTCTCCTTTCGAAGGACTGCAGGGATTCAATACACGGTGCTGCACCTTTCAAATGGGTGATCGCAAAGGCGGCCCACATATCCACGAAATCCTCTTCGTTGATAGCATATTTGTTGCAGAGCGCTAAGCCTGCAGAATATAACAAAGCACATAACCTTTACAATCAAATTTACGAATTATCTGTACTTACATTTATTCAGCACGCTTTCGCTGGGTTTATGACCTAGAAATTCAAAATTCTCCAAGATATTCTTAATATCATAGGTCTGTAGAGCCATATCACCAACAATAACTTCTTTCAACTTTTTATAACGCCGAAAAACTAAACATACTTTACCGCCAAAAACAACTTCCTCGTTCTTATACGCTCTTGTAATAACTAACTTCATGTAAATGTGGGTTTTGGCAAGCCTGTTTATTACCTTCAATTTGAATTTTCTGTTGCTTTCAAGAGGTTATGTTTACATGTGTTAGAAGATGGAAGATGTTCTAGTCTGTATTCCCGGACAACGTTTATGTCTGTGCGATAAAAAGCACATTTCTGGACAAGGGACGTATGAGAGGCAAGGATATCTGTATTCCCAACTGGCAGGGTTAGTAAAGATCATTGAGAAAGAGGATGGAGTCCAATTGATAGAAGTGCATAGCACCCAAGACCAAGGTCTTGTACCACAGCAAGGAGATTTGGTCACAGTTCAAATCACAATTATCAATCAACAGTTTGCAAAATGTGCAATTAAATGTATTGGAGACACTGTTCTGAGTAGACCATATAGGGGCATCTTGAGGAAAGAAGATCTACGTGCCACAGAGAAAGACAAAATTGAGGTCTACAAGAGTGTGAGGCCAGGGGATATTGTTTTAGCTCGAGTTGTATCCTTTTTTCTTCTATTACAAACAATTTATGCATATTTTTAATTTGTTAAATTTCCTATATTTGATCAGTTACCAATTACAGAAGCACATACCTATCACTTAACAACTGCTGAAAACGAGTTGGGTGTTGTGACAGCACATAGTGAAGGAGGACACCAAATGGTACCCATCAGTTGGACAGAGATGCAATGCACAAAAACTTTAGTTAAGCAGCACAGAAAAGTTGCTAAAGTTCTGCCAGAAAAACCCAAACAAATTGTAACTTAAGAAAATAAATTAGGGATTAAAATATATGAAATTAGTTTCTTCAATCAAAAAAGTAGTTATACTGATACTTATATTTTACAATTAATCTATTCAAATAACACTTAAAACTCAATAATACAAATTATAAATATAATAAATACCTAAAATGAATGTATGTTTAGCAACTTTTTTTTCCTCTAAAAATTTTCAGATAAAACACGTTAATATATTAAAAAACCAAAAATCTGTCCAGCCAATAAAGATACAACAGGTTGAAAAGCATTTAAGTTATACAAAATAAAAATGTTCATAAAACATAGTTTACCTTACACATCAAATATTTTGTATTATAAATCAATTAAAAGGTAAAAGAAAATACTAATATATGGACTACTATTATATAACTTTGTATATTTAATTGTATTTTATTGCTGCACTAGTTTGTTTGTTTTCAGTTTGTATTATATAATGATTTATCAGTTTTTGTGTATTCGGTTTGTATATATATATATATATTATATACTATGTGTAAATTGAATTCTTTAATTTGCGTTTCAGTTACTTTTTTTAGTACAATTACATCAAAGAGAAATTTTACACCATTGACAGTAAAACACATGGGAGGTACCGATCTCTAGTACAAACATAATACATACATATTTGTATATGTATAAATATTTATGTAAATAATGGTTTCCTGCATTCCCGTTAAGATAATTATCTCGAGGGAGGATAAAATCCAAATCCAACGTATAACGGTAGAATTATAATAATAATGCGGGTGAAGTTTGGCACAACACGGGGCAAGCGGCGACGGAAGTGCGTGCACATGCTACACGTAGTGACAATCACCTAAATTCTAAGTACAATAATTAATTTACTTTTGTTCACATCCACGTCCTCTTCATCAAATCTCCATCAATAAATATTATATTCTAAAACATTACAATAGTTAACAGTAGTAATACACTTCCAATTTCAAATTAGAAATGCATCTTTCTTTCTCTATAGACTAATGTACATTACATCGATCGACTAGACTGTTTTCAAAATTAAACACTCTGACACACATCAACAACAACAAAACATTGTAACATATATAATCTTAATCTTCCATTTATAAAATTAAATTAATTAATAATAATACATTCATTCATCACACAATTAGTGTATAAGTATATATAAATATTTAGTTGTTTTTCTTTTGATATTTATATACATATACATTTTTTTTTTAATCTTTGGTAAGATTACAACCTAGAAATGAAAGCTATATTGCACGTAGTTAGTCTGTGAAGCGGCCTGGGTTAAAATCACGATTTACGAACGAAAATCCTTTGAACTCTTCCTGATTGATAGATCTCAATACTTCTGAATTTACGGGTGTGAGCACCGGCTCTTCTTTGGTAAATTCTGCATCGAAATTCAATGCATCTTTCTTGCTCTTCTATAAATAAAATATATTTAATAGTTAAGATTTTCCAAAGTTATATTATTAATTTAAATACTCACAATTTTTGGTTTGAATGGTGGACGCACTTTGCGTTGTTCCAAAGCGTTCCAATCCATTTCTCTGAAAAATGGATGCGCACGAATAGCTTGTTCGGTGCCGTGTGCTACAACACAACCCAGTCTCTTGCTGGGATTTTTAGTCATGAATCCTTTCAAAATGCTAACGGCATCCCTGCTCAACCAAACAGGATATAGTACGTCGTCATGTAAGATTGACTCGAAGAGATCATCTTCATTGTCGGCTTCGAACGGCGGTTGGCCAGCCATCATCTCATACATCAATACACCAAGTGCCCACCAATCAACAGATGCTCCGTACTCCAATTCTTGCAGAATCTCTGGAGCAATATAATCGGGTGTGCCGCAAAATGTGGTAGTCGTGGCGCCCTCTAAAATATCCTCCTTGCACATACCAAAGTCGGCCAGCTTGCAATGTCCTTCGGCATCCAATAATATATTATCCAATTTGAGATCACGATATACAACACCGTGTTTGTGTAAGAACTGGAGCGCGAGTGTGACCTCGGCCGCATAGAATCTAGCCCTTGGCTCGTCGAACTTCCGCGCTCTTTGAATTTGAAACATCAGATCGCCACCATTCACGTATTCCATAACAAAGAAAAGCCGATCGGACGTTTGGAAGCAAGAATGCAGAGCTGTCAGGAAGGGATGTTTAGCGGCCAGCGCTAGAATCCTTTTCTCCGTCATTGTGCAATCGACGTCATCATCCTGAATGATTACATCTTTCTTCAATACTTTTACTGCATACACTTCTTCGGTTTCCTTCTTCTCGGCGAGCATTACTTTACCGAAGCTACCCTTGCCTAACACTTTTATGAAATGGAAATCATTTAATCCTATCTTATCTACAATCAAAAGTAAACATAAGTATCCAACAAGGAGCATCAGCAAATATTGAGAACAGACCTTGAGAATCGCCGTTGTTGTGCAGCTTTTCTTCGACCATTTTTGCGAGATCTTGAAGCTCTGGATCGTCTCCAACTCCAATCTGAGATTCGGCTCCTCCTTCAGCCTGTCCGCCGTTTCCACCGGACGACACATACTTGCTACGTCTTGGCGTCTGCTTATCTGGAGAGACACCGATGGCATTTAAGATTTCAGCCATTTGCTTGGTGTTGATTCCACAATTGTTGGCCACATTCTTCTGGCAACGTTTGTGTACATTCAAGCTACAAACTTGACACTGCAAACCTTGCTTTATTAAGCCGTAAAGCAATGAACCGCAATGATCGCAGAATGTGAACCGTTTGTAATTGTGGACGACGAATCGATGTGGGATGTTCACATTGAAGCGAGTACTCTGAAAACTCGACTAAACGCAAAACAAAAGATGTTAATGTATTTCCATTTAATGCAAGGACGTATAAAAATGAAAGCACCTCATCCTTCATGCCAGGGCATTTAGTGACCACCAGAAGATGACATCTTTTATGGACCACGCAGGTGCACACTAGACAAAGAGACATTAGAACGTTAGTCACATGTTTTTGACAACGGTTCCCAGATGATACTTCTCTAAGAGAGAGAAAAAAAAAACAAAAATAAAAAGAAATACAACAAAATTAAAAATTCTTGATTATAACTATTTAATATTTTCGCGTAGTATCGTGAAAAATAACACTGCAAATGTTTGGTCTAAATAGATTATAAAGAACACATTGTTCTTGTTGCATGAAGCCGATAAATGATGTGTTAAAGGGCGTGTTCCGCGGATGACGATAGTTTGAGAAACTCGAGAGTATTATTGTTTTCTTGTTATTATTTTTGTTTGTTTTAATTTAGTATTTTTGTACAATGTAAATAGAAACTGTACAAGATTGTTTGCAATTAAAGAAGCTTGTGTTAATTGGAAATTGAGTGCAAAACAAATATAAAATTGAAAAGATATAAAATTAATAAATAAAAAATAAAAAGGCAGTAAACTTACAAACGTAAATAAAAAAGCATACGAGTCAGCCATGCTGGATTTATATGTATATGAATAGATTTTTATGTATTGCTGCAAATGAAAAATAATTAGACATATCCGTATTATTAATAAATAAATAAATAAATAGTACATAAGAGTAAAAATAAATAAATACAAGGGATTAATATAAACTTTGTTTTGAATATACATGTCAAGGCTGCAGCATGCAGAATAGAAAGAACACCACAACAATATCATGGTTTGAATTTCTTATGTAAAACCTATCAAGTTTATATTTTTTAGGGACTATGTAATAATTAGTTTAGGAAAAATAATTAAACAAAAGTATGTACAAGTTGTGCAGTCGTTACCTTGGCACTGATAGCCTTGTTTTCCCAGACCCCTGGAACAGAACCACTGTTTGTTAATTTTAATTCGCATTATTTTGATTTAAAATAAGAACACCATTAGGGTTGAAAGCAACAAATGATTTCAAATGAACATACTTGAATTCTCACAAAATTTTAACTGAATTTGATGAAAAGCTAATGTGGCAGCCAAATGTTTACTTTATGACCATTAATTATTACCCAATAATTATCATATGCTTACCATATGAATTCTTTACAATGGGAGCAGAATGTTGGCTGGCGCAAAAACGTAGCCATGAATTTGTGTCCATTAACTTGATGCACACGGCGTCGCATAGCACCGCGACGCCTGTTAAAGCCCTGACGTTCCTTGAACTCCCTTGGCTTAGCACCCTGAAACTCTATTATAACAACAATAACAAAAGAAAATATAAACAAACAATATATTGTTATTTTACCAATCATGTTTTTCAGTTCAATCTGAATGTGCAATCTGCCTTTAGGTTCAAGATTAACCCAAAAATCTAGCTCATCCTTCTTCTTGTTCACAACATCTTCAAATGGTATGCAGCAATTTGCAACAAAGTCATCCGGTGGTATAGCAGCATCATGGAACACTGTCAGTGTAAGGGTTTTGGCATTCTCCACCTGATGATCGAACTCCTCATTCCAAGTAGGATCAAAGGTCTTCTGTTTGGTAGTGGACCGAGCCACATGGGACTCATCCACGTCTATGGTAATATACGGGTCGATCAGCTGCTCCTCAGGTTTCCCAAACGTCATGTTATGACGCTTCTGGAAGTCGGTGGGTCTAAGCCCCGTCGCTTCGCAAAGCTTCAAGCGTAACGTGCCCGTAAACATCGTAGGAGCTGTTGGTTTCCCTTCTTCTTCTTCGACGAGTCACCAACTACATACCAAAAGGAAATCTCTCGGAACGGAAAACCCTCACGGTTCTTTTTCTTGCACTGCCCGAGATGACAGATATGGAAGATCGTTGGAGCAGCTCCTCCCAGAATACCTCGCGACCTCCACCACAGTCACAGTTACCACTCGAGTATCAGAAAGCACAGCTCCGATACATCTAAAACATTCGACACTTGCATTTCTACAGCCCGAACGCACCGCATCCACTCACCAGCCCCAATAATCACCAGCGAATTAAATCGATCTGTTGACCTACTAAAAATTGGTAACTTTAACCCAATCTGGCAACGCAAACATTCCTGCCAACCGTTCAATTTCCCCAAACATATAAGATGTTCATCTTTAGTAATTGCGCAATTTTCTTCTAATACGATGTTTTCTGTTGCGAAAAAGTTTCGCTACATACTTAATGATAATTTATAAATCTGTGTGTATTTGTAAACACGTTCAAATATTTTATTTTGGAAAATAATTTTACGTTGTTATCTTAAAATTATCTGATAATATGTAAACACTAACGCATTAAACAAATAAGCTATTTTGTTTACTCTTTTAAATATACAAGGTTATCCATTGAAAATAATATTATTTCTGCGTATGCAACTATACTAATTTCAACTGCAAACGACGCTTAATTTTTCAAATTGTTTTTGTTATTATTATTATTTCAAGTACAAATCGTATACAGCGACAGGTCCTGTTGGGCGCTGTTCAGTGGCATTCAGTGGTTCATTTCATTTAGTTGGTACATGATATATTATAGAATTGGATGGAATTATTGTCGACGCATGCCTTTTGAAGTAAACCGAACGGTATTCGGGGTATTCGTATTGGAACGACTAGGAGTCGAAAGAGTCTATATAAAATACGCACATATACACTGATATACACTGTAAAGAATCATAGAAAGGGGTATGTAATTAAGTGCGGGCAATAAATCAAAGCAATTGTTCGTGTGCAGCGGCAGTAGCTGTCTGCAGTTTGTCCGTTTCAGTGCCGGCATGTTGCGTTGTTACTTGCTCTTTCCGGGAAGATTCTACACTGTGTCTGTGACTCACTGAATATGAACAAAGTCATCTGTGCTGGATGATTCATCTGTGTGTTGTCTGTGGGAAAGTCACGGAATAAAGAAGGGTCGTATTCGTTCGGTTCTATTGACTCGTACCGAGAACAACCAATATGACTGATAAGTTGAGCAAAACAATGAGCGGGGCGGCGGCTTTCAATCCTCTGAAGCCGGTGCCCATGAAACTGTTTGCTACCTGGGAAGTAGACAGAACACCCTCTGATTGTATACCAAGGTAACATTCTATAGTCACAAAACCAGTTTAAAGTGCTGAATACCTACCACTGTTACTACTATTCTAGGTTGTGTTCATTAACACTGACAAGGCTTGTTGTAATCAGACCACTTGGCAATGATCTTGCTTCAATATCAATTGCAGTCAGGATGCAATCCCATAAGCGTATTCTCAGATCCAATGAACTGCTTTTGCCATCTAATGGACTATTGGATACATCACTTGAGCTAACTTTTAGTCTGCAATATCCACACTTTCTGAAGCGTGATGGCAATAGACTACACATTCTATTGCAGCGCCGCAAGAGATATAAAAATCGCACAATGCTGGGTTTCAAAACATTAGCTGAGGGTGTCATTCGCATGGATCAGGTTTTGCAGAAGCAAATGGACTTGGAATTGGAACTTCATGAGAATAGTAGCAAAGATAAAAGTGCTGGTCCTGTAGCTAAAATCAGTGTTTTGGGTGTGAGTTCCACACCAGTCGATGGTGATCACAAACCTGAAAGGGACAGAGATTACAGTGATGATGAAGATGAATTTAGTTCTGGGGAGGAAGAGGTTGCAGATCTATCAGATTCTGAGAATTTGAGACCAAAACTACCACACACCAGGCACAATTTAAAGCAAAGATTTGTGTCATTGTTAAGAAGATTTAGAGTGGCTGATACTGAAGGGGTTAGAGGAAATGAGCTTGCAAATACTACTGATATACATGCATTATTTCAGGTGAGCTTATGTTTAAAAGTTTATATTTCTTTACCAAGTTTTAAATATAAATAATCTAAAACTGATTCTAAATCAAAAACAATTTTTACCAAGATAATTATTTTAAAACTTAAAAAATCTTTCTTTTGGCTTAAAATACTTTTCACATGTTTTCACATTATGTGTGCTTTCCTATATTATATTAATTACTATTTATTTTTATGTTTGTGGAATGTTTGCTCTTGGCTTTCATTCAAGTTATACATAGAACAAAGTTGTACTTAACATATATTTTTTAAATACATATTCATGAATATTGAATAGCTTTTCATTTAATTTTATTCAATTGAATATGCATTGTATAAATGGTTATTGCTAATCTAATTTTTATGCAAATCGCGCAAGGGTTTACACTTGCATTTAGTATGTTATTGCTATGCACTTGTTTACTTGTATATGCAGTTTACTATATTTGTTTATTGTTAAAGCATATCTAAACGACGCATAAACATATTTGTTTTAACAAGCTGTTGCATATAATATATGCTGTCAATATGAATAAATTCTTTATATTTCTATAATATGTTGTTAGGAATTGGGTTCTTTGAGTTGCGATGAAGATTCTGGTGGTGAGCAGGATACGATGTCTATATCGAGCACACCGAAGCCCAGTTTAAGACCTTTCTTCAGTAGTAGCCGGAGTTTGTTAGATAGCAATGTGCATCCGGAAGTTCTTGATCGCGATGAGAAGAATTGTTCCGGCAGCGATGGAAATGCGGATCTTTGTGGGACTGACTACGAAGCTCATTCGGATCCTCAGACAGGTTCTCCACCAAGGGAAAAACATTTACCAAGACTTAAGAGTGATGTAGAAAATACTGTTGTCGCACCAGAATCAACAGAGAAGAAGACCAAGTTGTTCAGGACATCAGCATCCGCGGCTAAGAAGAAGCATTCTCTGAGTATAGGATCAGACACTGCACCAAGCACAACTCCAGAATCTGTTGTTGCTCGTAAGATGTTTCTGGAGCAAATCTCAAGGTTTCTTTCATTGGAAGAGCCCGGTTTGCCTGAACACGTCGTGCTAATTTCTGGTCCGGAACAGCAGACTAATGTCTTAGTATCGAGACTGTGCTCATTTCAAAGGATTTTCCAACCATGCTCGGCCACGGAAGTACGGTCGACATTAACTAATATATTCGCTAAACTGCACAAATACTGTAATAGCTACGCAAAACCTTCGACACCTATCAAATTGATCTTGGTTGGAGGAGATGCTTTGGTCGGCTGGGCTCTAAGACCATACGTGGATATGCTTTCCACCAAACCGCCTGATTGGATCAACTATATACGTATCTATGTGGCGCCTTTGGGTTCTTGCGCTGTTTCCAGATATTTAGCTAGTTTGGATGCCGGTTATGCAGCTCTATTCCCAAATGAACAGGACTTCAAAGAAGATCTTGCTTCAAGAATTCACCGATACGTTGCTGGAAACGGACCAGTCACCCAATTACCTTTAGCCGAAGCTATGCTTACATGTCAAGACGATTCAAGTCAACTCTTCATTCCATTTGTTAGTGAAGTCAGAGTTGGTCCTGCTGATACAGGAAATTCTCTATCAATGGATTTGGATGATGTCATGTGCTATAGTAATCAGCCTCCTCCTCCTTTAACTCCTCCATCATCACCAAATGTTCAGGTATACAAACAAATAACATAGTAATATTACAAATATGAAACGTGCCAAAAAATTTATTTTTTCAGGTAAGGGAATCTCCATGGGAGCCTCTAGAATTGCAGTTGGATTACTGGCAGATACCTGGATCTAGAGAAAAGTCAGACAAAGCGACGAAAACAGATGGGAAAACTTCCTTGAAGGGACTATTCAGAGCACTACAGGCGTCACCTGGATTATCTCTTTCAATCCATCTAGCCTCCAAGGAGAAGAAGCAGAAAATCATGAGACTAGGCAAGAAGAAAGATAAGGAAAATAACGAAGCCCGATCTCATTGCGTCGAATCAATATCCCGATTGATTTGTTCATCGAAAGGCTCGAACTCTGCACCCATGAGAGGTAAATCAATGAATATCTACTAATCTACGCAATTGTATACCATTGTATTTCTTTGCAGTATTAATCGACGGTTCAGAATGGACTGGTGTAAAGTTCTTCCAGTTGAGCAATACTTGGCAAACCCATGTGAAATATCTGAGCGTGGCAATGGCCGGTGTACCTTTGGCTAGCGCAGACCCATGAAATGGTTAAACAAATATTTGTTTATTTTTTTGTTTCTTTAATATCTAGTCAGCCCTAAATTAATATTTCACAAAGATATCTAAGTCTCGGAAAATTCAGCTATAGAGAAGAGAACAAATATCGAAAGATTATATATATATTACCGTACTCTTGTTTACAATGTGATATATCTATTAGAAAAATGTCCGCTTGAAAAAAAAAATATATATAAAAACAGTGGAGCGCCAATGATCATAAGACTGACATCCGAAATCCAACATAAAATGCCAAGACTTAATAAATTCATAAGCGGGCCCCCCGAATTAGATCATTCAATTATTATTTGTTTAGTGTTTCGTTTATATCTTTTATTTTATACTTCTACATTTTTAATTGATATTTTCGAAAGAGCTCTCGCACTGTGTACGTACGTGCTCGAGATTTTCTGTGATTTGATTTGATAGAGCAACTCGTTGTGGACGGTAAACACAATTAATTGGGACGTAAGAGTCTGAAGCTTCAATGTATAACTTAATCATGTAAAATCTATTTACATACTATGTACATATATAAATATTTTGAAATATTTATATATGCATTGGAGTTAAATTGAACACGAAAGATGTAAACCAGTATTGATTGTATATGTTGTTTGGAGAGACATGAGATTTGTATGAAATTGAAGCTATAATATATTATCTATGGATGTGAAACTGTAGATAGATGCAATATATAATATGACACACGTATCATGTCTTGATTTAGGACAAATAGACAATATATAAATGTATGTATTATACAAGTAGAATTATATAGTTTCTTTTTGCCATAACGAGATTTTTTTTATATACGGTTTTTAACGAGTGCTGCTTTTTCATTTGCTGAAAATGTTTCAAAACAGCAACTGAAAATGAGTTTCAGCTAATGCGGTTATTTTCATACGAATTTGTTTTGAGCAGTTCTTGATTTGTAATTTGCTATCAGCAGGGAACTACGTCGCAAACAGTTTTACTTTCTGTTTTGGGCAGCGAGCGTTACATATTTTTTATGTAATATTCTGTTCATGAATTATTATTATTATTAAATATTGTTGCCAATAGGAAGCTTGACGCTCAAAAACCATTTTTTGATAGTTATCATCTGTACTGTTTGAACTTTCAATTTGTAACTTGATCAATAATTTATTATTAGAAATATCATACATTCTTAGGTCTCGAGGTAAACTTTGAAGGAACCGAATTTCTTCGATTATTCTTCGTCATTTAACCACCACGGAATTTACAATCAACGATTTTTATATACTACATACAAAAAAAAATTCGTAAAACGCATTGAATATGCATTATTCATGACTCGTTAGAATCAAAATTAAGAACAGCAGCAAATGTTCCCTGTAAATTGTATATTTTTTTTTGTGCAATATAAATGCAACATATTCAGTTTAGGCCCCTTGTTTATATTTTATATTTGTTTTCTTATTTTATACAGGATATATATATAATTTGTATTTCATGTAAACTTTATTATTCTTTCAATTGTGTCATTTTGTTAGCACATATTTATTATTATTATTATTATTTTAATTATTATTTTTAAAAAGCTTTGCTTTTGTTGTTGTTCCTAAATACATGAAAAAATATATTAAATAGTTATAAACTGAAAGATTATATATGTATATTATTGATAACAGAAATTGATTATAATCACATTGTGTAATGTTGTAAGGCTTTATTATTGTTTTACATGTTTCATGATATTTGTGTATATTCTACAATATTCTATATATGAAAAAAAAAACATTGAATGAAAAAGATACATAATCAATTAAAACGAATGTCTTTACTTTTCCACCAATTACAAATTAAATGTACATTGTAAATAATAGTGAGCGTCAATCGCGTATTGAGTTTATATAGAAATAGAAGCTTCGTATTGCTTAATATGATTTGACTAATATTGTAATTCGTGGCATATCCTGTTGCTAACATAGTTTTGAAAAATAAGAACTGAGGAGTTTCTGAACAAAAATAAGAACAATGAAGCACGTAAATTACATAAAGTTTATTGAGCAAAAAATTATTTGGTCAAAATTGAGGTTATGTATTAAACACGTATACATAGACAGTGCTGAAATATGGACAGGAACAAGCACTGAGTGTTAAAGTTTAGTTCTTCCTGAAGTTTTAATTAATCAGTTGAAAATGAAGACGTTTATATTCGTCGTGCTTCTAATTAGCTCTGCATGTGCCTGGGACTCTGAGCAGTTGGAAGTATTTGATGTTGTTGAAGAAGTTAAAGAAAATTTCTATGAAATGCTAAACATCACAAAAGTAAGTACAATTGCTTCCCTCAAGTTACATTTAATGAAAGTAAATTTATTTTAGGATGCAGAAACTTCCAAAATACGATCTGCCTTTAGAAGACTATCTGTTCTTTGGCATCCCGATAAAAATTTAAATGAGGATACATCAGAGAAGTTTAGAAATTTGGTATCAGTTTATGAGGTATTAAAGGATCTAAAGAAAAGGGCATATTATGATGAAGTTTTGGTGAATGGTTTACCTAACTGGAAATCTGCTATGTACTATTACAGGCGGGTGAGAAAGATGGGTATTATTGAAGGCTACCTAATTGTTTTATTTTTGTGTACAATAATTCAATACATATGTGCATGGGCTTCATATTTTGAAAAGAAATACACACAAGAGCAGTTGTTGAAAAAGAAGAAAACTAAGAAAAATCAAACACCTCAGCTAGATCCCAGTGAGGAAATCCTAAAGCCCTCAATGTTGAACACTTTACCAATTCAAATCCCAAAAGTCATGTACAAGATGATCATATCACTGCCGGAGTTAGTTATTTTATTGAAAACTGTGATGGCTGAGAAAATGGCAAAGGAAGACATTGTTGAGAGTGAAGATGAACATGTGCAAGAGTCTAAACCAAAGAGAAAGAAGCAAGGTTTCATTATTCCCGAGGGACCCAATTTTGAAATAAAAAAAACTCGTGCGTCGGTTAACAAGGAGAGTGCGACGGCTACGCCTGTTTCAGGTGGATTTTGGAGTGACGATGATTTAGCGGAACTTATTCAACTTGTGAAAAAGTATCCTGGTGGCACGCCAAAGAGGTGGGAAGTGATTGCAGAGAGTATTAACAGGACTGTGGCGGAAGTTACCTTTATGGCAAATCGGATGAAAACTAATGGATATCGATTGCCGAATACCGCGGAGGAAGCCGAAATAGAGGAGAAGGTGAAGCAAAAAACTAAAGGTGGCAAGTTGGGAGGTGCCGTCGACGAAGCTGTTTGGTCGCAGCACGAACAGAAGATGCTCGAAGATGCCTTGGCCAAGTACCCGAAAAGGGTCACCGATCGTTGGGATAGGGTCGCTGAAATGGTTCCCACGAAAACAAAAGAAGAATGCATCCTGCGGTTTAAGTTTCTCGTGGAGTCCATTAAAAAGCAGAAAGAACAATAAGATAATGTGATATTCGCGCTCAAATATTCAAACATCTTTTACAAATGATAAGATTTACTACCATTTTTAATGACAGCGAATTTGTGAACACACATGGTATTTGTATTTAAATAAATTATATTAAACCACGTCGACATTTACAACGGATGTCTTCTAGCAAATACAAAATATATATGTATAAAATATATTATATTTATTATTTATCTTATACAAAGGATTACATGATTACAAGTTTTGGACACGACGACTTGCATAATGCTATTATTCGTAAATTAGCACACCACAATAAATTAAGTATATAATAATCGGTACTAAAGTAATCAAACGAAACGCGTGTCCAAAAATAATGATTATGGGTAATAAATTATTATTTTATAGTGTTACTGAGGGAGTGTACCTAATCAAATGGTAAGAGAGCCACCAAGAAAGAACCGGCTGAGCGGCGGCTACAAAAAGCAAAAAGTATAATCGCCTTTTATTGCCTGACGACGGTACGTTATCTCCGTAATACGCTTCTTGCTGCGAGATTTCTGGCAAAACTTGAGCTCTCAATGAGCGCACTAGGAAGAAGGCAAGTGCTAAACTGAAGTAGCCAAGCATGCAAAAATAGGCGGTCGATCCTCCAACTATACTCAATAGTATGCTAACTATTAATCCCACAAATTTATATCCACTATACGCTAAAAGATCTAATGTACGCAAACTTGTCTGGATGTTGGAAATATACAAGGTTGCATTATATACTCCCAATTCAATAAGGCACCATGCTAAGGCTGAAGAAGACTGTATCCCTATTTGCTCAGGGCTGAACCTCTGCTGCATACCTAACACTAGACCAGCCACCAAAACGTAAGTGACGTAAGCCATTGTCGGTATATAAAGATCAGGAGCGTTAATCTCGAACCTGGGCTGAACGGGGCCGTCCTGTTCGTACTTCACGGACCAATCGGCATGCGTGAATGGAAAGAACAGAAGTCCCAATTTCGTCAATACGTATTTTGTATCCACGGCAAAGTAGTATTTCAAACGGTTCACAGGTACAAACCGTTCAATCTCTTTCTTCACCATTGTTGTACCTGTATTAGCCAGCTACAATATATAATTGGATCAATCACAAAAATATTGTAAATTAAATTGCAACTCACTTGTTGTGTGTATTGCATGGCCATGTTCTGAACCATTGGTTGAGCAAATACTCCAATGCCAGGAACATTTGCATACTGATTTGTGTCAAAATTATTGTATGGTACATTGTTTGGTTGAGTATAACTTTGATTAAACTCTAAAAACAGAATTATCATCATATATACAAGAAACATTTATAAACTGTAAAAAAAATCACCTTGTGCTGGTTGATGTTGGGGGTTAAATGCAGGCTGTGGTTGTGCTGCATCTTGTCCATTTGGAAAAGGTTGCGGCTGAGTATATGGATTGTATCCCATAGCATTCACATCGCTAACCCTTTTGATTTTGCGACCAAAAGCTAAGTAATTAAATTAAAACATCTGACAGGTAAAGGTTATGTTTTAAATGTAACTTACGCTGCTTAGGGCCAGAATTAGCATTGAAATTCATTGTTATAATTAATTTCTAATGTATCAAATTCTATAAGTGCTTCTTTATTTTCAATATTTTATCCCCCAAACTTCTTTCAGAAAGTAAGACACGTCACTCATGCTACATATATTTTCAACCCAACTGTCACTATCACTAGTATATGAACTACTGAAGAGAACAAAATGTTGATACTTATTTTTATTTTAAATAAAATTATGAAGAAATAACTACAAATATTCTATAAATATTTTGATAATATGAAATTATTAATAGTAGTTCGTTACAATAATCTTTGCAAAATTCACAGGTGACATCTGGTGTGTCTGGAGTTGCATATATTCTAAATGAGAACATTTCATTAAGTTTCTTAGGTTAACTTTTCATAGCTTTGTTTCGATTTTCAAATATGTGGAAAACTTTAGGAAAAGCTGTCGCTCCTATATTGAGAGAATCGTTAATTTTAACTCCAGAAAATGTTCTACAACAGCAGCTGAGGGTAAAGTAAACAAATTACAAAGCAATAATTTAAGGTTAATTGTTATATATTTTTTAGACGACATATATATTGAAACGAAGAAATTCTCCGTTTCTAAACAAGAATGGGTCTCTGCCAAAACGGCTAAAAGCAAAGCATTATATATATGATTTGGTTGAAGATACAAATGTTAATCGAGAGCCTGACATGAATGTTATTCTAACAACTTATGTTGCTGGTCTAGGAGACGTTGGTGACAAAGTTGCAGTAAGGCCAAATTATGCCTACAATAAGTTATTAATGACTGGTCAGGCAGTTTATGCTAGTCCTGAAAATGTTGAAAAGTTCAAAGATTACCAAAGCAATATTGAGGAAAAAACTTACAGCTCAGCAACTTCACAAAGAGTAATTTTATAAGAATACAATATACTAACTAAATATTAAATTAATACTGTATATTTTAAGGCTGTTGATTGTCTGTCAAGAGTCACTCTATCAATTATCATGAATAAAGAGACTCCATGGGTTTTGAAACCTTGGCATGTGAAGGCAAGTTTCAGGAAATGTGGTTATTGGGTTCCTGAAGAAACAATAGTTTTACCTACAAACCCAATCACAGGTCCAAATTTGGAACTTGAGAATAAGGAATTCTTTGTTACTATTACAGTAAGTTTTAAACAATTAAATTATTACATTTTTTTAATAAACTTAATGTACCAGGTAAATAACATGGAGAAAGTAAATGTGAGGTGCAAAATTCATCATTGGACCACTGAGGTAGTTGACAGATTACCACATGAAAAAGATTTTTGGAAAAAGAAATTGGATCCTGTATTCTCTGAGGATGCTGCAATCTTAGCTGAATTAACCCCTAATAAAGGGTTAAATGCAGATCAGTAATCTATCTGGTTATTAGATGTTTTTTTAATTAAGAAATAAATATTGTAATTATTAAACTATGCATGTTTGGAGTGTTTATCTGAAACTGTGTATTTCTCATAAGTCTTAGTCGGATCGTAAGGCTCCCATCGACTCGCCGGGAATATGTGCTTGTTCCTCTCGTACCAACTCCGCATTAAAACCTTTCCAGCATGCGATTCCTCTTTTTCTATAGACGCGTCATTGACGAGCCGTATATCATCGTGTACATCAAATTGAAAAAGTGGTCCACTTTTACCTCTGGCCTATCATGAAAAAAAATTATTAAAAATGTAATTCAAATTTATAATATTTTACTGTCTTACTTTAGTAACGATGAAATCGTAAAAGGTGTAATGATGTGGCACTATTAAATCCTCTTTCACATACATCAGTTGATCTGCCATCACTGTTTTCAATTCAGAGAACTCTTTGCGCAAAAGCTCCAACACTTTTTGCAAAAACTGGTAAACAGAATTTCCCTTTTTCACTCTAACAGTTCTCCTGTGTCCACATCCATCCCAATAACTGAATGTAATATCAATTTCCTCTTCCTTCAATTTTTGTTGCTTCTCAGCCCATTCTTGCCTCAATTCCTCTCTCAACTTGTTTTCTTCTTCTTCCCTCTCTCTGTCTGGTAGAAAACTTGTATCCACATTAGGGTCTTTCTTAATTTTTTTCTTAATACTAAAATCATTGTCATCAGATTGCCTCTTCCAAGAATCTTGAAAATCTTCAGATTCTTCATTATCATCTCCATTTTCGTCTTCTTCAACACTAAAAGAGAGTGCCTGAATTTGCCGTCTTTGTTTAGTCTTTTCTGCTTGTTTAGCTTCTATTTCTCTCTGTCGCTCTCTCTCCTTCTCAGCTTGCTTCTGTGCTAATTTTTTCTCTCTTTCTTTAACTATATTCTCTTGCTTTGCTTTCATCTCATCCAATGTGACCAAACCAATTGTGGAACTCTTAAATATTACACATAAATATAAATTGAGAAATGTTAATAGTAAATAACTTACTTTGAGTTGTTGTTCGACTGCATCATAATGTGTAGCAAATTTATTTTCTATGTTATTTATCCTCAAGTCTTCTTCAATTTTCTTCTTCCTGATTTCAATATCCTGCAATTGTTGTTCACGTTTTTTCATGAGTTGCATGGCTCGGCCAGCTTCACTTGCAGCTCCTTTATAATGAGCCATTGTTTATATTTGTAATAATTATATTATAATTAATATAACGCAAATAAAAATCGTACTCAAAACAATAACACTTTGTATAGGTCTACAACTGACATAACCTGGAACCTAATGATCACTGACTGCAACTGCAACCATCCAACCATCTGTCACCAACCACCAACAATCAACAACTGTCAGTTGCTGTCAGTCACTTGATAAAACAGTGATAAAACCTTAGTTTAAGTTCCCATGGTTGGCCACCCTGGTTCCTGTTTTCTAATAACGATCATAACAATCTCATCTATTATTAACCAGCTATAACTATGTCTCAGCCTAGAGGAACGATACAGAAACAAATCCAGAATGATTGGGCAAATAGGGAGTACATCGAAATCATAACAGTGAGCATCAAGAAGATTACGGATTTTTTGAATTCCTTTGGTAAGTAAACACCATAGTAGGTGTGGTCTGAGTGACCAATGTTTTGTAATCGTCTGATAACAAAATTTTATTTCATTTATTTCGGCAGATCTATCTTGTCGGTCAAAATTGGCCACATTAAATGAAAAACTTACTACACTGGAGCGAAAGATAGATTACCTTGAAGCATGTGTAAGTTTCTGGTTTAGTACATTGTTAATATCCCATTATTTATGTACTTGTTGTTGCAGGTGACAAAAGGAGAGACCTATACTTAGATATTACTAGTCCCTTATTTATTTATATCAACTTTTTAATAAATTTATTATAAACTCCATTCTAATCTCATTCTACATTTGTAATAAAATTCTTGTACTTATTAAGTACTCACTTTTCAGAGGTAAATGTTGCAAATATAATTCAGGTATAAAAATAATTAAATTTTAACAAAATTGGTAATCATAAAATTGTGATTTACTCATTATCACTGCTGGATGGGTCGGATGGGTCTTCACTGTACTCATCCTCAGAACCATTATCAATAAATGGATCATCAACGTCATAATCGTCTTCAGAAGATTCATCTTTACGTGCAACTTTGGTTCGTGGTCTTTTCGTAGTTGTAATATTACTAGCATTAATTCCATCGTCATCCTCATCCGACGATTCGTCAACGTTTTGAAGCGGTCCTAATTGAAGGAGATAAATGTACATTAATAATCTGCAAAAGTCAAACATAAAATTACTTGCTTTTTGGTGGCCTAACCATTTTATTGGCATGAGCACCTTTCGGATGTTTAAAATCTTGTCTGTGCATAGCATTACGTCTATAGCAGTTTAAACCGTAACTGCACGACGGACGACTATCGAGTGGATCAGTATCATAGTCGCTATCTCCTGGATGGCTGAATTTCTTCTTGTGATCTGGATTCTTCCTTAAATTAATATGCTTAAAATAAATCACTGCACAAATGTCTCATTCACATACCTATAACAATTAGGATACCAGCATCTGTCTCGTTTTTGCGTTTTATTAGAATTGCAAATGTTTTCCTTTGTGTCATCATCACTGCTTGAATATTCTGTTTTCACTTTCACCATTAATTGATTATTACTTTGAGCTTCATTATCATCATCACTAGCAATTTCTCTTTTAATTTCTGTAATGACACTTGAACATTGTGCAACATTATTAATTTCCTCATTATGTGTACTCTCTCCATCTGACTCCTTATCAGTTTCAGCTTCATTAATATTGAATACATTCTTCTGTGTAACACAATTTTGATCTGTTTTATTGGCTGTAGAAATATCTTGCTCTTCATCTTTGATTCTTGATGTGGAAGGAACTACTTTAATAGCAGACTCTTCAGAAGTATTATTTTTAATTTCACCTGTTGATTCTTCCACCTTTACTTCAGGCTCCTCGCAAGTAGAATTTGCAGTTGTCTTATCAGACTCAATTTGTTTATCATCAGAATCTTCTAAAGAATCAGTGCATAATTCTACTTTAAACCAATACTGATCAGGGAAGAATCCAAATGTATCACCAGATTGCAAATTCTCAGGTGAATCAAATTTTAAAATAGTCATGGTACGTCCAACCACAGAGCAATAAAAACATGGGTTAATTGGATGTTTCTGCAATTAATAGCTGGATCATTTAATGTAATTAAATTTCAAGCAACTTACTGATGTGATAGTGACATTATCACTGGTAATTTCTAGTTCAATGTGATTCCTTGAAACTCTCTTGTCAGGACACTGTTATAATACACAAAGAGTATTAAAGAGGGTTATGAAATAATAATAATATTCACCTTTAGCAAAGCACCTCTTCCTAAAACATGCGTACCACGTCGAAAAGTACATAAAGGTGTTCCTGATGTACCTTCATCCAATAAGAAAACTTTTACCAGCATTATTGGTGATCACATTGGATAGAACAAGTAAAATAATTTCAAATTCTAAACATAACTTGTACCAATATTATAAAATTACACAGGGATGCCACCAATCGAAAATAAAGCATCAATCAATTATTGTTGTTGATAGAATGGTAATGTAAATAATTGGATATAGTAAAGTATAAATCAGAATACAGTTATGAATGATAACCAGGTAGAAAACGGTGAGATGGAGTACAACAGCACGTTTCGAGCCAAAATCGACAAATCCAAAGACAGATATCCATTCTGCATAGTATGGACACCCATTCCTCTGCTGACATGGTTATTCCCATTCATAGGTCATATGGGAATTGCTCTCTCGTCTGGCGTGATACGAGATTTTGATGGACCATACCATGTGTCTGAAGACAACTTTGGGTTTGGAAGACCAGCAAAATACTGGATGCTTGATCCATCAAGAAGCAGGGGAGGTGTATCCGGCTGGGATGCTGCTGTCACAGAAGCATCAGATATATACAAACTGAGGCCGCACAATATATTCTGTGATAATTGCCATTCTCATGTTGCAATGGCTATGAACATGATGCAATACAGTAACAAGACAAACTGGAATATGTTTTGGTTAGCAGCAATGATGCTATCATTCAGCAAATATGTAAATTTCTGGGGTTTCATAAAGACTTGGCTACCATTTGCCATAATATCAACAACTGCAATAATATTATATCTTTATGTATAAATAAATTTTGAGTATATTCTTTTTGTTATATAGTGATTTCACTCAAAAAGCACTGCAGTGAGGATACTCCCGGCTGCTCCAGGTGCAACTTGACCATCTGCCCATGCACAATGCTGCATATAGTTCTGCAGTTACTTATATGCAAACCAGTGAGGAACATGAGGAACTTTTTTACATCAATAACAGCTGACACAGCCTGACAATCCTCATTGTTTGTGTCATTTTGATTGTGCATTTCAGATAATGTAGGAATATGACCCACTAGAAATTAGAGAAATGTAAGGCAAATAAAATAATAAAAGTTCAAAAGTAACTCACCTGCAAAAGATTCCACACTTAAATTAGGAAAATTTGCAGATAGTGAAACCATTGGTGTTTTAACTTTTAAAATAAGCTTTCCACTTTCTGTTGCTGACACAATTAAATTTGTGCTGATGTTCTTCATCCTCTCAACAATATTCTTGATAGTTTTTAAATTTGGTAATTGTATGGAGACCTAAATTAAAATAAATGTTAATGTTAACTGAATGCATTCCTAGTTATAATAAATATACATGAAAATCATTATAAGATGGCTCTGAATAATCACCCCATTCATCACTTGTTATTACATCCACTGGAATGTCATGAACACATTGCCTGCTCAAGATATTTTCAGATTTCTACAATATTTAAATTAATTTAGGAAAGGAATATTTAACAAACAAAACCTACTTGTTCAATATCCACAGTTAAACAAGGAGTTTGCTTGTTGGTCAACTTCAGTTTCAATGATTTTCCATTATATTTTAAAGTCATCAAAGATTTGGCCAACATTGCTGTAAATTAGTTTCATAAATAAACCAAATATAAATGTAATGTAGTTTAATAATACCAGTTCCAAAGGATATGTAGATTTCATTGAATTCCTCACTCTCACCATTAAAAGTGAAATCTTTGAAGTAATAGCTCATGGGCAATTCACACCATACAAAAGGTTTCTTTGGACCAGCATCATCAGTGGATATAATAAAATAGACTTTTCTTGCTGTTAATCTCATTACACATTCTTTGGACAATTTTGAAAGACTATTTGAAATATCTGTAAATTTTCAATGATGCATTAAAAGTAAATGTTAACAATACAATTATATTTACTCATAAATTCCTTCATGGCATAATCATCTATCATTACTCCTCTGAATTTCATCTTGTTAGCTACAGAAGATTAATACTAGTTAACCTAAACTGTAAATCTTGTAAATATTATTGTCGATTCTTTGCAATTTGAATTTATCTTATTCAACAGACTGCATGAACAAATGCAGTATTCCCAACATTATCCCATACATTTAACGTTATCGACCTTCAATTTTATTTTATCCAATTTGCTTACATTATTTAAGAAATTTGTAAAAGTGCGAGCTAAGTTGCATACACATTATTAGTGTTGATGGAAGAAGAAGCCTTCCTAAGATACCAACTGCTGAGTAACGTTTTGATTGTAATTCGGTTGGTAACTATGGCTTGAATAATGTTGATTTGTTTGGTTAAGTTAATTGTTGTTGGTTTTTATTTCAATTGTAATGAATATTAATAGATAATTAAAGGTGTTAGATTAATGATTAAAGGTGATGGCATCTTCTCAAGATGCTTGGTATCTGTCGCTGCTCGGTCTAGCTGAGCATTTTCGCACATCGAGCCCGCCAGCAATAAAATTTTGTATACAATGTTTACAAGCTGTGTTCACATTCAAACCCCCGCAGAGGGTCGAGGCCAGAACCCATTTGCAGTTAGGAAATATCCTCTTAACACACACGAAAAACACAGATCTGGCCCGAACGCATTTGGAGCAGGCAGTAAGCATTAAAAGTACTTCCCGTAGCAAACCTCTCACCTTTCTTCTCTACCTTGCAGTGGATGTTATCACAGATGATCAACGCTTTTGACGATGTGAAATTCGAAGCTGCCAGTGTATTGGCTGAAATGTATGAGCAACAGAAGCAGTTGAACTTATCCAAACCCATTCTAAGGAAAGCTATTGAATTGTCTCAACATAATGTATATTGGCACTGTCGGCTCATTTTCCAATTGGCAGTAAGTTTTAAAATAATTTAATAAATAATTTTAGTACTAACTAATTTAATTGATTTGTAGCAAATTCATGCCACTGAAAAGGATTACCAATTAGCAAGCAGCTTGCTGAGTGTTGGAGTGGACTATGCACACATCTCCAATGCATACTATACAAGAGTTCTCTTTTTATTGAGCAAAGGAATGGTTAGTAGATGTACTTATTATTTTTCAAATTGATGTAATATATATTTTACTATTTCAGCTACTTTTAATTGATAAAAGGGTACCTGATGTTCAGCCTGTATTAAGTCAAGCTGGTTTACTAATTGAGCAGTGGGGTGGTGGAATGTACCAAAAGGAATATTTGAAAGTGTATTTCTTAGTTTTACAAGTTAGTTTTTATCCACTAATTATCTCATCACATAGTTATTAATAATTATTTTCAGGTTTGCCATTATCTGATGGCAGGACAAGTGAAAAGTGTGAAACCATGCTTGAAGCAACTGCAGCAAAGTATACAGACCATAATGGCAACAGATGAACGTTAGTATTTTATCTAAAGAACTGTTATTACATAATATTTTTGATAAATTTTAATTTTTTGTGTTCTTGTTTTAGCAACTGGTCAGGCACCTGGAGATATGTTTCTTTGGTTACCAAAGGAACATCTGTATGTCTTGGTATACCTGGTTACTGTGATGCACAGTATGCAAGCTGGCTACATGGACAAGGCGCAGAAGTATACAGATAAAGCTTTAATGCAAATAGAGAAATTAAAAAGTGAGTAATTAAAAAAATAAAAATTCTGTGATTAGAGATCATATGAGTATTGCTTTTTCAGTTGTAGATAACAAATCGATATTGTCAGTATTCCAATTGATGTTACTGGAGAACATAATAATGTGCCGTTTAGTTATGGGAAACAAGACACAGGCGCTGCAAGAGATCTCTTCGGCTACCGCCATATGCAAACAAAGTCAAAGATTGTTGAAGACTCACGGACCTCAGCTGCATACGCTCTTAGGATTGTATTCGATGAGCATGAACTGCATGGAAGCGGCCGAAGCCCAATTCACTGCTTGTCTAATGGTATATTTTTTGTTTGTTTTACCTTACTTAAACAGATCAAGTATTAATAATTTGATTGGTTGAACTATCGATGTTTTAGGCTTCAAGTGAAAAAGAGCTGTGTACGTTTGCGAACTTAAATTTAGCGATAGTTTATTTACGTGGGAAGAGGGAGGTGGAATTCAACGCGATTTTGGAGCGCATCAATCCGGAGACTCTGCAAACGCATTCACATAGCCTGAGAGCCGCTGCATATTATGTTCAGGGATTGCAAGCTTTCTTCCAGGGCCGTTACAATGAAGCCAAGTATGTCTTTGTTTTTGCGAGGAATCGTATGGAATCGGTAATAATCGGATTATGTTTCAGGCGATACCTGCGGGAAACTTTGAAAATGGCTAACGCGGAGGACCTAAATAGATTAACCTCGTGCTCCCTGGTATTATTGGGTCATATATTTTTATCACTTGGCAATAGCAGAGAGAGCATGAACATGGTTACACCGGCGATGCAATTGGCTAGTAAAATACCAGATGTGCATGTGCAATTGTGGGCATCCGCAATACTGAAAGGTGAGGCGCTTCAGGAACGCTCGAACTATTTCTTAACCTTTTACACGTGTTTTCAGATTTATACCGATTATGCGGAGATCCGTCCCGAGAATCTGACGCCTTTCAGAGGCACTTGAATTTCTCCCAGATGCTCCTGAACGACCACTTCCAAGCATCTCAAATGACTGAACATAATTTAATTCATTGGACGAACGGCCCTTTGCCGGACTCTCAACCTAGCGTGGCTAGTACTTCGACGGATATGATGTAATATTCAAAATCATTTATTTGCTCGTTTATGTAACGGCCCTTTTGCCAGACGCCCAACCCAGCATAGAACTCTGATGGTTATAATGTAATAAATTGCAGCTAAATCATCCTTTGCTACTCCCCCCGACCCCCTTCTCCCTCATACGGCTGGCGGCCATTTGTCCCAAGAAGAAGAATGTAATAAATCAAAATTATTTATTTGCTCGTTTATGTACATAATATATATTTTCTTAAAGAATGTTGATTATTTAAAATAAGAAAACGAAAACAAATATATGATGAATAAATGATTTTGTACGGAAATGAAAAAGGGTAAAAAATACATAAACGCATCGGACACTCGGTAACTTTTGGAAAGTAATTTATTTATCACACGTACGTAAAGTGAACTTATTTTTTATTATGTATCTGTTTAATTGCATTTCATTTGGAAGGAGAAAGAACTAAGTTATCGTTGAAAATAATAATATGAATAAATAAGACAGATCAATAAAACAAACAATTGTTATTTCGAAATAAAAACGATATTAATTTTGCAAGTATTACATAATTATATTTTTCTTTGTGTAATTAATAAATATTAAAAATATATTAATATATATATATATATTCTTAGTTTTTTGTAGTATTCCTTAATTTGTTTTGTAACCTAATTGCACCCAACATCATATATATATATATATACGAGTCAAAGGTTTGAATTTGAACAATGATTTACACGGCACGGCAGATTGTTTTTTTTTTCTTCTTTCCAATATATATATATATATTTATCGGACATTTCAATTGGAGGGTTGGTTTTCTTCATCATCATCATCGTTAACAGATCCTAAGAATTATACAAACTCCATCAACATTTAATCGTAGAAACATAAAAATGATATACACTATTTCTATATATATATATCTTAAAAATAAACCTGAATGGCGTATATAGAATATATTTTTTTTTCTTCTTCTCTTTTAAATTATAAGTACATTATAGAATTTAATCAACTAAACAAAATATATATATATGAGAAACAATCGTACGAATTAATAAAAACGAAACTTATCTCTTGATAAATGGCAAATAATAAAGCAAGTCGTCGTAAAACCACCTGCTGCGATCACATATTCGTTTCATAAACATCTCAATTTCCTCCTCGCATCTCAACTCTCTTCTGTTTACTCACTCAAAATATACTACATACATCATTTCGTCTAGAAATTATTCATAATATAAAAAAAATAACTAAAGCATCCACCAACAATTATTAAAACGAAAAATAATAATAAACGGAGGTATACGTTTTATGTAGTAGTCACACGCTATTAAAAATCAACTTCTGTTTCGAAAAAAATAAAAATTTCAGAACAGAAAATAATAAAAGAAAAATCAATTTTATCGTGTTTGTATAATAGTAATAATTAATAGTTAAGCTTAAAAAATAATAATAAAATTCTAACCTGTCGATATATACATATATCTAAATGGTGTTATATAAAATAAAGTGGAAACTTACATTCTATCTATCACTGGGAATTCTACAAAATAAAATGTTAGCATTCAACAAAAAAGAAACATTCATACGAATACTGCTCCACATTGAAATATACAATCCTTTGCTCGTGTGTCGTACACTCAATAGTATTTTGGTTAGTAGCAATGATAAACTTGTAAAACTCTACAACCGCATGTGAGGCCCTATTAGTATGAAATATCTTCAATTAAATTCTCTTTAAATTTACATTTTAATTCTCGATTTTTCGCATCGCCTGCTATTTAATACTGCTTTAATTAAGGCAGTATTGCAGCGATCCGCAAAGAAGAAAATAACTTAAAATATTCGGTGATGTCGGACACGTTCCTCCTTTAGGAAGCGGTAGGCTACCGACCGAAACCCTCAAGCATCTCCAGGAACAGCTTGTTCATCGGCACCAAATTGTGTTCGTGTATGTTGGACCAGAACCTCCTCACCACCTGATCAGCCTGCCGCAAAGCTGGCATGCATAGAAGAAGCTGTTGCAATTGGTTGAATGCCGCCATTGGTCTGCAAAAGGTCGAATGAAAAGTTAACTCGACGGACGGCGGTAAAGCATTATTTACCTGAGTATTCCGATCGTATCTGCAAGACCCGACAGAATTGTGTCCCTGAACCTGGAGAGAGATTGGTACTCCTCCAATCGCACGTCCGAATTCGCCAATACTAAAGCTTTCAAGAGGTAGTATTCTTCTTTTAAAATTCCTAAGTTATCTATCCTTTCCACCGCGTGGCAGCACTGAAACGAATAGTGGCTTTAGTTATGGTCGAAATGAGGGGATGAGACATTGCATGTACAGTTTGATATAGTTCGTAGGCGCCGCACTCCTTAGACTGCTTCTCGTCCATCGTAAAATCGGAGGCAAACTTCAGGCGACCCAGTCCGAGAAGAGGTAAACTTCGATATGCTAAGGTCAAGGTGAGGATTTCGGCCCAGGTGCTTTGAAGCAGCCGCATCTGATCATTCAATGCCAGATCTGTGAAACCGGGTATCTGCTTCGCCCAGCCGATGATTCCCACTAGCTCCCTGTCGTACAGATCGCTGAGGATGGAAAGCGATCGATGCTTGCTATTTTCCAGAGCCGTATTTATATCCAGTATATCCGGCTCGCACGCACCTAACGCCTCCAACATCTTTATATCTGGAAACAACAATCTTAAAGTCAACAAATGAACATCAACTAATATTCATGTATGAAGAATAAATACCTTCTAAAGAAATTTGCCTTTGGGCAGAAATCACTTGTATTTGATATGGACTGTCAGGATTCCTTCTGTACTTTTGCCGTCCGCCCCTGACCCTGTCCAGGCGGACGCCTTCTTTCAGCATTCCAGATCTCAAACATTTTCTAAACCTACATGCCTGGCAGGCTTTCCGCCTCCTCTTGTTGATCTCACATTCGCCAGTTGCTGGACACGTGTATTCAATGTTACCTGAAATTCAGAAATTAGCATCGTCTTAATGATAGACTAAATTGATTTACCTTGAATTGTCCTTTTGAAAAATGCTTTGCACGCTTCGCACGATGCGACACCATAATGGAAACCTGATGCAACATCCCCACACACTAGACACAACCTTCGAGGAGAATCCACCTCCTTCATTTCGTCCTGAAAAAACAAAATTTTGAATGTAAAATTATATCCTGCTTTTATTATACAGATCATAGTTACTTCTGTATTATTAATCCCTGAGTCATTGAGAGGTTGTGTGGTTGATGAACAATACTGTCGTTCTGGACTACTTGGAGATCGGATTTCACCATCGTAGTGGTTTCCTTCTGTAAAATCTGGCTGGAAAGAAAGGACGCTTATAGTGAGAGGAACAATTCGAACACCTTCTGGAGGTTGTCTATCTTACTTTTGTATCGGTCACGACGGTTGTTGTGGGCGAATACATATCACTGTTTGACGGGGAGCAGTCTACGAATCCATCAAATTCCTTTTTTATTTGAGATACATCGCTCGAGACAACTTCGCCGCCGGACATCATGGACACCTGGAAATAAAAAGGACGGTTTTACGACTGTCGGAAAAGACATTAAACACGACTATGGTGGTAAAGGCCAACCAACAAAAGGACAGAGTTTCGTCCTCTTGGGGATGAATTCCACCGATCTTCACCGCAACCCGACTGATTGTAGTCATAAACGACGTGTTCTTTCATATTTATTTGTACTTTCCGTTATCATTCGAATGTGGTACAACAATGGGAAAACTCAACATTGTCGAGTTTTTATTTTAGACGTCCTTGTGTGACTGTAGTCTAGACGCTCTTAGGCTTAGTCTATATGTGCGTTCTTTTAAAACAGAACATATTGTTAATAAATGTGTGTCGCACATGTAGATAGATGTACGAACTACATATCCAAAATAAATGTATCACAGTCAAAATTTATCCTTGAAAACCGACAATTAACCAAAGAAACTAACTTTCTTTTTAATTTACAAGAAACATTTTATAAAACATAATACCATCATAATTACAATCTAGCAAATACCAATCCACATAAGTGTTAATTTATCTTCATATACTCCAAAGCATCACGAAATATGCGACAACAATTGATTGAAAAATACATATAAACGCAATAATACATTGTCGAATCGTATTACGAATGTAAATATACAAAATAAAACCGGTTGACCTTCGAACATCTTTGGTTCAAGTGCAAGGCTACGTGAAATGCAATATTCCTTTTTTTTACACAACAAACATGTTGAATTAAAAAAAACAATCGAAATTAAGACATTCTCAGGAAAAAATACTTTCAGAAAAAACAACAAATGTTGCAATTACACAATATTTATAATTATAAAGTTACAATAATAAAATTTATTAAATTTTCAAACAGAATTCACTAAAATATCTAATTTTGCGTAATTCTATGATATTAATTATTGATGTTTGTTTTGAAACCTGCTATTTTTTTTAGATATTCTAAACTCCTCTTAGTTTTTCGATCGATCGTTGTTTTATGCACAATATTAAGTTATTGTTATACATTTAAATCGTAATCAATTTCATAAATAAATAAATGTATTTAGCAGGCACTTATTAAAGACATTTATACATTTGTTTGGGAGTAGTAAAATTGGACTCTGGTATCATTTATGAATGGTATTTCCTAAGCGTCTCGTTATATCATATTTATTTTTTCATCGGCCACTGTTTTATGCATAGCGAAAGTATTTCAATTTGTTTGTTTGGATAAATTATTGGCGTAGTTCAGTTACTACGCGCGTTACACTTTAAATATAGAAATCGTGATAAATAAAAAAGGCGTCAGATTAGATAACGTTGAGTTAGGTCAAGTAAATAATTAAACACCTAGTTATGCAATATCCGAGGGCAAATTCATGAAGACTTGGAAGAACCGCAACTGATTTAAAAAAAAACACGAATACATATTTTCTTAAGAATCTAATTCTTGCAACGGAAGGAAATGGTTTAGATATGTTAGAGGCTTACAAAGTAACATAAAAAAAATCAACTTGGCAACTAGTATATACAAGATCAAGGCCGCATTATATCCATTGGTATATATGGCCTTGCTCCGTAAGTTGCGTATTAATTAGACGCTTTTTCTTGTTGTTTTCTCCGCGTTGTTTGTTGTTGCTGTTGCACGACAGCCTGGAACATCCGCTAAAGCGTCGAAAACATGTGTTCGCGTTCCTCGTATTATCTTCTTTGGGTTTTGAGCTGATGAAAACTGCTCGAGCCCGACCATTTTCAGTACATTCTCACTCTCTCTTCTCTCTTTCTCATCCATTCTCGGCGACTATCTATGTTGGGGGGCACTCTATGGGTACCGCATTTCGCATTTACATTTTACGCTCGAAAACAACAAAAAAACATGGGGGGAAAAAGAAGCAAGAGGTGCACTTAGAGAGAGGCACAGAGCCACACACAATAATATTTTTTTGCGACGTCCTACTAATAGCAGCAGCCTTGGACTGTCCATTTAAATATAGCATAATAATTACCAATTTAGCATCTGTCTCTATCTACACAGAATCCGTGATTCATTTAGTTTGTTATGCTTCCTTTTTTTTCCCAAGCCCCGTCTTCCTCCTCCATTACCTCCTTCTCACACGACTCCCGCGACGAATGCGTATTTTATTGAGGTAGGTCTCTAAACGTTATAATAGGCTAATGTAAACGAATCTAAAATACTAGCCACGTTACGCAACCGTGTATTACTATTTACCAGTATGTTGGTTCTTTGGATTGGGTTCTCGCGGAGAGGGCGGAGGATCGAGGATAGACCTTGGCATTGAAACTATCGAGCTTTGGCTTCTCGTAGACGCAGCAGACGCCCGAAAATAAATGGATTTACGCAATCCTCCGCCGACTTTTCTTTGTGTGTTTGGCAATTAACGATCGGCAGAGATGGAGACGAGGCATGCACAAGTATTTATTCCTGATCAAAATAAACGTCAGACTCTGGCCTTGTGAGAGAGCGCGCGTTCGTGGTTTATTGTTCTCCATATTTGGGGATCGCACTTGCTGCTAGAAGGAAACATAAAAAAAATATATGCTTGTAATTGCCTTCTGTTAAGACGCGCGATATGGGACCGCTTTGAATCTACGATCAATTCATAATCACGCACTCGTCCGGAATCAACAATTGGATATTTGTCGAGGAAAAGAAGGAAATGCGTTGTCTTCTATAACGCATTTCCTTCTTTTCCTCGTTTTCCTTTCCACTGCATACCAATCATGTTCTGTTACGCTCACCTGGAGATTAAGTGAATGGAAACGTTGTCTCGGGGTGTTTGTTTACGCTGCATACATTTATTGCTCAAAAGTTGACATACCTAGTATGTGTATCTATACAGCGAGACAGGAATTACCACTATAAACCAACACTTTAGAGCTGGAAAGCAGAATGTTGCAGTAAACAACAACGAAGTAATTTAGTTCATTGATAAATTTAAAACTGTTAATTAAATTCATTTCCATGGCACAAAACTAAATAAACTTATTAATTTCTATATAAAGTTCTAACAATATTTATTAAAAATTACAGATGCAATTTAATTATGTAAACCAAATATTACGCACATCAACATTTTAAAGTCAAAAATCTAATTTTAATTTTGCATCCAACGTAGAATCTAAATTGGTTTTATAGATTTTATAATACTTGTATTTAAAAACTACTACAGAAACAAAGAATATGTCTCGTTTAATAATAGCATGTCTCTTTCATCATCGAAACCGAACTAGGAATCAATAACTCCAGTTCCATATAATATAAATAAATCGTGCATCGTACGAAAAATCCGTTAGCCTTCAATCGATAAGCTCGGTGATTTCGGGGTCGAGGTTGTTGTTAATTTAAGAAATGCCCACAACCATCGACATCTCACCTAATGAATATCTGACGAAATACAGAAACGATAAGGAATCTCTTCCGATGTTTTCTGCATGGCCTCGTGCGACTTTTACATGTGATAATTACATTCGTTCCTCGAAGATAAGAGTGTGCGGTTTATCGTTATTTATTTGCCGGCCGTTTTTGAATAAACGACTGTAATCTAGCGTATGCGTTCGTACAATATATCATAATTTTCTTACAATCACCACAGAAAATTTGCAAATATACAACATTTTTTAAATTCAGTCGTGTATTTCTTAAAAACAATACAAACTTTTTAAAAATTCTGTTAAAATCTCTTAAGTGAATTAGAAAAAGTATGTTTAAGTTATATAAGTGTAATGTTTACATTCCAACAAGCCAGGTGGTACTAGTATTTCTTTACAGTTAAATAAATATTTTTATAATATATTAATAGCTATAAAATCACTTTTTTTTAAATAAAATTATAATAAACTTTTAAAACATAAAACAATTATTTGTAAATAAGTGTTTTTTTTTATTCATATAAAAAATATTTATTTATTTAAACAATTTGTTAATTATAAACATCGTTGGTTTGTGCAAATGCAGATAGTAAATTGTTTTAGGTCAATAGGGTAATGTGGTTCTTTAAATGTTGATTGTATTATCACTACTATAGCGTCATCTCAGATCGTTACAGATACACTCATTATAGTATTCGGTCATATTGTTTACATTTTATAATTAAATTTCAATAATTTGTTTAGTTTCTTCAAATTATTCAAGCTGAGGCGATATCACTTTTACTAGAAATTTACTTTGTTGTATGAAAACACAAGACTTGTTTAACTGTCAAATAATAAATGTATGGTTGTTAATACAAAGATAATTGTAAGTTTTTGTTTGAAAATTTGAATTGGTTTAATGAATGAAATGTTTGGGTGTCATGTAAATTAGTAGATTTAGTTTATTGCTGTAAACAGCGGTTTTCCAATTGGACCGGAATGAGATAAAAGGGAATGCGATGCAAATTAGTGCATTTAGAGGATGTGTTGCGAAAGCTGACCTTCGAAGAGGAATAATTAAAGTGCGCTAGTGTGGAACCAGTTTGGCGTCCCATGTTATTTCGGGGTATAGCCTCTCCTCTCCATCCACCAAACACGTTATCCAACATATATATACATGAATGCATATAGGATGAAGAAAACAGTAAGTTTTCCATTGAGGTGTTAATTCGCAGAAGAAGAAAACATGTTGTAATTTGAATGAATAATAACAGAGATTGAGAATATGTTTTGTATATAGTTTCCGTGCGTACAGTGCGCGCAAATTGGGTATTTCAAAAAAAGATTTGAGAAATAAAAATAGGGTAACTTTGTACGTACCACATCTTGCATCCAACTTTCCATTTTATTCTTGTATTATAATTACTATCACAAATCGATTGATGCGAAATGGTTATTATCCTTAAATTATTAAATACCGCGACTCCTATCATATCACAAACGTTGTGTTGGTTTTGCACTAGCTTCGGTTTGGTATCTCGGGCGTGGAGGAGAATTCGAGGAGGGCCGCATCGAAATCTATTTAAGATGTTGGAAAGACAACTGTAGCAGCTATTGCGAATATAAAGACTGCGATTCGCATTGCAAACGGCGATGCGATCAGCCGGTTACCAGGCGAATTGACCACGTGCACGACTAGCTAAGCCCTCTCTCACTCTCGCGCCTCTACACGATCGTTCGGAACATTTCGGAGATGCATCAGAATGAGAAACAGATTCAAAGACGGAGACGGAGAAAAAGAAAGATGAGACTCAGAGAGTGAGAGAGAGAGATCAAGAGATTATCTTTGCTTTTTTACGCCTTCATTTTATTCCTGTTCCTTCGTAAATATCTTCTCTCTCTCGTTCAACCGAAAATTCTATATTTAATTTGTATGTATCCCTAGCGCTCCTCTCCTTCGTACCCCTAGTTTATTTTTTAAATTTTACTTTCGCACTTGCATCATTCGTGAAAACCGATTTAAGGCTCGTTATCTGCAAATGGCACGTAAACCAATTGCACTCCATTACGACGCTATTACCGGCTCAACGCGTTTGTCTGCACCGAAACGAGAAACACACACAACAAAGGCCCTGTTACGTAACGTAAATATTTTCCGTCCATGACCTAAGTAAACAAATGGCAGTGCCTGGTTACATGCTCATATATACATATATATATATTTAATTATATATGTATAGTATGTATGTTTAACTCTCAGGGACATAGCAGATTACGTGTGTATCAGTCACAAATTCGAAGAAATCGCACGCACATGTAGAACTTCACTTTCTGCCTCGATTCCTGCACGCAACTTACGTAACTCGAATTAAATGCGTAACTTCGTTGTGACCGCTTCGAGTCGCGCAACAAGGGGTCACACGAGATTTCGATAAAGCAATCTTTAAACTTCAGCGACGTAAGGCTTCAACCACTCGTATTGATCTATTACATATTTACATTCAAAACAAGGCCAAAGATCGGCTCGCAATTCTAATGAACTGTTTCACTTGTTACGACCTGTACTTTCTAACCACATTACATTTTCAGCAGTCTCATTAAAAGTTCGAGGTCTGAAATTTTTTCTAAAAGAAAACTTCATTAGTCCATGTTATCATAATCCCAATTGCTATGATTAATAGTTCATAATTTGATTTGTTTTGTTGTTGTTGTTGTAAAGGATTTATGTGAAGTCGCAACCCGCGAAAACAGGTTTTCTCATTGACTTTCCATCAGCGCTGGAAAATTTCCCAATAAAATATTAGCATTCGGAAAACGTATCTCTAAATCTGCAATGCGAAATAATTAGTTTGTCTCTTTATATTTCTGTAAAACCTTGAATTTTTCGAAAATAAGTATGTAATAAGAAATATAAATAGATTTTGATATTGCAAATTGTTTACAGTTTACGATATTCGAATTGGTAACTGGAACAAATCGTTTTCCTTCTATCTTGACAAGTATCAACAAACTATCTAACATGTAAAACATTATATTGCAATATTAATCTGGAATTACATAATTGCATTTGTACTTTAGTGATTGCCGATGGATTTTCGAGTTGATAACATTTTTATTTATAAAACACTAATCTTAAGTGGAAGTTGCATTCAAGTGGAAGTTTACAATCAAATATTTGGTTACTACCATTTATCAAATTTACAATTAGCTTAAAACCTATATTTTAGAATGATACTGAAGGCCATTCACATGAATCCAATTTGATAATTTCAAAATACAATTATTTGATTTTCAATGGCTTTTATACACTTCAAATATTAATAAGAATATTAGTAAATAATGTAATATACGTTGAAACTGGAGTTATGAAAAATGTTTAGTTATACACTGATATTCTATTACGTAAATTGAGTGATAATGAGTGTTAGTAAACTGAAGTTAAGCGGCTATTTTCGGTGTTGCTATTTCAACTTTTGTATATATATATATATATAGAAAAAAGCAGAAGCGTAAATATGGAATAGAAGTATTTGTTTGTACGTTTAGAACTAACTCGAATGAAACAATTTATTTTCACATTATTATTGTTTTGTTATGTTATTTGCGGAGCGCGAAATTTACATAAAATCAAATAAATAAGTTTATACAACTGCGAAGTTGCATTGTGCGAATGTGCACACGTCATCCCGAATCCTGTCCTATCGCAATATAGGTAGATGCGGAACACCTTGAAATATCCAAAGGTTCAATGTCAAGGTCTCCCTCCCGATTCAAGAGAAGAATATCAAATTCACCTCTTTGAATCGGCTTCGACATTATCGAAAAACCCGACATGCCCAAATGCAAACCGGTCCAAAACAAATTACAAGTAACAAAAAAAAAGAATACACAAACACTTTAAGCAAAATAAACAATGTAGGTTATGTTTCGTACAAACTGAGTTTTAGTGACCATTTTTTTTACTCGAATTTATGTTCGCCGTGTACGTTCGTCATCGTTAATGCACTATGGTTAAGTTAATTCGCGATTCTTATTTACCAAAGTTATAATCTAGCTATCGCTAGGATACTTGTTGGTATTTCGAAATGTCGTTGGCGCGTTACCTAAGACTGGTAACAGCAGCAGATCGTCCCCGGTAACAGAATATAAACTACATGCAAAATTGGTGCCAAATGGTCTATTTTTCCCTTTCGCAAATTGCGCACGGGAGGGGAGGGGGACAAGAAATTGAAGGAGAGAAATAAAAAGGGGGACAAAGACCCGAAACGTAACTGACCTGTGTTCAGTGCTCCAGGATTGCTCGCGACGCGGATATTCGTAATTGGTGGAAATAATAAAAAAAAACTAACGCACTATGGATCTTCGAATCACCACTTTCCCATTGTTAAACACTAAGTTTCTTGTTACACATTGCGTTCGGCCATTTTGATCTTGCAATAAAATTATTTAATAATTCGCTACTGGGCGCGCCATCTGTGGATACCATGCATCAAATGTTTCAAACTACTCCAAACGGTCCAAGCCCAATGGTTTGGTTTGGAACCACTTGATAGGACAGGTGCGACATCTAATAAGCATAATCCTTTAAATAATATTGGATATTGCTACTTCAAAGTTCCAGATCTAATGATGAAGCAAATTAATGAATGCATCCAAGGATCAAACCCAAAAACTGAAACAAAATTGTTGCGTAAACATACATTCCGAATATACCATAATACTTACCATCAATTACTTGATTTCATACATTTTCAACATTCATACTTATTTTTTACAGAACATAAACCTATTTCAATAAAGTTATGATATAGAAAGAGTTAAAAATTATAAAAGATGGTCAAAGTTCAAATAAAAACCAATCATACTTTTAGCAAAAAGAAGTCGATTCGCAAATTATGAATGTCTATACGCAATAAGGTTGAAATCGTTCTCTGATTTCGATAAAACAACAAACCGAAGTCACGGAAGACAAGAAATATCTTATTTACGAAGACAGTATATTTACCCGGTGCTAAGATTTCTTCCTAATTCGTGGATGTTGTTGCTTCTGTTCGTTGCATGTTCGAATATCAGAAGAAACCATTTCAACAGTTGCATCTTAAGAAGATGTTATCATCCTACATCAGAAGCGATTAATGTAATGTTTTATATAATTCATGCTTTCTGAAAAACACAAATATTAATTTAAAGAAAAACTTGAAATATTCGCACATACAAGTGTTATGAGAATTATGAAAACTACGAACGTACCTTATATACTACGCGTTATATGGCAAGTAAAGTGTAGTGTAGCTTTCACATCTTCAACCGTCAATAGAATACTTTTTTTCGCACTCATTTTTAAAATTGGACTGGCAGCGCACATCACGGTAACTTTTGCAACTTGAGAGAGCGTGCTAGTTTGGTTGTCTACAAGTGACGGATAATTTTAAATTAAACTCGCGTTTTAATTAAGGTACTCGTTTCTATTGGCAGGACGTTGACCGAAATTCCAATTGAATAGAATAAAATAATAACATAATAATATTGATAATTGAACAATTTATAATTATTTACTATTTATATCTATCTTAAATTATATGTAATATTTCATATGATCTTCAATTTTAAAACTCATCTGCAAATGACTTTTTAAGCGATTCATGAAATTTATTTATATTGTCTTGTGATCCAATTGATAATATAACGTTCTTTTTAAATATAAATCAGGAAACTCTTTAGGTCTGAAAGTATTTACAAAATATGTAGAAATATTTTTGCGAAAATGTTCAATATAGAAGGAAATTATTATAAAATAAACTATTAATAAAATAAAATCAACTATTGGAATAACATAGTATTTTACATGTTCATCCCGGATGCTTCCGTTCCGATTTAAATTGCATCCAATTAAATTTAAATCTACACGTCCTTATTACATATCCACGCTATGCACATCAGTATCTGGTATATCAGCAGCCGGTATGGATCTCAAAGATTTTGATAGCTTTACAAATAGTTGGTGGCCAATTGGTATATCCACAGTCATCAGTATAATAGCTGCAATCAGGTAATTATTTTTGTTTTCAATAATATTTTAAAAAACTCTAATTACTTATTCCAAAGGTTTTATATGGCTGGACCAAAGTGCCCCAGTGAAAATAGGATTGATGATTGTGTGGTATTAATAACTGGTGCTTCTTCCGGCTTAGGATTAGCTACATCCAAAGAACTAGCAGCTAGAGGTAACGTTTATTACAAAGTATTGAGACTATTCAAATAGTTTCTCATTTAAACAATGCTTTTATTTATTATTTCATTTTAGGGGCAAAGATTATACTGACTTGCAGAAATAAGGAGAAAGGAGAGAAGGCAGTGGAGGCGGTCCTGCAGACACTTCCAACGGCGCAGATCGATCTGAGACTCTTGGATGTATCGAGTTTGATGAACATCCGTGACTTTGTAAACAATTTGAAGAAAGATTATCCTAAAATAGATGTACTAATTAATAACGCTGGGATAATATTCGAACAATATCAAAAAACAAAGGAGAACTTGGAGCTGACATTTGTTACGAATTACTTAGGTGAATATTGATCTGATGAAATTAGATGTTTAATTATTAAACGAATTCTAGGTCCCTTCTTGCTGACTCATCTGCTATTACCTTTGCTGTCGAAGTCAGATAATGGGCGAATAATAAATATTACCTCTTTGGCCCACTACAGAGCAAACATTGACATTAACAATTTCGATTTTTCCAAAAAATTCATGTATCGAGAAGTCTACGGACAGACTAAGCTCGCTTTGGTCATGTTCACAAAGCATTTAGCATCTTTATTAAAAGGTTTGCTAATATGAATATTAGTATATTTGATAATCTCCTGTTTTATTTTTACACAAGGAAAAGGAATCACGGTGAACGCTGTTAGTCCAGGAATCGTACGAGACACAAAGCATTTCCGAAGCTCCCCATTAGGTAGTTCCTGGATGACAAAGATGTCTGTGTACCCTTGGACTTGGCTTTTCTTGAAAACTCCCAAACAGGGATCTCAGACAGTTGTCTATGCAGCGATTGAACCCAGTTTGGATACCGTCACCGGGTCTTATTTTAGGTAGAATATTATTTATTTTAAATATTTTCTTAAAATATTGCATTTACAGTGATTGCGAGATCAAGGAACCCTCTGAAATAGTCAACGACGCAGCTCTACTTGAGAAACTGTACGAAAGATCGATAGAATTGTGTAATTTGAGCGACGATTTAAATTTGCAGCTGAGTGATTGATTGTAATAATAAAAATAGTTTGCACGTATTCGTTTTCTTTAACTATATAATTCGTATGTGAGAACTGCTAGTTTTGAAATATTGCAGAAATATTTTAAATAATAAACAAATATCAATATAAAATATATTTACAAACATTCAACTAATCAAGTCTGCAGTAATACAGTATCACAAATGCTCTTGAAGTTTGGTCCACTTTTCGCTCACCAACCATAGCCATCTAGCAAGTGATGTATCTTGCGCACTTGCAGATACTTCCTCTTCAAGGTAGTTGCTGAAAATCGATTAATTAGAGTTGCAGTTATAAACTGGTAATTTGAAAATATATACTTGAAATATTTTCCTGTCGTTTTTTCGACTATTGGATCGATAGCTAGGAATATAGAAGTCTGCGCTCCTTGTCTGGGACCTTTAATGAATGGCCATACAAACGGCTTAATTAAGATTGTGGAAATCCAGCTATTAAAGAAACCCATGTGTCTGATAATTTCAGTGTCCACTATACCAGGATGGACGGCGTTCACAGTAACTCCAGTGCCTAAATAAAAAAATACTTAGCACAGTTTATTTATCATGAATTGTGTGAAGAGAAACCTTCAAGTCTTTTAGCAAGTTCTTTTGTGAACAGCACATTTGCCAACTTGCTTTGAGCATAGGCGGTGCTTGGGTCATAGGACTTATCACTGTTCAAGTCCTCTTTATTTATTTCACCCCTCAAATGAGCCACACTGGACACATTGATAATCCTACTTGGAGATGCTACCTGCAAATTATAAATTTGTTCTTTCTGCTGTGTTTACTGCAGTTTCAATGACAAACCTTCAAATGATTCAACAACAGATTGGTCAACAGAAAGTGCCCTAAATGGTTAACACCCAACTGCATTTCAAATCCATCCTGTGTCTTTGAATTAGGTGTTCTCATCACACCAGCATTGTTAATAAGCACATCCAACTTCTCCTCTTCCTTCTTAAATTTTGTTGCAAATTCAGCAATTGACTTCATTGATGATAAATCACATTGTCTGCAATAAACATATTTGTTTTTGGTGCTCACAACAATTGATTCTCTTGCCTACAAAGTTGATGATCCTTGTAATCCGTATGTGATAATAATTGATCATTACCTCCTCACATCTCTTCATGTCTCTGCATGCCATGTAGACTTTGGCCCCTCTCCGTGCTAACTCCCATGCAGTTTCTTTACCAATGCCTGTATTGGATCCAGTGATAACGATCACTTTTCCATTAGCTTGAGTGATGGCAGGATATCTTTCACCACCAATCCATTCTCTGAAAATAGTATATTTGATTTTTAATCCAATACATTTAATAAATAATTACTTTATGAGACATGCAAATCCAAAGGTTCCTGCTATTACACTGCTGTACAGCACAGGTTTCGGTATTTTGTAATTGAACATAATTATATCTAAATTAAAACAGTTTCAACAATTTCTACAAAAGGTTGAAGAACAAATAGGTTATATCATGTGTCAGTGAACATTATAGTAGAGCAAATTACAAATATGCAGTTTCAAACCATTTGATTCTTGTTTCAATTGTAAATTAGCTTAATGTTCTGACTAGTCTTAATTTAACTTTTAAACTTATTTTTCAAGTCACGTGCATGACTGTCTGCCTGATATTTGATGTGTTATCATATTTGCAGCTGGCCATCTCTTGGATTTTTTCTTATATACCTTTTAGGTTATATTATGATTCTGATGTCCCTGAGATCATTTGGAGAAAAGTGGTAAATATGGATATCAAATCGAATTTGAAGGATGCGAGGGATGCAATTAAGAACAAGGATTTCGAGAAGTCGATGAAACTATGCAAGGTAATTTAATTATTACTAAAATACACGGTGTTTAATAAAACATCGTTCTTTATGAGCTCATACTGATAATAGAACTTCTGTAATTCCTGCCTCTCTATACGCAGTAATAAGACACGCAAAAGTTTCTTTTCCCATTGAAATTGTTGCATATAGACTTCCTTGATATTGCTGTTAATATTTTATTGAAGCAGGCACATGAAATGGGATTTCCCAAGAAGTCCAGTATCCTTAATTTGCTCAAATAGTGCACCCTCTATAAATCAATCTGTTCTCATTTATATCTAAATATTCTAGACTTTTGGGCAATGTCTGAGAATAAAAAAATCTATTTTATTACCAATCATGTAACATTTGCAGGGTCTGATTGATCAATATATCAATATTTTCAAATCCATTTTTGCTTAAATCAAGTACTTTGAGTCTTCTGTTTCTGAATAGATTGTCTTTGAATAATTTCAGTTTATTATTGGACACATTCAAGTATTCCAATTGGATGTTTGGAAATATCCCTTCATCTAATTTGGACAGCTGATTATTATATAGATCCAACTTACTTAACATCTTATTATTCTGAAATGTTGCACTTCCTAGGGACGAAATTAATATATTTGACATTGATATTTCTTGCAGTTTGGTCATCTGGTCAAAGAGACCAGGGTCTCTGTTTTATTGGATTATTGGAGAAGTTGGGATTCTTGATTCCAGAAAACGCTTCAAAACTGTAGATTGTCCAATTGGCAGTTGCTCATATCCTTCGGCAGCGTAGTTGATTGTCTATTTTATGCACTGGGTTGTTTACTTTTAGAACTTCCAAGTCTTTCGTGTAATTGAAGACGCCACTCAAGTTCGCTATATCGTTGTTTGACATATTTATGATTTTCGCGTTCCGTAGTTCTTCGAATCTATCTGCGAACAGCACGAAAATTCCGTTATTATTCATATACAAATTCTGCAATTTGGGCATTTGAGCTACTAGGTTGGTGATACGATTGTGAGATAAATTAAGCTCTTCTTGCGATCTTCGTTTACGCTTCCCTGGCGGATTCTTCAGAAATTTCATCTTCAGATTAAGCCTTTCCAGATTGGACAGTTTATTGAACATTTAATTAATTGTTGTGGATATTTTATTATTGTTGAACTCCAAATTGACGAGATTATTTACACGTACAAATATGTTTGGATTTATTTCACGTATGCCTCAGGATAACTTCAGGAATTGGGTTCGCTCGAATGAAACTACTTTCCCTATATATGAATCTAAATATACAATTGTAAATAAATACAGCTTATTACAACATAACTTTTTTCTCAATAAATAATGATAAATTAATCTATAAAAGAAAAATATCTCTATTATAGTCAATATTACGAGAGGATAAGACTAATTATATGGGATTAGTCTTTCTTGGGATTTCGCTTCAAGAGGTCGGTCCCATTGAACAAGCGCCCAACGCATTCCGAAAAGCAATCCAACAGAATGCTACGAATATTTTGGCTTGGAATGGGCTCTTAAATTTTTACGAAAAAGTAAATAATCCGCAAAAGAACAAGGATCTAATTGGGATTTACTGTAAACTGATCGAGCTCGAAACTAACGAAACCAAATGCATCGAGATCGTCCAGAAGTTCGTGGATTTGCAGGTTGACGATATGGACCATAAGGTCGTGTCCATCTACAACGTAGCTAATTGCGATACAGTTACTGTTGATTTGAAATTAAAGATCTATGCAAGTATCGTTGAGGTCTATAGGGATATCAAGGATCCACAAGACATTGTTAAGCAAATAGTAAGAATTTCTCGATAAGTTGATGGGTATTCAATTATTAATTTATGATTTTTCAGTTTGAGAAATGTTTATTGGAATTGATAGAAAGTGGGAAAGCTTCTAAAGAGGTATACATAGAATACTTGAAATTCCTATACAACAACAAAAAATATGAGAATTTCATGGAGGAAGCGGACAAGTTCACAATTATGCATGGTAACAATATTCACTGTTTTGAGTGGGTATGCAAGGTGTTCAACGAATTGTACATAGAAAGAAATAGTTTATATGAAAAATATCTGGAGAATGTTAAAATTTGCCTGGAAGAATTGTTGGAGCTTCATAGCGATTCCAGCATAGCGTTGTTGACGAAAGCAATCATGTTTTGCATCGAAGATAATTTAGATGAAATGAAAAGTTATCTACATAAAGGTATTTGCTGAGATTGTGAAATTTGCAAATTTTGATGCGTTAAATTTTAGTTACCTTGTTGAGACCCGGTCTGTTGCACGCTTGGATCCTCTATACCGAATGTTTCATTAAGTTTCACTTTTACGAAGACGCTTTAGAAGTCGCTTATAAAGCTGATAAGTTACTGTTATCAATAAATAATTCCAAGCAGTCGTTGCGAAATATTTTGGATAACTATATGTGTTTGTGCTTATCGCAAAGTAACATCCCTGAAGAATTGGAAAAGTGCAAAGTTATGTGCCTGAAGGTAAAAAGAATGAGATGCTCCACACGATTTTTCATTTACTTAAATACAGAAATAGATTTTAGAAAATTCCGATGAAGTAATGATTAAGAAGTATTTGATTGAAGCCTATGTCAAGTTGGAATATTGGGAGAAGGCCGAAAAGTGTATTGACTCATGCGATGAAGACATTAAACCACTTCTCTTGGCAAAATTGTTTAGAGCTAAGGGTTTCCTGAAAAAAGCGTTAGGACAGCTGGAGAATTTTACTTTGAATTCAAGCGAATACTGGCTGGAGTTGGGCGAAGTTTACAGGGATTCGGAAATGTACGAGAAATGCCTGGTGCCATTTTTGAAGGTAATGTAAGTAAATATATCGATTCATTTTGTACAACTGTTATTATGTTATAGGCTGCAAAGTTAGACCCAAATTCATATATGTGTTTCCTACATTTAGGAGAGTATTACAATAAAATTAACGATATGGATAAGGCGCGGAGGTGCTACGAGAAGTGCTTCAAGATCAACGGGAAATGCTCTGCCGCGGGTATCGAATTGAGTAAAATTTACAGGAAACAAAAAATGTGGGTTAGTAAAGTTACGGTTTTTTTTTTGGATAATTTTAAATTAAATATATTTTGATGTTTAGGGAGAAAATTTGAATTTACTTGAAAACTTGGCCAGCGTCAGGGCTTCTCGGGATAACAAGTGGGCGTATTTGCAACTAGGTCTACATTTTTTGGAGCAAGAGGATTATCCGAATGCTATCACTAACTTCAGATATGTTGTGAGAGTTGACTCAACAAACAGTCACTGTTGGGAATGCTTGGCAGATGCGTATTTAGCTCGAGGAGCATACACTTCTGCCATTAAATGTTACCAAAAAGCATTTGAAATTAAGCCGGATTCGTTGTATGCTTTACTGCAAGTTGCTCATATTAAGAAGGTACCAAGATTTAAATTAAAACCTATTAGCTGATAATTGAATATGTTAATTCAGGTGTTGAACGAATACGAGGAAGCTAGATCAGTTTTTGAAAATGTTCTGAATTTCAATAAGAATTACGTGCCGGCATTGAAGGGGATCGCGGAAACTTGTTACTATCAAGGCAAGAACTATCACAGGCAGCAATTGCACGGTCTCGCAAGGGATTGCGTCCAATATTCGATAGATAAAATTACTGTGTAAGTTTTGATTGCATGTGTGATAACTTCGTTTGAACTTGAACGGTTTACAGAGCTTTGAAGGAAAGGCCAGATTTATCTTGTCTGTGGAAAATAGCTGCGGATTCTTCATATTTGGCCGCTCAACTTCCAGAAAAGTATTCTTGCATTATGGCTCTTTCTAAACTGGTTTCTGGGAGCGATGGCGATATGAATACCGTCATCGATCAAGAGGATTTGTTCAAATTTGCAATACGGTGTTATTGTAAAGCGATCAACTTGACTGAGGATAATATGCTCATTTATCATGATCTATCATGTTGTTACGTTTCCTACTCCATGTACTTGACGCAAGCAAAAGAGAGGCAGGAGTATCTGGATAAGGCTCTTCAAGTAATCTACCATTGTGTAAACAGTAACCCGAATTATTGGCAACATTGGAATGTCCTTGGAAACATTGCGTTCGTTAAAGGTAATATTATATTAATAAAATTATTTAAGATTTAAATTAAAACGTTAACTATCATAAAGGGATGTTTTCGAGTTTGCTTGGGTTGCTCAAATTTAATAAGATTTTTGAAAATTTGCAGATCCCAAGGATTTGGCCTTGGCACAGCACGCTTTCATCAAGGCAGTAACTTTAGAGCACAACAGCGCCGTGTCTTGGAGCAATTTGGGCACATTGTATTTGTACATAGGAGAATTGAAGTTGGCCAATGAGGCGTTTTCGCAAGCGCAGAGAGGCGATCCCAATTATGTAAACAGCTGGATAGGTCAGGTAATAAAGAGTTTTCAGCTCTACCTAATATATGAATAACTTCAGGATTACAATTTCAGGCTTTGATTGCCGAATCTTTGGGTTATAACGATTCCATGGATTTGTTTAGGCACAGCACGCAATTATCTGCACATCAGCAAGGTGCTCTGGGATACGCATATTGGGTTTGCAAGACGCTGATGGACGCTCCAGAGGATGCAGTAATCTATTCCATACACAACATGCACGCAATTCCTGTTGCGTGCGATGCATTAACTTGGTACACGGGTAAGTACAATTCTAGTTTATTCAAATAAATAACAATAAATTAAATAAATAACGACGCATCTAGCAGATTAAACAGATAATGAGTTCATATGCTCGGGCATTTCGTCACAATCGGCGAAGAGGTTGGCACAATCCTCGAAATTATCTATCGTATCTTCCGTCCTGTATTTGTTTAATCCTTCGTCACTGCAATCACGACCAATTGAATATATTGAAACTATAGATACCTAAACATACCTGAACATGTATAATCCGAGAGCTAACAAAGAGCTGTTACGAGCCCTGTAATCCGCTTCGCATATGAACCTCTTCCTGCATTCCGGTTTCATGTTCATCGACTCGAACGCCAGATTCGTGATGTCCAATGTTTTGATGACATTCTGATAAATATCGAAGTTCTCGAAAATGCTATCTCCTAACTCCCTGCCGTAGTAATGTTCGTGGTCGTGTTCATGAGAATCGTAAACTTCTGGTGTGGACACGTAAGTCGGATGCGGCTCCGATTGAATGTAAATTTTCTCCGGTTCTCGGTTCTTTTGCTGCGCAAGATAGTAAGTTCCGTACTTGATTAGACCTCCCAATTTCGTTGCGAACATTACGAATGTTATCATAGTTCCAATCAGGAACACTATCTTCGCTTTGATGGCCAAGAACGCTAGATAATACAGGATTCCTCTATGATCTACGTCCCAAAAAATACCAATCTTTAATTATAGAAAATACTAAACTCTAATGTATTACAACTCACGCAAGAAATGGTATTTATGCTTATATCTAATCAACTTTTTCCTTCCCTCCTCCTGGGACGTCTCCTCCGCCAAGCACAATGACACCACCAACAAAATCACCAATAACTTCTTCAACATTTTTGTTATATATATATATTACTTTTTATTGTTGCGACGAAAAGTACGAGACTAGAATGTTGTTTTGGTTATCAACGACCGTGAATGATTGCATTTTACTTTTTTGCGTGCCTTTTTATATATGGCCTAGTGAAAACTTTCTTTGTTTGCTTATGTCATTACGCGGATGAACCACTTTTGGTTTCAGCAAACAGACGGCAACAGGAAAATTCAGTTTATTTTTGTAATTAGTACGCTCCGATGGGGCCGATGGAGGTTAACTTTCTTATCATTTCTATTTGTTAATTATAAGCCGACCTATTCAGATCGAAAAAAAATAAGATGATTTCGAGTTATTTGCGTACAGCAATTATATTATAGGTTTTAATTAGATATTAAGATTTTTTATAAATTAAGATTTAAGTAATTAATGTCATCTATGATCAAATTTAAGTATGGTTCTAATAGTTCTTTAGACAATTCAAATAAATAGTTTTTTGTCCGTTCAGTTGGGCTATATTAAATAAAATGATCAAAGAGAGTATAATAGCTTGAATAGAAAAATGCGTATGCCCTGAATATGTTTACATTTACAATTAGAGCATGCTCTCCTCTCATTCATAATAGTTTTATTTCTTTTCTTAAGATTCCTCTGAATAGCGTATGTATTATAATAATGGCTCTTGCGGTTGAAATCCTTTTGTAATTACAGATTTTAAATAATTAAGAAACAACGGTACCAAAAGTGTTAATCGGATGGCCGAAACTGTGTACACTAATTCACTTTTTCTTTTTCGGAACTCGTACTGCGTTCTCATCTACGACTATTTCAGGATATTTCCAGATCCATTTGTAAATATTTTCTTTACGATCCGTTTGAAAGTGTCTCCCCATGCCTCATGACATACTTTATTGGACACAAGTTCCTCTTTTTCTTCTATTATTGTTCTTAAGGTCTACCGATTCGCGTCGTATTGTTAATAAACAGTTTGCGTACTGACGACACATTATCCTCAATAAATTATTAGTATTTACTTATAATAAGGGTATATTATAATAAAAACAATCCAACACATAAAGTTGTTTTAGACATAAACATTTAAGTAAAATAATCAATAGAAAAAATCTATTTTACATGATCTTTTTATTTTAGATAAAAATCCATTTGATAGTTGCGCTTGGAATATGCTGGGCATATTGTACGAGCGCATGGGTTTAAAGTCAAACGCCTGCAAGGCCTTCAAGAAGGCCTTACAGTTTTCTAGTTTGAAGAATATGGATTCCATCAACACGAATTACGGACGATCACTGTTGAACATAGACAAACCTGAAGAATCGGTCAATGCATATCGTGACGTCCACGAGGCTACCTTTAATAGTGGAAGCGGTCTTGCACTCGCATTATTTAAAGGTATGGATTATTTAACCGGTTCTTAAATAATTGAGAAAATACCGTATGTTTTGTTGAAGATAAAAAATATCAAGAATCTTATGAAGCGTATGAATCTGCATTGCATTGGTTGACGGAGGATGAAGGTTACCAATCAGATTTGTTAGTTGCTCTGGCCTCGATGGCTTACTTATTTCAAGGTCCAGATGAAGCTAAAACGCTTCTACTTCAAAGGTATTTATTGTGGATTTGAAAACAAACTTTTGATTATTTTGAAATATTCCTTTATTCTTTCTTCAGCACGCAATTGAAACAAAGATCACCGTGGGGTTTGTATGCTACACTATCATTAGGATTATTACACAACGATTTGAATCTATCCCTTTTGGTTTTGAATGAAATGGATGAACTGATTGATAATAAGCAAGCTTTGCCGCATTACGGACTCCTCTTATCTTACATACATTTGTTACAGGTAAGAGATTAATTATTTTTATAAACTTTATTCAACATTTAGTGAACGTTTTAAGGGTGAAACAACGAAAGCCATTAGAGAACTGACCAAATTAGTGCATCGTCATCCAGATCAGGCCTCGCTCTGGCTATCCTTATCCGTCTTACTCTTGAGGTTGCACGATGAGAAACCAGTTTCTCAGTCTGCTGCTAAATGTGCTGAAGTTGCCATGGCTCTTGGTCAAACGAAAATGGACGTTACTAAAGTAATGAATCACTTAATCTTCCAGTATCTTTATAATTTGTTTGCTGTTGCAGGTTTTGTGTATCGTGTCGTTAGCATCGCTGTTTGCCGGTGATTTAGACAAAGGACTTGTTGCTGCCCAAAGGGCCATCCACATTTATCCGAACGTTGCAGAAGGCTGGGCTGTCCTAATATTCGCATTGCATTTGCTCAAAAAGAAAATGTCGAAGAATTTTAATGTGGAAAATCTTAGGAAGAACGTATCCTTTTCCAAGAACCTCTCCGATTGGATAAGTAACGTCAAAATATAATCTAACATCGACGAGTGATAACGAAATATTTAACAAGTTTACATTTTTTTAAAAATAATAAACATTGATAAATATTGCAGCATTTGCTTGCATAGAATCAACACAATTACTAAAGATATAATGGCTTGGAATTATGAGCAAGTGAAATAGGATTTTAATATAATTAATGTGAATAGTTTTATTTCATTTTTGTTATGAGGATCAAAATTAAATCAATTAAATTGACTAGTATGATTTTTTTATATACAATCTATAATCTTTTCAAAGACATGTATTTTTTTTTATAAATTATATGAAGACGTAATTCGATTAAATAATAATGAATTGTACTGTAATTCTAGTAGCTTACGAAATACTATATTTATTCAATTGGTCTTAACGTATGCTGGTATATTTCCTTCAATACCTTAAAAAAAACAATTAAATTTTTTAACTTCTTGAAGATTTTTAATTACCTGCAGGTGGTTGCATTTCAATGTCAACATTGACGAAATCGGTGTTCAGACCGTACTTGGATTTATTCGATTTGTTATGCTTAGTATTTCTTTTGATAATTGGAGACGATTTTTCAACTGGATTCTCTAGCACGTCGCTAAATTCGCATGTGTTCAAATGATACGACTATTGCAAAAAAAAAAAATAATTATATACTTCTGAAAAACAACAAGAAACCATGCATAATACCATGAACGTGATGAATTCTGGCCTGTAATAATCGTAGATTTTGGCGGTTGTGTTAACCCGATTATCTATAATGATATTCTCGTTGATATTGAATGGAACGCAGACCAGATCATTTGTCAATTCGGTAAAATATAGGACAACTTTGTCTTCGAATTCCTCGAATTTTTTTACCTCTGCAAATATAAAACAAAATGAAATATTGATAAAACATCCTTGAGGTATTAGCAATACTTACTAGAAGAAAAATCATCTGTCAATTTATGTAGCGAAGCTCTATCCGCTTCAAAACCGGATGGCATATTTACTTCTAAAACGGCCATGTTCGAATGTCCAGTGCCCAAGAACGAAATGCAAGGTGAGATTATCCGTATCGAACATTTATCAATAGTCGAAACCGGAGCAACGTCCACTTGCAGTTTGAAAGCTTCACTGGTCTCCACTTGTTTAACGTTGTAGGTCACGGATAACTAAAATTGATTACTTCAAAGATTTGAACAAAACCATTACTACCAGTTTTTACTTGGGCTAAAACGCATCCCGAACCGCTAGCTTGGAGTTTCAAATTTTCAGGAACAGCATTCATGTTGATCTCCTTCGTTTTCATTCCATCCGCTGTATTGATGTTTATATTGTACAAGTGTTGATCCCCGTTGATAATCTTTATGGTCAAATTCGCTTCTTTCTCCTTCATAAAACTACCATATCTCGAGAGCGCGTCTAAAGCTACCGAAGTATCCTAAAATGAAAACATTAGATAATTACCAAATGAAGTTTTTAAATTAAATACTTGTGTTGTAACAAAACTTCCAGAAGATCTTCTTTGAGTACTCAACCAACGCACGATTTGACTGGCGTATATTAAATTATCGTTGTTTTTAGATTCAAGCAATGAAAATAGGGCATATGCAGTGGTTTCAATATTTGTGGACGAACTTCCTAGAAGAACACTTATATGGCGAAGTACGTTTTAAAGCAACAGGAAATATTATTTTACCTGTTTCTACGTTCCACCACATCATTTTATCATCGCTGGTAGCCAATTCTACTAATTTCTTAACATATCTATCAGCTTCAGATTTCCACTTTAGGAGATACAGAGCGTAGCTACATAGTGCTACAGTGTACTTATCCGCGTAATACTGTCCACGGATACAGTAGAGAGCGTTAGTTTTAACAGACTGTGGTATTTCAATTCCAGATTCCAACAGACTTATAACAACATAGGCGGTTAACGCGGCGGTGCTGTTTTCCATACTAGTTCCGCCCTAGACAAAAAAAATAGAATTATATTGAAATTAAGTTTGATAGAACGATTTACCATATCTTGAAACACATGAGATACAGCCGGAAAGCATCCATTTTCCAATTGCTTCTCAATAATCCATTTTGAGGCCCTTCTGATTATATTCTCATCTACATACGTGTATTCCTTGGCTTGCTGCAAAGTGCGCACTACGAACGCCGACAAAAACATGCTTCCCAAAGAATCGTGGTATCCAAAAGCGGAGAATGAACCATCCTCATGTACGTAACTTAATATCTTCTGGTAACCTAAACCCAATTTCATAATATTATAGTGTCAGTATTCAATAATTAACGCATTACCCATTTTAATATTCTTCACCATCCTCTGCTTCAAAGCTTGTGACAATTTGTTATTAGCTTTCAAATACTTCATTATGTATAAATTGGGGGCCATAACTGATATTATTTGTTCGCCGCATCCAGTCGGAATGTTTATAATCCTTTCAAGATTCTGAATTGTTGGTCCCAACAGATCAGAATTGAATATTAATTTTGTATTCGTGGAATCGCTGATCCTATCTTTTGGAATAACAACATCCCAAGACACGTTGTTTAGTTGATCTAAAAATGAATGTAATTAAAAATATTCTAATTGGATTTAGATTACATACCTTTTCCACAAATAAATACCGATTTTGAGAATTCAGACTGGTAACCTTCGGGTTCTACAAGTAAAGGTTTGACAACAATGTCGCTGAAACGATGATTCGTGATTTATTGGAAAAAATTCGGAATATTATCATTAAAATAAATACTTTTTACTAATGATGGTTTCTGGGCCGCACTCCCTTGGATAGGATGAGTCCGTTTCTGCTAGAACAGTGACGTTTATTTTACCTAGAGAGATACCCTTGACGATGAAAACATGCGTATGGATATCGTTGGATTTAACGCATATTGAAACCTTCATCAATTCTGGTTTCTGCAGTAGTTGTAAACGATTCGAACTTGGAAGAGTTACTGTTATCTACAAAAACAAGTTTGATGATGATGAAGAAGGAAAAGTATTTATTAATCTTACTGGTAAACTGAAATTCATATAGTTATGTATTGAAACTTGCATGTAGAAAGTTTCTCCTCGTTTGATTGAGTAAGGTAATAAAATATCTATGAAAAACGGTTTGAAAACTGTGATCTCCTGAGTTGGACCGAGCCCTATACCATCTGTAGGTGAAATGCAGATGGAATTGAAGACCCAAGTAGTTATGCTATGCGGAACTTCCCTGATTACCTTAACTTGACCAGTACTACTGTAAAAATCATAAGATACTTATAGATACTTTATGAGATGTACTTATTATAATTACTTGGTGGGTATTAATTCCCAAAGCCAACTTTCCGGGAATTCGCTACGTACAGATACGCCTCTATCCTCGTTGAAGATCTCGTAAGAATTTGGCAACGAGAGCAACCTAGGAAATATATCAGGTTCTGAAACGATGAAAAATTGGTGAATTGTCTCTACAAAATTTTGTCAATTATACCCAAGTTGCAAGGCTTCGAAATAACATTCATGTTTGTAATGATGGACAGATCAGCTTTCTGGAATGCTTCGTAAGAATCGTAATCGTTGGACACAAGCGAAATGATTGAACGACGTTTTCTTAATTCAAATAGTTGTTCCGGAATTTTATCTATGTTATACAATATAATGATTATATTATAAAAAAAATGACATTTGGTTACCTTGTTTCCGTTTTATTGATGATAAACAGTTCGGTTTGTGCTTGGGAAGGGATTCTTTAGTGTGCATAAACGGTTGGAATATATTTTGAATGTTTAAAGATTTTGGAGAAGTTGCTAAATCCACAGCGGAAATGGCGCATAGCGAGAAACTCGTAGCGTCAATACTTAAAGTGGTGGATTCGCCGGGATAAACATTGTCTTCTGACCATGATGTATTGACCTGCAAAAGCGTATTTCGTTATCCTAATTTAAGGTTTTCAAATAGATTAACTTACTTCGTTAGGTAAACATTTATCGAATAAAATATCGATATTATTGGAGACAACTTCTTCTTTAGTAATATAATAGACTATTAGAGTAAATCTTGCAGATACGGTCTTCGGCAATCGGAATTTCAGAACGCATTTGTCTATAGAATTTTCAACTTTATTGAACTTTGTTTCCGCACCAACTATATTCTTCAATTCATTCTTAAAATTTATTGTTTGCTTTTTAACAGTATGCTTGGTGCTTTTCAATTCAGCGATCCCGTTCTTGGATTTCAGCTACAAAAATAAATAGATACATGTCATTCAACATCTACTACTTCTTAGTTAGTGATAGTGTACCATATAATAAAAAGTTAGAGTCTCGTTGTTCCTCAGTTTGTTGCTTGTGAAATATACGGCGTAGTGTTGCATTGATCCACATTTTGAAAAAACTTTCGTATCTCGCTCGATAAGCATATAGCTGTTCGACAATGAATACCATCTATTCAGTTTCAGGCTATCCGATAAGCAGTTATCTTCACTCTCTAAGGACTTTGCCTGAAAAGAACGGTCCGTTGTAACGAATCGACTATCTGGGACAACAAACTTACGCTCAAACTTATTTCCACCGCGTTCTCTTTCATCGGCAAAATGGTAAACAGCACGATGCCATCTTCATTGAACTTAAAAAAACCGCACTGTTCCGGCTTCAAATTCCAAGGTTTCTTGATCGCCACCTGATAACAAATCTTCACAGTTTCCTTCTTCAGATCGACGTAACTCTCGGTGGCCTTCACTTTACCATAATAAGGTAAACCCGGTTGGAAATATGTTCGTTCTTTGGAAAACTGTAGTTTGTATTTATAAGATTTCACTTGGATTCCAATCGTTTCAGATTCGATTTGATTGGTCCCGTACTCAGTCACGGTACTGGTTATTTTTAGAGCCCAATTTACTCGATGGCTATTGGTGAATGTGCTGAACTTTAAATCGATTTTGTTGAATTTATATTCAGCGCAACCATTATACAACTACAATCATTTCGTTAAATTTCCATCAGACTCTATAGTTCAAGTTACAAATTACCCATGCGATTCTGCTGGTCGCATTAAGTGACCCATCCGGATAACTAATTTTCATCAAAGACACTCCTTTCACTGGTTTCTTGAAAGTATATCTAAAATGAGAATATTATATAGAATAATCATATTATTTTCTGAAAAAAAATTATACTGTTTACTTGGCACACACGAAAAATTTATAATCTTCAACCGAATTTGCGTATATTGATTTGGGTGCTGTAATTTCCACTTTGAATCGAGGAAGCGTGAAACGTTTCACCATGAAATATTTAAGAATTCCATTAACTTCTACACTCCATTTTCCCTTTAATTGTTTTTAGTTATAATTAATTTCAGTAGTTAAATAATAATCATACCAATATTGCGTCGTCTGTTAGTTGATGTTCCAGCTGCACGAATCCTAAAAGCAAGTTCACTTTTCTCCAAAGCGATACGATGAAACCTTTCGGATTAATAATTTTAATGTTGGAAATCTGCAAAACTCGTTGAAAATGATAGATAATTTCGTAATAATATATAAAGTTATTAATACATTTCGTTGATTGGTGCTCTTCAAATCGTGCGACAACACTAGAAGTCTTAATTTTACAACATCGCCCTGCTTGTAAATATTCCTATCGGTTTCGATGAAAGTGACATCGGTGTTTGGGTAAATTAAAACAGCGTCCTGATTGTGTGAGGCATAAATTGTACCATTTAATTGTAATTGCAAATGTAGACTTGCAGTGAGCACCTCGGTAGAGGTGTGCGAAGGTACTTGTACGTCGAAACAATAGTAATCTGCAAGAATTTTAAAAATTAAGATGTGAGAATGTACAAGAGATTATGCTCAAACCAGAGGTGATGAGTTTGGTGAATACATTATGTTTATCCTTGATCTTCAGATCGAGCAACATCTTGACAGGCAATTGAGCGTCGTAGAGGGTGACGCAAACGGTCTCATTTTTACCTGCGAGGAAGGTGTTAGCATGCGAAAGCATGTATCCTGGTACCCTCAACTTTAAATCACTGAAACAGCACATTTAACACGCAATTACCTAAATACGTCTGCACCGATAATTACCTGATTTCCGCACTGTAAACACCGAATGTCAAAATAAACAACGTAAAGTTAAACAAATACATTTTATTCGCAACGCTTCAGAGCATTAGAAGCACATTGATTAAACAACTTCATTTAATGTCCTTATCATGTACATTTCCGCTAGATGTGAACTGGTGGCCTCTAAGATAACATAGTAATAACATTCCGTGTGAATTTACAAGCGTTCCGTGCTTATCAATGAACCTGAATGCACTTTGTCAATCGCGTTTACAATCTAAATAATTCTCACTAATTTATGGGATTACTTCACATCACCCGTAGATGTAGCCGAGGATGGCTGTACGGAGATTATCGCTCATGGAATACGCGCCTTCGCTTAACGCTCCATCCATATGCTTCTCTTTTACGAAAACCTCGCTCGACCCGTACTCTTCGGTCAGCAGCTCTTCGGAAACTTCATCCGAATCCAATAGACGCATCCATTTGATCTTCCTGTTTAGATCCCTGATAACAGTGTAGAGCTGCTCCTGCACGACACCATCATAAGAATTGCTGTTCACCATATTCCAAACTTTACTCTTCATTGTCAAGTAGTCCTGGTTCAGCCTTGTTTTGTTCTTGATTAAATATTCCACACATATATCCAACAATTTCTTGCATTCTAGCAACAAAAAAATAATATGAAATCAAGTTATTTAGTCTATTACGATCTATTACCAATTGGATTATCGTTTCCAGTTTTCCTTCGAGAACGGATTATTGGCTTCTTCACCACCGGAAGCACGCTCTTCACCTCATTTTCCACCTTTTTCACTACTCTCAAAGGTTTCATACTTTCAAAATCCTTTGGCGTCTTCCTTTTTTTAATATCTAACACTGAACTGCTACTTTCTGGTTGTTCGTCTTCATTCAAATATCTCTTTAAGATTTCGTTTATGCTACAAATAAATTAAACTCTATTATCATTATATGAATAAAAACACGTTAATAAAGTAAAATCTAAATTCACAATCTATTCAATCTATAAAAATAAACTGAAAATACTATACAAAAGATCTAATGATAATGCAAACAAATGAAATAATAAATTGTTCTTTACTTTGGAATATCCGTTTTATTTGTTTCCAGGTTTTCCTTGTTTTTCGGTAGAGGCACCATCGACAGAAAGTACTTTAAAATGTCGCAGGGTAAATCGTTCAACATGTTTTGCAAAATTTGAGAAGTCTAGAAAAAGTTTAGGTCATTTATGCAAGTATGCGGACATAGAAAATAGTACAAATTACATCATCGTATTCGTTCTGGTCTGAGAGCGGTTTGCTTGAATACTCCTTGATCACCTTCAGCGCTTCATCGAGAATGTTCAGTCGGTTCTTGTAGTGCACCTTTAGGACGCGCATCAGCAACACGTAATTTCCATCCATTTTAACACAATGCTCTTTAAAAAAAAACACTTACACGTTGACTGTTGTTTGATGTGAAACAAAAGCTATGCGTATTCAATCAACAAAAAATGAAACAAAACAAAAAACAATCAAATTTCCAAGTTTTTCGTTGCCTGCTTTGACATTCAAATTTTAATATTAATTATTAGTATTATTGATATAAACAAAAGTTAATGTAAACATATTCAATGTGAAACTGTAGAAATTTCTTAATATTCTTCTTAATTTTCTCAATAATATTACAATACTTGTGTATATTACATAATTGTAAAACAAATATTCACATTGAACGATTTTGTAGGATTAGTCTTATCTATCCTCTTAAAGTATATCATATCAATCCAAATGTATAGAAAAAAAAACATTCTATTTAGTGAAGCGACTGCGTATTGTTTGTGTATAATGGCCAATTTTAAATACGATCTGGGCGACGAAAAGGATCAAGGATTTCCTATATATCTTGCAGTATCTTTAATAGTTTTACTTGGAGGACTGTTTGCAGTGGTTTGGGCTGTTGATGCGACTTTACCATTCGCTTTGACGATTGAGGATGAAGCTCAAAAGGCGGATCGTTTTATTGCTGGTAGGGCTCAGGACCACCTGAAAGGTCTTACAGATATAGGACCTAGGGTCGTGGGAAGCGTAGAAAACGAGATCCTGACGGTGGACTATTTAAAAAGTAGAATTGAGGAAATTTTGAACGAATGCAAAAACCCAGGAGTGGACATTGACCACCAAATACAATCTGGTGCGTTCTACTTAGATTATCGACCTTACGGATCCATAAACGCTTACAGCAATCTGCAAAATCTCGTTGTTAGATTACCAGGCGAAGATGATACAAAGGAATCAATTTTGATTAACTCGCATTTCGACACGATGCCCAATAGTCCAGGTATTTTCCCATTAAATTGTGAAAATGTAAGTGATTCTAATTGAAACGTTTCAGGTGGTAGCGATGATGGTATTATGTGCGCCGTTATGCTTGAACTCTTAAGGCACATGTGCAATGAGCAGTCAAAGTCTAATTTGATATTCCTCTTCAACGGAGCCGAAGAATCGTACTTACAGGGTTCTCACGCTTTCATAGCAAATGAAAACAAGTGGAATGATCGAATAAAATTGGTAATCAATCTCGAAGCCACTGGTGCAGGTGGTAAAGAGATGTTGTTTCAAGCAGGTCCTCAGCAGTATTGGCTACTAGATCATTACAGTCAAGTGCCTCACCCACACGCGCAGGTCGCAGGAGAAGAGATTTTCGAAAGTAATCTGATACCGTCGGATACAGATTTCAGAATCTTTCGAGACTTTGGGAACACTATTGGTTATGACATGGCTTATACCAGAAACGGATACAGGTATCATTCGGAAAATGACGGTTTCGAAAACATCGACGTCGGGACTTTTCAACATACCGGAGACAACGTATTGGCTTTAGTGAGGGCCTTAAGTAAAGTCAGTGTTATTAGCAAACAAGATCCCAATCGCAAACCAATATTTTACGATATGTTTGGACTCTTTCTGGTATATTACGAGGAAAACGTTGAGGTCGCTGTAAACATCGTCGCAATTCTGTTATCTTTAGCTTCTGCAATTCTAGGATTCTATAGAGCTCAGTTGAGTAAGTTATACTAAAAAAAGCAAATATGTTAATTATAAACAAATAACTTGTTTTCTAGAATTTTCAGCGAAAAGTGGAAAATGCCTAATAATTAATCTATTGGGAACGATAGTTGGCTGGCTGTTGGCTTTAGCTTTTGTTTTAGGAATCGGAGCCATCCTGGATGCCGTCAATAAAACGATGAGCTGGTACAGATTTCCATTCTTCGTAGCTGGTTTGTACGTAATCCCGGTCTTCCTTGCGCTGAGCTTAACCACAATGCTCTTATTGAAATATAACAGTTATGTAAGTTATACTTTATATACACAAATTATATTTCAAAATTTTACAAAGTCAAATTTCAGGAAAATCTGAACGGAGACGTTCTCATTATTATACATATAAACCGATTGATTTGGACGGTAATACTTTTAGCTGGGACAGCTTTAAGTATTAGATCGAGTTACATTTTAATCTTCCCCATTTACTTCACCAGCATCGCTCTTGTAATAATCAATGTTTTCAAACTAGAAGTTCAAAGTGAGTGAATTTAATCGTAATTATATCTAATAAGAAAATATGCATGTCCTTTTCAGGAAAAACCTGGCAGATCGTTTATGTAATATCAACGGTGATTCCAACGATGTTTTCCATGTACATTGCTCTGGAAGTTTACGGCCTTTTCGTTCCAATTTGCGGAAGATCAGGCTCTGAATCGAATCCAGAATTCATAATCGGATTGTTCACTTGGATAATAGGGAGTTTCATTCTCTCATTCTATGCAAGTTATTAATTACTCAATTGGTTTAATTAATTAATTTATTATTTTCGGTAGGTCCCAATCGTCTGCATGGCGAGATATCTCAAGTATCTGTTAATGGTGCTTTCGGGAACTTGCGTCATTTTCATAATTGTTGCATGTGCTGCGTTTATTCCATACGATGAAAATAGTTCTACTCCAGTTTTGCAACGATATTGGATGTTTGTAAGTATAATAACAATATAGAATTCTGTATAAATATTGTTATTCTTATTTAGCATTCGTCCCGTACTGTAAGAGATGATAGTAATACCGTAATAAAGAAGGATAATGGATTTTCATTTTACAATATGGATAGAAATTCGCCGATAATTCTCGAAGATTACATAGGAGATTATTTGGATAAAGCCGAAAGTTTAGTGGATGATTGCAGAGATATCCTGTACTGTGGTTTACCAGTACTTTTCACCGAATCTAATGAAAACTTGTAGGTTTCTTACCATGAGTGGTTAATATTTAATAATTGTATTCTTTAGGGAGAAATACATTTGGATTCCAACGGAAACTGAGCCTAAGATAGACAAAGTTGATTTAATGTTAACATCGATAGAATATTTTAATTCGGGGAAAGAAATATTTATGAAGTACTGCTTCAAAACATACGGTAATTAAATCTCATTTTTCAAATTGGTGGGGATTGTAAAAACGTTTATGTACATTTTCAGGGACCGATCACTACAACATTTACTTCTCACCAAGAGAAAATATAATGTTGAAGAAGATTGATTTGTTGGAGACGGTGCCGACGAATCAACCGAAATGGAACGGTCGTGAAACATACTTCATTCTCTACGTGGATGGCAAAGAACGAAAAGCGTTGGAATTCTGCATGGATCTAGAATCTGTAAACGGCGAGTTCGGACGGGTCAATCTTGACATCGCCATTGCCGGAACGTATTACAACGAAAAAGTCGTGCAGAAATCCGATGAATACAGAGAATTTCTTTCGAAATTCCCCAAATGGACTTCGTTGAACGCCTGGAGCGGATCTTACGAGTCGTGGGTGTATTGAGCAAAACCAACAATTTTTCATATTAGAAAGCATCGATTCTTATTATTATTATTAATTTAATGATGTAATGATTTATTAATGACACTTAGTGTTAAGTTTTACGACAGGAGGTGCATACAATGTATTATTTATATATATAATAATATTTTTTTCTCATATGTTTCTTTTCATTCATATAATATTAAATAAATCTAAATAACATTTAACAACTAATATTCTCAATCACCTTTTCCAATCGTCGGCAACAGCTACAGAATATCATTCGAACGAAACGTTAATTGGAAATATAGGAGAAAAGCAACATGTACACATTCTATATAGGAAACAAAACAAAATTTAAATAATTGGCCAAGAAATCATTCTGGTTCAGTTTATACGAAATCAGGATGATTTTTACATGAATGTGTGTGTGTTTTACTCTTTTCTTCATATCCTTTTGTTTTTTAAATATATGTATATTTATATATGTATAGTGTGCTTTTTATACAAGTGCTCTGGCCATATTTAAGAAATCTACATAAATAACAATTGTAAAAGTAATAACACTGTACAGATCCATCGCGCATCAATCCTCGCTTCAATAAACAACTGTATCGTGAACGAAATACGTTTGTCTACTACGGTCGCTGTTTTCTCCGAATATCGTTGGGTCGTCGCCTTCAATCGTGCAGGATTTCACATTCTCTTCCTCGTTATTGTGGTTTACTTCTGCTTGGAAAAATATAAATTCTCAAGCGGTCCGCATATTAATTTATGAACACTTACAAGTAAATATCAAGAATCATTATTAGATCTTATCGTTATTATTATTTGTATCTGTTGTATGTATACGCAATTATTCTTATACATTAATTAGATTTATCAAGAACATTCATAGAATCAAATAAAATGGTATTTCGGATCAAAAAAAAAAACAAAAGAAAGTGAAGATTAAGGTGACATACAACTAAACGGTTTTTTTTTGTAACAGTGACTAGATCTTACTTTGTTGCATAAATAATCTAATAAAGATGTCTCATATAGAAGAGATAAATAATATAGATTTCTTCGTAAATATTATATTCTTATATTTAAATATATCTATATTATATATATATATAATTATCCATCTTTATGTGTGCTATATTTAAATGTAATGGTCGAATATTGACTATGAAGCTACTTTAGTACCACGTAAGTTATTTTTCTCTTTAAATTTGTTACAAGGATAACATCCACGAATGATAATAGATAAGCACAATTCAGAAGTAGGCACCAAAACCTTCCTCGTTTCCATTCACACATATGTATTTAAATCGATGTAATGCAACTTCCAAAGACATTAAATTGAATAAACACACCCTCCCTTATTTTCAAATAGACTTCCGCTATTCTTCGATAAGTATGACTCTTCTAACCACCTACTACACCTATAACATTTACACTCTACGCAAGAAATCGCTCAAGAGGACACTAAGAGAAAAAGAGAGGAATCATATCAAAAGTATAAGAAATAAAATAATATGAATAAAAGAAATTATAAAATAAATAATAACAATAATTATATTGTACTGATTAAAAATAGTAATTTGTTGTTTGTTTTTTTTTTCTTTTATACAAGTATATGTACATGACTATAAAAACGTAAATAACAAATAATAGATACGAAAATTGCAAGAACACAACATTAATTTAAAAAGAAAATAAATGGAATGAAAACACAAATAAAATTATCAAAAAAAAAATAAACATAAATACGACTACAAAAATTAAGAAAAAGCAATGCTTCCTACATGTGGTGCAGCTAGTTACTATTTTTGTCAAGCTTCAGGTTAAATAAATCACTGTGTATCGATAGTACGAAAATAAATACTGGATGGCCTCCTTCATCGAATAATTAAAAATTAAACAAATTATGTACAGACATAACATGAAAATAAAAAGAAGCTCTGTAACTATAGTATTTTGGTTTAAGAGTATACATGTAGTTAATATATATAATAATTGAGTTATCAAATTTCTGGTGGTTCCATCTTTTCTTTTTTAGAGATTTACAATTCGATTTCTAACCAGATACACCTACACAATGTTTTTACTCCTTCATTCAAATATGCTGTGATTTATGTATTCTTTTCCTTCAATGCCCAAGTCGATTTGTCTAGTTAAAGCGCTCAATAAAGGAAATAAAGAAAATATCGTTTTGCTAGTACTCACATATGAAACAGGGGGTGTAAATACACAAGTCGTCTTCTGTTAAAACTTTGAAAGAAACAACGCAAACCGAAATGATATGTTTCCATTGAATAAACGAAACGAAAAATGGAAGAAAGTAAGAGGATAAATAATGTCCTCAAGGAAATCACTTGCACCACGATCATCATCGATTATCTTTCTTGCCTTTTTTCTTTTTCTCTCTCGCTCTCTTTCTTTCCTTATCTCTTTAAATATTTAAACACATATACGCTACTGTTTATTATTATCGGCTTTGCTAAGAGCTATAGCCATCTCAAGGTCAGCTTGTTCTTGCAATTGTCTTTGTTTGCGTAGGTCCTCCAGCCTCAGGCTCTCCAGTGCAGCCCACTCCAGCTGCTTGTCCTCACTGGGCATTTTGTTCTTGCTAGTCGGAGGAGCGGACAGTCGGCCGGTAGTAGGTGGCGGTTCGATGGATCTAGCGATGCTCGGCAACGGCACCGACTGTCTTCCTCCGAGTCCGAAAGGATCGAATTTGTCCTCCTTGCCAAAGTCCGCCCCGAAGACCGAATCCTTGCTGTTCGCGCCGTCATCGTTGTCCTTCGAATCGGAGGGCTCGTCGTCGAACGCTATATTGAACGGATCCTCGTATCTATAATCCCTAAACGGATCGTCCGTGAACTCTAGCCCTTTGCTTGGAACATTCGCTGGTTTGGTTGCACTTGGCTTGTCGGAGAACTGAAGAGTATATTGTTATGTTATTAAGGCTGAAAGTCAGTGTTAATATGTTAGTAGAGATCCTGTAAACGGCTCGCCTGCAATTGAAGGCAATTAACAACTAAATACTGAAAACTAAAATAAACGGAAATCATATATAATGTGCCTTGCTCCATCATGCCAACTACCGCTCGATGACTAAGAAGTAAACAAAACATAATCAAATAAAAACTATTCTGAAGAAATTCAAACATCATTTACAATCAGTTTGAATTTCCTCTCAGAGAAATGTATGCACTGATCATTGTAATTAAATTAAATTAATAGTTTACATAGAAAAAATCCTTTATAATGCATTTGCATACATTTATGTTTAATAAATAAACGGAAATTAATAAAATTAAAACATACATAAAACAATTCAGGTGAAGTTCCAAATGGGGATAAGAATCTTGAGTATTTTCTGGGAAAGTGAGGATAGGGGTATGTAATTACTGGGTATTTGTAATCGGGTAAAACGCTACGGTGCATACACTAAATAAAGAGAATATAAAAATGAAAATCAAATTAATTTACAAATCGAGATTTTTAAATACTTAGAGACGTGACCTAAATTAAAAAATCAACAAATTCCAAAGTTATGTGAAACTAACATCTTTTAATAAATGCAATAAAAAGATTAGAGTTAGATAAGTCACGTCTTGCAGTAAGTTAAATACCACCAATCTGTATAAATATTAAACTTTATTTATTTAATATTTACCTTGGCATCAAAGTCTGCAAAGTCTGCGAATCCGCCGGCTCCGCCCGAAGAGAATGGGTCACTACTATTAGGAGCCGAAAATGGGTCCTGCTGCGGAGCCTTAAATGAGGGTGGCTGTGGGCGTGGCGGAGCAGGTCTTGGTGGTTTCGATTTCTTCGGTGGAAGAGCTGGACTCGGACTGGTCGGTCTTCCGGGACCAGCTCCATCTCTGGTTGGCGCGTGCAACACAGCGAAAGGATCGCATCCGAACGGATCCTTGTCAGGCTAAAAAAAATACGGAACACGTAAATTCCCACGAGATACTGCAGGAAAACCGATAAGTACCTCCGGCGTCGTTGCGTTCGCCTTGGCATCCCCGAAGGCATTGAAAGGATCCGGCTTCGTCGCCGCCCGGGATTCGAAATTGTTGAACGGATCCGCCGCAAAAGTTTCCTGCAACGAAACAAGCTATTCTTAATGCTGCCCAAAAGAATCCAATGAATATTCTCACATTTTCCGCAAAAGCAGTAGGATTATTGAAGGGATCGGCAGCCGCAAATCCATCAGCGCCGGCATCATTAGCCTTGAACGGATCTGAAAATTTAAAGAAAGATCAATATAAGCATTCGAATGTAATAATCAGGATTAATTGTTTACCACTGGCAAATGGATCGCTGTCGAAACCTTGTGATGCCGAGTTGGAATGACCATTTTGTACAGTGAATGGATCGCTCTTTTTATTGTCAAAGCCGTTCTGCAGAAATTCAATTAAAGGTTCAGATATAGTTTATATAAAATTAGATTGATGATTCAATTGAATACCTGCTCAGTCATTCCGTTGACGGAAATGAGTTTCTTGTATTCAGCATCGCGGAAGTCTGGATTGATTCTAAGAACAGTGTCTACGACGGTCGAAGCGTCACCTGAACTAATGGCCGTGTCGCAAGTTGCAATGGCATCATGCATTTGTCTCGATTGTTCTTGTAATTGGGTTATCAATGCCTTAGCCTGAAACATTAAACGTTTTCATTTGATCTACGAGTAATAAGTGATTACAATTTAGACGTACTTGGCTGATGTTGAGCTGCGTGGATTGCAGCTTTCCCGAAAGCGAATCCAATGTGTTGGTGTTATCAGCCTTCAGATGCTCAAGCCTTTGTTCCTCCTGCTTGAGGCTTTCGAGCTGCTCCTTTTTGCTCATCAACTCGGCCTCCTGCGTGTGGATCACTTCAGCTTGCTCGGCCGCTTGACTCCTCAACCTCTCAACCTAAACAGTTTCAATGATAATAAACAACGTCCCACCATCGAATCAACTTAATTTACGAGACACTATAATTTTCTTCCACCTATCGCAACTGGCAAGCCATCACACCAACGTTTAAACAAACAAAAAAAACATTAGCTTACCTTATTGCTGTGCTCATCTAACTCCAATTGCACATCCTCTAACTCACTGTCTACACTGGTCTTCTAATAAAAAAAAATATAACCATGCCAAAAAAATATATAAAAAAATAAATAGTGCACATAAATAAATCAATTAAAATATGTTTAAAGCTACGCTCAAATAAACGGGTCTTAGTAATATTTGTGTCGGCTCCTCAACCCTTTCTGTATGATAATTAATATAAGTTACGCCACACAAACATAAATTACTCAACAAAAGCAATGCACAAAGCTGAATCAGTAACAATTCACATGGACTATTTTCGCATTCCTTACCTGTGCCTTTAAATCGCCGAGACGTTTCATAGCTTCGCCTTTCTGATTCTCGAGTTGCTTCAAAGTTGCAGCCAAAGTATCCAATTCACTCTAAAAAAGAAAAGAAATCGCGACACGTTGAAGAACTTGTATGTATAACAAAGATAAATCAATACTCACTTGTAAACTCTTGATCTCTCCGCTCTTCACCTTAATGTCAGCCTCCTTTTGAGCTATATCGCTCTCCAATGCGTACTTCTCTCTCGCCAACTCCTGGATGTCCTTGCTGATCATTTCTAATTCCGGATTAGAATAGCATGTGTTGTTATTTTCCTATAAAACAAAAACAATATTATTAACAAAATGTCAATGAACCTGACAAAGATTTTCATTTTTATCGTTGTTGTTACATTAAACATTAACTTTACCCACGGGTTCTTTTCATCTAAACTTAAGAAAGTTAAGGAAAAGGCGAAGAATTATTATCAGAAGAATTACAGAAAGGATAAGTCTTGGCACTTCTTGGACCACGATCCTGCGCTTTTTCCAGGAACTGATAAGGAGTACCGAAAGGAAAATCAAAAAAAGTGGGATACGTATTATTCTTGTCTGCGAGAGCAGGAGAATGCACTTGGTTTGCATGGAACGCCGGTTCCGGAAGCGGTCCAGGGCTTCGAAGGTGGCATGGTAAAGTAATGGGATACCAAAAAATGTGATGATTAACATATATTAACGGAATCGTATTCAGGTTCGAATGTAAAATATGTCTGAGTCCGAAGGAGCAAGATAAACTCGAGTCGATCAATTGGTACTACGGAAAAAGTCACAAGAAATTCTTGGAAATCATTCTGTACAATGAGCACATTATGTTGGCGCCCGAGGACAAATCATTATTGATTTACAACTTGAATAGGAATCACATCGGACAGTACGTCTGCATTTTAGGAGATTCCGTAACGGTGCCATATTATCTAAACGTAGAAAACGGAACGTTTAGTTTAAACCAGGCAAAGAACATACAAACACAATATAGAAATGATCTTAATAACACATGCATTCACAGGTCCATTCAGTAACCGCATCGCTTGGACCATACCCGAAAGCTCCACAGGTCTTGCCCGAATCCAATTTAATATTGGACACGGAATGGGGCCATTGGTCTCCGTGCAGTAAATGCAAACAAGTTGGTAAACGGCACAAATTAGGTTATTGCACAGTCAAATACCTAAACAACGCGAAGAAGGCGAGAAGTGATTTGAAAACGAAAAACACCTTTCTTGAGAATATAAAACATGTTAAAAAAAACATTATTATTTATAACTAAGATTTGAATTTTGAGGTTTCAGGTTTTTTTCAACGAAAGCTTCAAGTTGAATTTTAAAAAAACAAAGCCAGAGGATAAGGAGAACAAGGTGATTGTCATCAACGAAACGCAAGTGGAGTTAATACAGGTCTTCCAAATGGGCATTCCGTGTAGAGCTGAAATTTTGCCGAAATCAATCAAAAACAACGTAGAAGTTAAGAATCGATCGGATGAAGTCATAATAGGTTTTTGTAAGGTAAATCAATAATGCTCTAAAAAATTGATGCTAATGCATTGTATATAAAGGTTAAATGCCCAAAAGAGGAAATCTTTGAAGTGAGAGACAAGCACGGAAAGGTTTTGGAAAGGGCCAACAACTCGGCTGGAGAGTATTCAATGGTGCAAGGACTGCCGCCTGTTGCTCCTTCAGTGCAACGACTTTTGCAGTATGGAAGAATGGGAGATCCTGTTATAATCATGTGTCCAGGGTACAGATACCATACTCCAAATATAGTTATAAATATTAAAAATAGGTTTTTTTTTTATAGAAACTTAAATAGTGAAGATCCGTTGCAATGGCAAATAAATTCGAAAATAATTCTACCGGACGTTATTGCTAAGGAATCCAAGGGCAGGGTCATTGTCACACTCTTGGACAGAATACAAATATCGAAAGCGAAAGTATCAGATTCAAATTTATACAGGTAACAATTTCGGTACATTTAATAAAATGATCATGTGATTATTATGATTGCGTTTTAGTTGTTGGCAGCACAACGAATTGGCCGGAACAGTGCGGTTGGTTGTGGAGAAAAGGATTAAGTTGAGTTTCAATCACCACCTGATGCTTATAGGAATGATTTTTATATTAGGGACTTTCATCTATGTATTTATGAGAGCGCTAGTAGGCAGGAAGTACGCGTCTTTGGGGCAGAAGTAAACTTACCACAGGACCATCAGTAGACTTGTTCGAACGGTATGATGGTGGGATCATGTCCGGATTGAGGCTGGGCGGTGGATTGACACCCTTCAAACATCTGGCGACGAACCACATGGCCAAAGCGAACTGCTCGTTGTTCAGTTTACCACTTTGATTGATATCGCAAAGTGCCCTGGAAATGAAGAGGACAATACATATATTGGACAAACAATAACAGATGAACATGAAATTACCATATATGCGCTAGAACTTGCTGCGGCACGCCGGACTGCAGGAAGACATCCTTGATTTCCTGCCCGGAAACGAAGCCGTCCTTGTCGACGTCGCTTTTAATAAAAAGCGCGTCCGACTTGGCCTTCTCGTCTACGGTCACAACCCAATTGTGCTGGGTGGTTGGCGGCACCGGCTGCACGGGTCTAGGTGGCGGATTGGAATTGGTCGAAATCAGCGACGGGGTAACCGGCTGACTAGTCATTGGAGGAATAGCTGGAACAGAAGGAGGCATTTTCGGTTTGACACCATCCAATCCGGCGATCAGAGGCATCGTCATCGGCGTCGACCCTTTCCTCTTCACAGGCGGCATCAATTCCGGCGGCAGGGTGTTCGGAATCGCGTTTTTCTCCAAAGCTTTGTACACTAAATGCATTGCCTGCAGATTGACGAAACATATCGTTAAAGTTTGCATAACATTCTGGTTTTAACCCATTGAACTCACAGCTACGAATTCCGGTCTATCGAGCATACCGTCCTTGTCCTGATCAGCTAAATCCCAAATTTTGCCCAATGTCTCCAAAGGAAGTTTCGAGTCCATAAGCACATTTTTCACCTAAACATTCCAAATTTACATTAAAACCAAAACAAAATTCACAATACCACAAATAAATGTAGATTATCATATTAAATCACCTTATTTCCTGGTATCATCCCGTTGATCGGTTGAAGAGAATCGAACAGCGTATCGTACTTTTCCCTTTCAGACGGTTTCACAGTCCAGTCTACAGCTGTCGGCGGTAGTGATGTTATTAGAGGAGTATTTGTAGGCAGAGGAGGTTTCTTTGGTTTTGGTAATTGTATTTCGCCCTAGAACAAAAAAAAACAATACGCAATATTTAAATAGTTTCTTAAACGTGAAAATCTGCCAGAATCGTCATGAAAGTATATGAAATTCACAAGGTATCGCGTCTCTTGAAAACCCAAACAGGCGTAAGGCAGTTCAAATAGTTCAATTAAGATCAATGGCTAAAATTAATCAAGCGCTCTTATTGTCACGTACATTATTGATTGTATTCATTTAGGTATATTCATCCAATTATAAACGGAAATATAATAAAACAACAGATATAATAAATACAAATATATATAGCAGGCACTATCGATCGGGCCTCAGAGTTTCTATGTTAGGAAAACAATGGGTATTATATATATACACACACACAGAGAAAACGGGGATGCGGAGATGTTTCGGAGCGGAAGCATATAATATTTACGCAAAAATTGACCAACCCTTGAACTTTCACTAGCCATTTATCGATGGCCTCATTAACTCCAACGAACGTTAAACTTGAGCAAATTAGGATAAAAAAAACTCTGAATTATTAATAATAATAAATAATGTATTGCGTACATGACAACACATACAATGCTATTATTGAGCGCATTCTTTCCGCTACTCTAATTATTATTTTTTTTTTATAAATATACATATATAAATAATATTCTAATCAAAACTCGTACTCATTTTTATGAATTGTATTGTAAATCTTTATAAGCTGTCGAATGGATAAAACTTTGAGAAATTGGAAAAATTAAATAATAGAATCGAAAATAAATGTATTTCTAAATAAAGAAATATTGTAAAAGAAAAGCAGAGAAACACCTCTCAGGTAAAGCGATTATTGTTTGCAGAAGTTACGTAAGTACCGACTGCGATGCGGAAGGAAATCGGGCGTTTACTAGTCACAGACCGGAATTGATTCAGGACTGACGGATAACAAAAACAAGTAAAATGTTATAGGTATCTGATCAATATAACAGCTATATAATCAGGCTTTGCGTTGCACAATATAATTACTTGTTGATTCCGAATACCGATCCGCTGAATTATTAATGGCACACACGAATAACATAATTCGATGGTTTTGGTAGCAAGCACAGATCGGGAATAATTATTGGGCAGGAAATGGATATGTACATTTATGTGCATAAACAAAATTTAAAAAAAAAACAACAACGCTAGACGAGATAATGAGTTCCGTTTCATTATCAGATTAATTCAGTGCAACGAATGTGTAATCCGAAAGAATAAGCAAACTGTATGAAAAAAAAAATATATTTCAAATATATAGTTATTTAATAATCAAAGATATTTGTACGTATTAAATAAAATGATTACATTATGAAACGTTAAATAAATATTTAATGAAACATAATCAACTGTGTTTATATTAGTTGAGTGTCGTTCATGTCAACGAGATTTTTCATTAAAAATCAATCAACAAAATCAATTTACAAAAGTATACAATATAATAGTATCTGTCTGAGGTTGTCAAAGTCTGAAGTTTTAGCCTCAATGACATCCTTCAACTTTTCATTTTTAGCTCGAGGAAATATGAACGTGCACCGGAATAAATATAACTTTACTTTGCATAAGATATGCTAACGTCTATTATGCAATAAGTAACTTGTTACACTAGCAAATTAATTGAATTACTATTTTATTCATTTGATCTTCAAATTAAATCATTAATTAATTAAATCAAATATTTCAATAGAAATGAAACAAAACTTATTTGCAACGAATGTCCCCTTTCGGATTGTTGGCATCATTTCAAATGTGTAGTAATAATCTACAACCCTCGCTCTAGATTTCCGAGCAAATCGATTTCGCGTTTCCTTGAATCAAAAGTTATACTAAAATTGGTATAGTTTTCGCATCCAATTTTCTCTACAGCATATGAACTTTAAATTTTAATGTTTACACGTTATTTCGTATCTGTTATGCTCTATGTATAATATTGTTGTGACATTCAATATCAATTGTATTTATATTACTTAGTCCTTTGTGCAGATTGTGCAGTAAATATAATTTCATCTTTGAATGTAAAATAATGTTTTTGTTGTTGATGTTATTATATACATTTGATTGATAATACAATAAAATATAATATTAATATCTTTTCCTATAGTACAAACATAATTTCTTCTAAATAAAGAGAAATATTTTTATTTGTTTGTATTTATAGATATTAAGTAATAAACGTTTTAAGTTTTTTTTTTTCATCAATAAAATATTTCAATGTAATGGATTCACCTGTAGGCAACATTGAAATTTGGTGAAGTTTGATTGATGGAATCCATTAGTTTGGTATTGATTAATTGAATGAAACTTACCATTTTGGGTGGTGCCATATCCAAATTAATATTAGACATATTGATGTCCCTTCCAGCCTGGGCCAGAGACACCAGCTTCAGAGCAACAAACATCCCAGTCTTGTCCAAGCAACCCCTACCACCTGGATCTGATAAGTCCCAGATTCTAGATAACACTACATCACTTAAACCAGATTTCTTGAGGAAGTGAGCTGCCTCCATAGCACCCACTGTTCCGATCCCCTTTGAGTCCACCTTAGAAACCAAATCAAGGATATAATAATGCAAGAATTAAATGTATTGATACTTACATAGTTGTAATAAGCCTCATAAATGGCATTGTTATTACCAGCCACCTAAAAAAAAACATGAAACAACAATTAGTGGAAACGTAATAAGTCTTAGTAAACATTGCACAAGGCAATAAAAATTAATGTCTTAACTGATAATGGATAAAGAAAATAAAAGTTATTAGTTAATTGTGACATTTAAAATGACATTTTTATAAAAGTATAAGTAAAAAGGGCAAATCTATTAAGGGCGGCTATTACCATGGCTTCGGTCACGTTCAACAGATTATTCTGATAAGAGCTTAAGTGGTGAAGCAATTATATGAAAACTGTGGTGCATTTAAATGTATTATGCATATTCTTTATGGAGCTACCAGTCTGATACGCCGCCCACTGAACTGTCAGTTCGCTAATGTTATCGGTCGGAAAAAGTTGTTAAGAGTGAAGAAAAGTTATTAAATTCAATTTACTGGTATAATGCGTTACTAATCTATGGTCAAGCGGATTAATTAGAATTAAAGAAAGTAATCTATGTCAAGTTTTTGGCGTAAATACCTGCGTTGGTGACGGCAGGGCGGCCATGTTTTCGAATACTGACTTGGTTGTTTATTGGTCGATTTTTCTTCTGACAGCCGATGCGCGCAGTAATCAATAACAAGTGCGCAGTGTTTCCAACCTTATCAACGTAAATGTCAAACCAAGGCAATTGGAATCAATTTTTAAAATATATATTTCTTAATTCATTAATTTATTATTGTTTTTATTCCCTAATAGGTTTTTTTATATGCTTAATTAACACTATATGATAACTGTTTTTTTTTTAAATATTAACAGCGGATTTCAGTTCAAAATAAAACTGATTTCCAACAATTTTGTGCACTTAATGATTCGATTTGTAACTCTATACAGATACAGAGGAATAAAACTTTTCTAATATGCACGTTAAAATCGAAAGTTCTTGCTCGTTTTTTAAATTTCAAATTATTTTATATAATAATTAGTTTGTTGCGAATTATTGGCGTTCCGTTGAATTTAAATTGTGTTACTTTTTGTATGATTTCGATCTTTTATAAGATTAAAGTCAATCACTGTGATAAGGCCTGATGGAAAAATCGCGCAACCTAAAAATGGGCTTGACATAAATGTCAAAACATTGAATGATACTGACACAAACAATATCATCGGTTTTGCCAAAATTTTCAAGTTATTAATAAGCATGTGCAAAAAAACGGCATTGCCGGTTCTTCTAAGATAGTGAATGTGCTTGAATCTGTGACAATGAACTGACGAAGGTGGGCGAAGACATGTGTACCAGGAACTAGTTGTAATTTTATTATTTTTGTGATGGAATATCAAATGCAAGATTTCGACGTCGACCAGGAGACCGACCTTCTGCTAAGTACGGGATCTGTAAACTACCATGGAGACATGGATGATGAGTATGTCGTGCGCAGAAACAGAAGACGCAATTTTACCTCAGCTATGTGCAGGTAATTTAACCTATTTTACTTAGCGTATAAAAAGCAGAAGCTGGAATCTTATCAACTGTTGATAAGCCAGCAAAAACAATCAATTTACAAATAACGGCTTTACACAATTAAATCATTGCTAATATGGTATATGCTGTAATCACAAACAAACAATGACAATCACCCAAATAAATATAATGATGAAATATAGTGAATTATGTATGTAGAAATACAAACCGGGAAATCGGATATTTTCAATTATTAAAAGGATTGTTCTAGAATGTATATTATTTGGATAATATTTAATAATAAAATTGCCATTTTAGTTCTAATCAACTTATGAAGCTAGCTTCAACTTGCTGATCAGCTGATTCTGACGTATCTGACAGTTACGAATTTTCTATGTTTTCTTGGAAAATGTAAATAATCTCAACTTTGATGCTGAATAAGTTTTGAATTTTACTTTGCTATTTTGTCGATGCGTCCGATTAGCAATTATTAATCGCAATGGACAGCGTAGAATCTCAATCGCAGAGCAATCTCAATAAGCCTACGTCCAAAGAGGATATACCGCTGATCACAAAAGCGCACAAAGAGCCATTCTTTTTGAGGTAAATTCATGTTTTTTAGAGCATGGCATGAGTCAGGCATTCATCTTAGTGTAGAGGTGGTAGCACATTGTTTTCTAATTATCATTTGCACAAATGGTCAGACTTTGGTAATGCCATTTATTTTATCCAATGCATTGTGTGTGTTTTTTAACTCTTATTTGACCTCTAACTATTATTAATGGTTTCAGTTGATTCTAATTGATTTTATTTGTTTCAGTTGTTGGTGCATGTTCTGGAGAAGATGCTGTGGGCCCAGGGAGCTCACCTCTCGCACCATACATTTAGGGAAACCCAGTCCTGGCCAGTTTCCCGCAAATGCTATCCGAAACCAGAAGTACAACATTTTTACATTTTTGCCCTTGGTGCTGTACCAACAGTTTAAATTCTTCCTCAATTTGTATTTTCTTATAATGGCGACCAGTCAATTTGTTCCTGATATCCGAATTGGTTATCTATATACTTATTGGGGACCACTGGTAACAAAACTTTCAAAATAATTTACGCGTTTTGTATATTTATATAAAATTTTCTTTATATTTCAGTGTTTTGTATTAACAGTGACGATATGCCGCGAGGCTGTTGATGATTTGAGGAGACACAAAAGGGACCAAGAAGTGAATAGTCAAAAGTGCAAAAGGTTGATAGATAGTTTAGAAAAGCCATATGAAATGGTCGCTGCATCGAAGCTGAAAGTATGTATTGATAATCTTGCAGATCGCATTGAATTAACCAACTATAATTGACGTGTTTTAGGTTGGTGACTTAATAATTGTGGATAAAGATGAACGTGTACCAGCGGATTTAGTTCTTTTACGCACTTCGGAGAAATCCGGATCGGTGTTTATTCGCACAGATCAACTCGATGGAGAAACTGATTGGAAGCTTCGTTTGGCCATTCCGGCCACCCAAAAATTACTTGCAGATCACCAGTTGTTCAACACCAATGCTAGTATCTTTGTAGAGAAACCACAGAAGGATATCCACTCATTTATTGGCACTTTTACTAGAGTAAGCATTGTACTTATATGTATTTTCTGTATAATTTCTTATTTTTTTTATAGCATGACTCTACTGGTGGAAACGAGAGCTTGGATCTTGAAAATACACTGTGGACTAATTGCGTCATTGCATCAGGACAGGCGCTTGGTGTTGTCATATACACAGGTAATGATTTTTTTCAGAATGTTTTGGTTTCTTTAGAGTGTTTATTTGATTTTTCTTTATTTTATTGACGTGTGCGTGATTAGGTCCAGAAACTCGTTCTGTGATGAATAACTCTGCACCACGTTCTAAAGTTGGACTCTTAGACATGGAATTGAATACACTTACTAAACTTCTGTTCGCTGCAGTAGTTGGTTTGGCTTTGCTAATGATGGCTCTGAAAGGATTCAGCGGACCTTGGTACAGATACCTATTCAGATTTATTCTGCTTTTTTCATACATAATTCCTATTAGGTAAGCGTTTTATTACGATGAACACATTTATTCCTGATTTGGTTATTAACACAATGCTTTCAGTTTGAGGGTGAATTTGGATATGGGCAAGTCGTTTTACTCGTGGTCTATAGGCCGTGACCCTGCAATGAAAGGGACGGCCGTGAGGTGCACAACGATTCCTGAAGAGCTTGGACGAATCTCGTATCTTTTAACCGATAAAACTGGCACTCTAACGCAAAATTCCATGGTATTAAAGCGACTGCATCTGGGAACAGTCAGTTATACTCCGGAAAGCTTTGTGGATGTTACCAACGTGTTGACAAACGCGTACAGCAATCCCGAAACCTCATCTTTATCTAACGGAAAATTCAGAAGATCTGAAAACACTCGCATTAAGGATGCTGTCGTCGCATTGGCCCTGTGTCACAACGTCACTCCGGTTTACGAGAATACCGAAGGAAGCGATGATGGTAAAGGTAATATGTCATATGTTACTGTAGTAAACTAAAAAAAGCTTTGTTTTCAGGATCTGTTACTTCGGATGCTGAAGCGGATCAACACGTTGCTAATCAAAGTGTCAATTATCAGGCATCCAGTCCTGACGAAGTTGCACTTGTTCAATGGACACAGGATGTTGGGTTGGCTTTGAATCTGAGGGACCTGAGTTCGATGCAGTTGAGGGGGCCCAGTGGTCGTCTTCTGAATTATAGCATTCTTCAAGTGTTTCCATTTACTAGCGAAACTAAGAGGATGGGGATTATTGTTAAAGTATTAAATACTAATTATGCTGTAATTATGTATAAATTTAAAAAATATGATTTTCTTATATAATTTAGGATCTTCAAACGGGAGAAATTTGTTTCTATTTGAAAGGCGCGGATGTTGTGATGTCAGCAATCGTACAGTATACGGACTGGTTGGACGAAGAAGTAGGAAATATGGCGAGGGAAGGTTTGAGGACTTTGGTTGTGGCAAGAAAGATACTGACTGAAGATCAATATTTAGATTTTGAGGTAAATATTATGAAAATTATTTTATGTGTTTTAATGAGGCTCTTTTAGACTCGTTACAATGCGGCTCGTATGGCTGTAACAGATCGCGTATCCCGAGTTACTCAGGTAATCGAGTCTTTGGAGCGCGAAATGGAATTGCTGTGTGTGACTGGAGTTGAAGATAAATTGCAGGAGAATGTGAGGCCTACCTTGGAACTACTTCGAAATGCCGGCATTAAGATATGGATGTTGACCGGTGATAAATTGGAAACCGCTTGTTGTATAGCTAAAAGTTCCAGATTGGTATCAAGAAATCAAGGTAATTTTTAGATGCTAACATCTATCTTCTAAATATTAATTAATCGTAAATTACAGGTTTATACGTTCTCAAGAAAGTCGTAACGCGCACAGATGCCCATTTGGAGTTGAACTCTTTTCGAAGAAGAGGTGACAGTGCTTTGGTTATCAGCGGTGACAGTTTGGAGGTTTGCTTGCAATATTATCAACCCGAATTTATGGAGTTGGCGTGTGCAGCACCAGCCGTAGTCTGTTGCCGTTGTTCTCCGACCCAAAAGGCACAAGTCGTAAGTTTTCCGGAATCGATATTCCATTCAGAACTAAAACGTGTTATTAACTTATTTCCAGGTGCAATTGATACAAAAACATACTAATAAAAGAACTGCTGCTATTGGCGACGGTGGAAATGATGTTAGCATGATACAGCAAGCGGATGCTGGCATTGGTATCGAAGGGCGCGAAGGAAAGCAAGCCAGTTTAGCAGGCGACTTTAGCATCCCGCAGTTTTCTCATCTTGCCAGGTTGCTGCTCGTGCACGGCAGACGATCCTATAAGAGATCGGCATCTCTGTCACAGTTCGTCGTGCATCGGGGTCTCATAATCTCCACTATGCAAGCGGTTTTCAGCAGTGTCTTCTACTTGTCATCTGTGGCTCTATACCAAGGTCTTCTCATGGTTGGATACGCCACTGTATACACTATGTTTCCGGTAAGCAAACGTTCGCGAACATTGCAAAGGTAACCATTTCATGATTCGATTCCCGCAGGTCTTCAGTTTGGTGTTGGATCAAGATGTAAGTGCTGAGATAGCATTAACGTATCCTGAATTGTACAAGGAACTAGCGAAAGGTCGAAGCCTATCATATAAGACCTTTTTCATGTGGGTCTTGATTTCAATTTATCAAGGTAAATATATATATATATATATAAAATGTAATTACAATTCTCTAATAATCATGCAAATCAATTTTGCAGGTGGGGTGATCATGTACGGAGCCTTGTTGCTTTTCGAGGACGAATTTATACACATAGTGGCAATAAGTTTCAGCTCTTTGATCCTAACTGAACTAATAATGGTTGCATTAAATATCCGCACTTGGCATGTGCTTATGATTCTGGCCGAGTTATTTTCGTTAGCAGTATACGGAATTTCACTAATTCTATTTCACGAATATTTCGGTGAGTTCTTTCATCCAAAACCAATCATTTGAAGAGACAGCTAAATAAACCTCTCGACATTTTCAGATTCTGAATTTATCAAAACAACCGACTTCTTCTGGAAGGTGTTGGTAATTACTTTGATATCCTGTCTGCCTTTATATATACTGAAGATATTGCGTAAGAAGTTCTCTCCACCTAGTTACAGCAAATTGTCATAATTAGGCAGTTTTCGTTTTTCTGAATGTAGAGTTCTTCGTGTTTTAATAATGTGATGTGATTGTTGCGATTGTGTATATTTCTTTATTTTTTTTTTATTACGGTTACCTCTTGATTCTGTAACCGAAGATGCACCAGTTTCGTTTATAATGAATTTATTATTATTATGATGCAATTATCAGCTTATTGGCGAGTTTCTAGTAAAGATCGAATACACCTGTAATTATTTTATTTTAATTTTTTGCTTTTGGGAAAAAATAAGTAAAATTAATTAATTTATTCAATCTTGTCGCTATTGATGTATTTAATTTAATAAAATTATATTCGTTTCTTTTTAACACATATTTAACTACATTTAATTTATTAGTTATACAAATGTTATGTAATGATTATATTAATAATATTTGGTATGTACAAATAAATAAAATATATTACTATATATATATTTGGCTTATTTCACTTATACATTCCACAGAACTAATTACATAATAAATATTGTATTCATGTTCAACATGTCTAGATCTCTGCATTTTGATGTCATTTTCACTAGTTCTAAATATAATAACTAATATCTTTCTTGATAAAAATTACTTGTATTATTCTTATACAACGGAAGCATTCATGTCTTTGAAAATAGTCTTCTACTTATTTTTTAACCATGTGTTTAGATATATATTTCTTAATTATCAAGTAAAATAATATTTATTGCATACTTAAAAACAATTTGTTATGTGATGATTTGTTTATGAGTTTGTAGTGGTTGAAACCATCCGTGTAAGCATTTTGGTACTGCACTTGGTGTTGTGAATACGGCCCTGGTTATCTCCGAGAATGTCTTTGCATCTAAGATCAAGATTCCCACTGTGTTTGTGTCCTCACCTCCCCATATCATCGATGATACAACTATACCATCGTCTTCGTCCTGTAAGAAATCCATACAATGTGATATTAAAACGGATTAAATGTACTCACTTTACAATCGGGATTTGCTATGAAAATAGGTTCGCTTGGATAACAGTTCGGTTCGCACCAGGTTTTACAATTTCTCATGCATGTGTCCACTTTGATAATCTAAAAAGATAGAAAACAATAAGTACAAATGGTATTTTTATTAATAGATCAAAATTTGGTTTTATAAATATTGCTATCTCTATCTAATTTGGTGCATATTAAATTATAGAATTTAGTCAAGTCGAAAATGCCGGAATTTTAAGTGCGAAGTAGCTTATTGCGTTGATGCGTGAAATATGTTTCTTAACTTACTGTCCCAGGATTATCGGCATCCACGTCCGAGCTAATCGCATAAAAATATCTGTATTTGCGTCCCAAATGTCGTTCGTAATTTATTCTGGGCGTTTCGCATCCCAAATCACAAAGTTTCAGCGGCTTTACGCAAATTTCACCGTCATCCGATATTTCAGCACCGGCTTTTCCAACTTTCTCATCGGTCATTAGCATAGGCAGAATGAACCGGAGCGGTCTGCCCCTGAACATTTTTGCATAATCCGGATTCTTCTGCATATTCTGAAACGGATTCAAATTTCAAGTCAGTCCACCTCGTCGATCGCGACTTTTATACCCTCATTGCATCTATGTACATGCAATCGATCATAGCCGGATCTCTGTATCCGCACACATCCAAAACTACGGTCTCATCCTCCGCGTCTTCGTATTGATTTATGATGTGTAGGTAGAAAAAGGATTCGGCGAAGAATTTCCGCACACAACGACCGGTCTTTCTGCATATCAAATTAATTTGCGTCTAGAAATATTGTGATTAATTTAATAGTTGGACAAAAAAAACTAAAATTTACCATTTCTTCTCCATACCAAGAAAAACTACCGACTAGAGGATCGTTCTTTAATGTGCATTTCACCATCGAAGGCAATGATAAACTTAGAGGCTGTTCCACGATAACAAAGTAATTTTCAGTTATTCCTGTATTAAAATGTTCAAATTATATTGATAATCAGAGTCTGAAGAAATAACTTACCAAATGTATGCATGTAGGATGGATGCAACATCCATCTTGCTGGTAAACTCGCCACGACTTTTGCGTTATCAAACATTTCTTCAGAACTAGACCCAATTGGGTATCGAACAATATTGTGAACTGGACCTGAGGTTCCGACGACCATGCCTAAATTGTACACGGAACCTACAGAATAGAAAAGTAAACAGTCATTATCATTAAACATTTAGCATAATTTTACCATCAGATTCGATGTGCGGATGCGACGATTGACTAATCAATCCAATACGTTCGTACACATTAACTTTCCCAAGAGAGTCCAAATTATCAGTATCTATCCTATGTATTACTGGACTTTCCCCGAAAGCGTACAAATCTTTTCCGAATGGATAAATGGAAATCATCGCGTTGTCCGACATCATTTTTTCAGGTTTGAACAGCGATGTAACCCTAATAAACATATAATCAATATCATAATTATAGTTACGAATTTTAAGACCTCTTAAAGATGCTGTTACAAGGATCTGCTACAGATTTAGTCCCGAATTCCGTGGCGACGATGCAATTTGCTTCCACGTTCCGCTTGTAAACATCTGATCGCAGAAATCTGCACTGATATTTAACATTTCCTGAGTTAATAATAAACCTGAATAAAACTTAGTGTAATTGTTAAATTTCTTTTTATAAGAAACTGTATTCACCTATGGATATGGGCAGAGCCGTCGAACAAATGCCCGAACTCTTCTGATCCCACCTTAATAGATCCTGGGCCGTTTCTGTATAATGATCCTTCTAACCATTTAGGTATTTCTCCTTAGGACATTAATCATTGACTTGATGGTTTATATTGATGCTATTTATATATTACCAGTGACTTTTCCAAGGATGGGTTCGGTGACTTCCTCGTCACAAGATCTCAACCACACGTTGACATCGCAATTAGGGTACAGATCTTTAGACTGATTATCCTGAAAAATGATGCAAATTGGATTACCAAGTGATGCTTTTTTATCTTGCTTACGATTTTAGGCACTTCTCCCAGTTTCTTCCTTGCTGGAAGCGGGGACCAATCAAACACCTCTCGATTTTCTTTCCGAAGATTCAGCTGCTTCTTTACTCCGGACATTTTTACTTATCTGACGACTCCGACTCATTTTGTTCGACCTTAAATACGCGACATAATTCAATTTGCTGAAGGTCATCTCTATTTATGTCAGGGCGGACAATGCCAATTGATTTTCCGCATTTTCGACCACTGGACGCACGAATGAAGGATTCATTTCAAATCTTAATGCAGCAATCAATATTATTTACTTAATTAATTTGGATTTTTTCTATTAACACATTAAATTAATTGTAATCAACATACATAAAGGACAATTACAATTGATTTCAGCGTTGAAAAATGCAAATCAATGAATATGTTTTCTTTTTATTATTTGCGCAATCAAAAATATTTTAAACAATGCATATCTATCATATAATGCGATAGGAGTTTCATATAAGTATGAACACATTTGTTTAGTGTTCGCGTAATTATTAGTTGAGATTCAAGATGAGATTAATTAAGTATTTCGGTTTCTTGGTTTTATTGGTAAAGTGAACATATGTAGGTAATTTCTCGTAGTTATTTAAATTGCTTTTAAGGCACAATATCGTTGTTGCTATGGAGAGATGAGAATCATAGGTGGAACAATATTGAATCCGCCGCATTCGGTGCCCTCCTACGCTTTCATCCAAATTGGAAATACCTGGTGCGGAGCTTCATTGATTTCCAGCAAATACGTTTTAACTGCGGCTCATTGCCTGTTGAACCGTACGGTCACAGCAACAATTGGCCTAGGTTACCATAGTTTATTTGATGAGAATGAAGCGCCTCTCCACCAAAAGCGCAATAGCTCTACGTTCATAATTCATCCGGACTTTGACGAAGCTAAATACGCTAATGATATAGCATTGATAGAGATCGACGAAGTCGAAATAAACGGTAATTGAAGTAAGTAAGTAATTAATGATGGTATAACGCGATACGCAATTTAAGATTACGTCAATTACATACAATTACCTTCGAAATCGGAGGCCGACGTGTCGTTCGAAAATGAAATCGCATCCGTCATTGGGTTCGGGATGACAGAGGAGCAGGAGATGAATGAATACCTTTTGATCAGTTCGAACAGCATCTTGAGCAACAGAGTGTGTCGTTTGCACTATTGGAATATTACGGATATAGATGATACTAAAATCTGTATGAACGGTGTTCATGCTAATAAGACATTGACCGGTGGATGCGATGGAGATTCCGGAGGACCGCTTTTGCACGAAAATCGTCTGGTGAGTGGATCACGGCTCGAGGATAGATTCGAATCTTCGTAATTATTTATTGCAGATCGGTGTGTTATCCTTCGCCGGGAAAGATTGTGAACTAGGCTTACCGACTGTCTTCACACGTGCCACTAGTTATTTGGATTGGATCGAATCGAGCACCGATATTAAACTGATATGAAACCTGTTTGTTTTGCAATATCAACGATAAGAAACTCTTTACCTACAATTTGCAAATACTTTAAAAATATTTAGTTCTAACTACGTCTTACATATTATTCATATCACGACACAAACACAGATTGTAACGCATTTAAACATTTTATTTTTTTAATAAAAATTAATTTAAAAAAAGAAACTTCTTAATTTTTATAAAAAAAAATTGAGATCAATTTCATATAATATATATAATAAATTGAATTGCAGCAATTTCGTATCTTATTAACTGTATTGTCATAAATTATGATTATTTTTCTATAATTTAAGTTTAGTAATTATGATTGAAAGTTATATGAAAACTTTGAATGAAAATGTAATGTTAATTAAGATCAGATCATATTTTTACTACTTCCTGCGGACGCAAATATTTGCAAGAACTGTTTGTCTTCTTACGTATATTTGTTTACGTAGATAAGTGGTATAAATATGCGATTTGGTTGGATTCGTTAATCATACAGTCGCAATGTTTTCTATACTCTGTTTCACGTGTCTGTGTGCACTTCCGGTAAGATAATTTCACTAAATTGTAACGGAATGATGTTTTTCATTATGTGTTTAAGATCGCTGTTGGAAGACCTCGCATCATAGGAGGAAAAGAGGTTGTTCCGCATTCTGTTAGATCTTTCGCTTTGTTGGAGATGCAAGGCTCATTGTGCGGTGGGTCTCTGATCTCTCCGTCTTACGTATTAACCGCAGCGCACTGCGTCAACAGGACGAATTCTGTGACGGTTTTCTTGGGTTACCATAGCTTGTTTGTGCAGGACGACCGTCATCAGGTACACACCAGCAACATAATTATAATACACGAAGGTTTCAATTACAATACGTGCGAGAATGACATAGCCCTTGTTCGACTGTCGCAGGAAATCCGGTATACGAGTACGTCTCAAGTAACAAAGCAAAATATATTAATATTGAAATGAACTGGTGTAGATTACGTGGATGCAATTCAACTTCCTAAATTCAGCGAGATGGAATATTCGCTCGATGGTAAAACGGGATTCATGTTGGGTTTCGGGAAGACTTCGGATGATACTCAGGATGAGGTGAGCGAGGTGCTGATGGCGGTGGAAAGCCAGGTGCTTTCCAATCGGCAATGCAAGGTGGAATACAGATTGCACTCGGATATACGGAAAACGCAGATTTGCCTTTTGGGTAATAAAGGGAAAAAACTGCTCGGTGGTTGCGACAACGATTCCGGAGGTCCACTGATTGTTGACAACAAATTGGTAAGTTTGTATTAGATGTGATAAATTGTTAGTTATTATATCTATTATTTTCAGGTAGGAATCTTCTCGTTTACCACGAAGAGATGCGAAATGGGATTTCCAAGCGTCTTCACGCGCGTTGGCCATTACCTAAATTGGATTAAATACCATTCAGATGCTGAAATCCATTAAATTTACAATTTCCATTTTAATATTTGGTGGATGCGCCGGTTAAATTTGATACAACAAATTTAGATCTAAGATTCAAATTAAAAAAAAAGACAATAATTTACCTACCTTATATATATTGCTAATCTTAAGACTCCTTAAAATAATTAGAACTTATTTATAAAAAATGTTTCAGTTTATAATTATTTCATTAAAAATAAATGATTTTCTATGAAGACATGACTTTTAAAAAATGAAATATTTTGTAATTTTAGAAAATAACTTTATTAATAATAAGTTCAATTTTTTTGTGTTTGTATTTAGTGATGTTTCATTTCTCCAAATTTAAGAAATCACAGAAATTTGAAAAAAAAAAAGATATAAGAAAAAAATGAGTTATTAAGTTATTTATTGTTATGAATAAGGGAAAGATAATAAAATAATACTTTCTATTACAAGTTTCTATTACAAATACAAAAAAGAAATAGGAAGTGACATTTTATTATACAGAAAGTATAATAAAAGTTTTTGTTACGTTCGGGATTTGCTGCGAGCTTCGTATATCAAATGGAATAAATAATATGGAGATGGAGTGGAAAATAAATCACACAGAAATAGACATAATCTTTTTTTTTCCTTCTTATATTGTCGGCAAAAAGTAACATACCATGAAATGGCTTCCATAATATTACGTTCACTATTAATAATAAAAATTTGTCTAGCAATAACAATCTACTAGATTATACCATTAACAATTTTTAATCTTTGTATCTCATCTCAAAAACCATCCGTTTTTCATAAAACGTTAAATATTCCCATTCTATAAAGAATGGGAAACGGAAACATTAACGGGAAGGAGGAAAGAACGAACTAAACAAAAATGGCAACAATTGAAACAAATGTTTCTTTAAATATTTTTTGTTTGTTTTGGGTAAATCTGCAAAAAGGACACTAGACGGCTGTACCGGGGGTCTGTTGGCAAAGTTATTCGAGCCTAGGGCATATTATTATTTTTTTTTTCCTTTACTTTTACTTTAATCCACACACACAAAGCTCAAATGCTCGTAACATCAATTACAATTAGTAAAAACGATATGTCGGTTAATTAAGTTATTTTCATCATCATTATTATAATAATTAGTTTTTTTTTCTTCGAAATAAATTCACTCGAATGTTAAGTCCTAAGTGATTTCCGCAACTTTGTCAAAGACCCGGCGCATTCACACAACGCAAACACAGTTTGTTTCACTTTCCTTATAACAAACAAACAAACAAACAAACAAACAAACAAAAAAAATTACTTATCGTTAAGTTTTCAGTTAGGTTTCATTTTTTCTTCTTCTTCAGTTCACCTAGTTCCAAAGGACTACAGAAAACAAGGAGGAAAATAGTATAGTAAGTAGAGTATATTATATTTTACAAGACTCGAAGAGAAACCTCTCATCGAGAGAGGCGGAAAATTCGCAGCTCAGTATTCAACTTCGTTAGATCATCTAAACAAACTAAGACAAAACTCTCCCAAATATATATTTCTCCGGAATATAACAAACGTATCCGTACATTATCCCCTTAAGCGGCTTATGTATCATGAAGCGAATATATTCGTCATAAGCGCTACGCAATAGAATAGTCCATGACGAATATATACGACATAAATGCTTAAGGGTTAATAGAAAAAAATAATAACAAAGAAAAAACAAAGACAAATAAAATACATCATTGAGTACAAAGAGAAAGAGAGAGTTCCATTGGCTACCAACATTTTGTTTATTTTATTTTTATTTATTTACTTTACATATTCTGTTTAATTCATTATTATTATTATTATATATATATACGTTTTTTTCATTAATTTTTTTTCGCATTTTTTTTTTATTTCAAAGTCGGATAGAAATCAACTGCATAAAAAACATTACCCCTAAAAATACTCGGTTAATATTATATAACCACGCAGCAATGTTTTCTTTTGTTTATGTTTATGGTTTTTTTTTGTTGTTGTTGTTGTTGCTTCTTTCATATAATATTTTGTCATAGTGTCATCCAATCATCAACAATTCTTAAATAACTCCTTGGATACCAGTTACATAAAAATTCAACAATCGACGTGAGTATAGAAGAGACAATTTGTAAATAACTAATCGCTATACGTATGAATCTTGTTTCTTTTTTTGTTTTTTTTTTCTCTTATATAATTCATCAATATCAATAGAAGTGTATGTATATATATATATTTTTTGTTTCAATTTAATTTGTGTGTTATCGTTTTTTCTTTGTATACATATATAATTTATATAAATTATATATATATTTAAATATAATGTATGAATAAAAAGGTTAACGTTAATAATACAAAGCGAAAATTGGATACGCCTACAACTTTACTGCCGGACTAAACCTCGTATGTATAGAATGGCCATCAAAACTAACTTTTAATATCAATATTATTATGTTCATTATTTTTTCTTTTCCTCACTTTAAGTTTTAATCTATTAATTTCATTAACGTTAATATCCGTCACCTTTGGTTTTCATTTAAGTCCATCCACGTTACATCTGCATTAATTTGTACCAGAAATTATTCCATAAACACAAGATTTCACTTTGTAAACAATAATTAAAAACTTGCATTTAAATTATATAATTTCACGAATCATCTTATAATTATTTATTTTTCATTTTAAATCTTAGTTCATTATAATTTTTTGTTGTTGTTGTGATTGATTTACCAATTTGCGGCGTGCTTGGAACGAAAGACTAATCCAAGTTTTTGAACTACCAGAGAATGGAAAGATTTAGGCTGTCAAGAAATTACTTAATTTTGTTGTAAATTGATTGTTAATATTAAAGCATCGATGTTTGTTTGTTTTTAATAAACGTTGAAGAAATCTCACCTAAAAAAAGTTGACCATTTAATCGTCTACTCAAAGTTAACCCTTTGCGGATGAATGGCGTATATATCCGCCCTAACATTTGCACATCCTAAATTACATGTAAGGCTACTGTGATGAAAATTTTTTGACGTTATGTCTGTAGAAGCGTTACTTGTGTCACCGAAATACGCCACAAAATAATAATTCACAGCAAAGGGTTAATTGTATGTTTCCTAGTCGCGTTTTGGAAATGAATTAACGTCCTAAGTGCAATTTCGGCGATGATTGCTGTATTTTCAAGTCCATTGCACAGGGAAATTGATATTTTGGTTTGAACTTTAACATTATGAAATGTCAAATATAATGTAGTTATGAAGCTATCACTCGCGCGCTCGACGAAATCGAAATAATTCTATAATTTACGCGAAAGCTGGGATTGAGTAAAATTGAAATAACGTTACATGATAAAATGCCTGAAATTGTGTGTCAACGTTATTAAAATTTGCTTCTTATATGACTTAACAATTATTTATTATAACAATCGTTCATGGGTCGATTTATGAACAATTGGTAGATCAAATAACCAAATTGACTTTGTTTGTTTGTTTTAGTTCTTACATTATTTATTATGACAACAATCCATGGGTCGATTTATGGAAAGTTGTTGAAACAAATAAATTTCCAGTTGTTTTTATATTAATTACAATTTACAATGTTTTTATCGCAAAATTATAGAATTATTTCTTGTTTCATTTGAAAATCTACCGATTTTCTTTAATAATGGAATTACTTGAAGGATTCTTTCTTGAAATTAATTAATTTAAGCTAATTTTTGCTGTATGCGATTAAATAATCAATTTTTTTTGATGAGAATGGAAATAATTGAAAAGAATGTGCATATTTACAAACCAAAATAATAGATAAAATTCCTACAAGTAAATTATTCTGTATTCGAATTGAACGAATGTACTGCGAAATAACAACGTATTTACTATGTAAATATACCAGATATCAAGAGAATGCTAATCATAAATAATAGAAGAAAGATTATTTCTGGTATCGTTCTCTAAATTATTATTTTCTTTTCTTAGGAACATGTACATATGTCCGTGTAACAATTTTACTTCTTCGCTTCACCCAGCTTCCACACATTGTTCATATCACATCACGGTATATATATATATATAATTATATACTTATTTTTTTTTATATAAATTAACCACCATCATTATCATAATAATAAATGCTTATTTTTCTTCTTTTTTTTTGTTGTTAATTTTCCTCAGGATATAGAACCCGTATAAATGGCCATGAAACGCAAACAACGTTTCGGAAATTTGTTGTGTATTTTACAAAAAAAAAACCGTTCAAATGCGGAGCGCGCGGCAATGGATTTCGCATTTCCGGAATCGCCCACCTACGACTATGCGATATTAGGTATAAATAGGCTACGTTCCTCGTATATTGGCTCGATGTAATTAGGCGAATTCCAAAACAAAAAAAATTAAATACAAAATTTGCTATTCAGTTCGATCAACGCGCTCCCGTTTCTTCATTCCTTCATTTAGATAACGTTAATTAGCTAACGATTAAGTTTATATCTACATATGCTATAGTCCGATCTCGGAATGAATTTCGGAGATTGCACTAAGTTTTCTGCTTCTTCGGTATTGTTTAATTCTCATAACTTCTTCCATTCTTGTTTTATTTATTATTTAAATATTTTAAGCTTCATTAAACAGATTCTCCCATAACAAATATTCATATAAATCTTAGCTATATTCTAAGCTCTTTACTCCATTGTTAGATACAAAAATGAAATACCTTTTCTCATTTACTTTATTGCTATCTTGGGCGGGGATCTCTCTTTTTTCTTACATCATTTATACATATATATATATAATCTATTCATCATTCAATAACAGTATTTATATATGTAATAATCCTAGAAAATGTTCCATAAAAATGGTAATATTTCTAAACGCTCTAGATGGAAGTCGATATTAATTATTTAATAACATTCACTTTATTTTCCTGATGCATATCATTTTGTTGTTTTCTTTTTGTGCACGTAATTGAACACCGATAGCAGCGATTGCTTTCTCATACAAATTTGGTTTGATTTTGGTTTTGTCGTGAGTTGTGATCCTTTTTGTATAGATCACATTTGAATGTGAAATGTTGCAAAATTAAAATGCGTATAACAAGTGCCGCCTGTTTGTATGTATATATATATATTTGTTTTTTTTTGTGTGTGTCATTCTTCTCTTCAACTACGATCTGATTCAGAGAATTGACTTGGATGGACGATGTCCCCGACCTCGCAAAAATTTAACACAAAATGATTCAACTATAGCTCACACTCGAAGACTCACTCAAACGTGTCTGTTTACATAATAGTGTAGGAAAAATTACAAACTACCAAAACTGCGTCCTTCCACGAGGAACGCCGTTTCCTGCAAAGAAACCAACAAAGAAAAAACTGTACAAAACGCGCGTTTTCCTCGCTAACTATACAAGATTCAACATTTATCTCGACAACTCAACTGCTTCTTGTTGTTTCTGTTACTCGTCTCTAAAATAATTGTATTTATAATATATATTTTTTTGTATGTATATTATGTATATTGTGCTATTTTTTTATATATATATATGTGTGTTTATCGTTATTTCTTTTTGCTGTTATTATTTTTTGTTGTTGTTATTATATATATATATATATATAATTAAGGTCCTAGAATGGGCACACTATGACTTCGTACTCGAACATCAGCGAGACTGCCACAAAGACAAAGTAGAGTATGAACATGGTGAAGCCTAGGCTCTTGTTCATCTTCCAACGGAAACAGGCGATAGACATGATCACGAATATCAGCATCATGAACAGGATCGTTATCGAGCACACCATTCCCACGGAGTTCACCTCCACGGGTTTATTGTACACGATGCCGTATATCAACCAAGGCACTGGTAAACTGAAACAAAAATAACATAAACATTAGAAACAAGTCTTACATCATTTCAACATTTCAACTAATGCAATTCATTACGCAACGTTCTACTATTTCTGACATGAGACTAACTATAAAGTACAGTGAAACTTCGCTTAAGAAGCAAAATGAATTGTAAGAAAAATGACTCGCTTAACGAGCGACGTTTCGCATAACGAGTGACGATGTGAAGAGAAGTCCCGAATCGTACGGGACTTGTATACACATATTATGTGTATGTTTGTATATGTTTCACTATACGAGTAAAAATCTCGAAATTTTGGAACAGTTTAAACTCGTTAAACGAGGTTCCACTACTACGAGCTGTCATTCATTTGACATTCATGGTTTTTAAATGGAAAGTTGATGTGACAACCAAAGAACCAAAAATCAATTACGAAATTGGGACATGACTCGAATTCTTTTCAAGATTATATTTCTCTCTTTTTATTTTACATACAACAGTCCCGGAAATACATTTTGGGACATCTAATCAAAAACAGGGACAAAGCGTGCAGTCTGATCAATCTAATAACATTTACAGTTCGATTACATTTACAGTTTACATTCACTGTTATAGAATTGCATCATAAGTTGTAGGTACTCTGACGTATATAAATGTCAAATGACATGATGACATATACAAATTCTAAGTTCTGACAATCAGCTGTTTTATGTCAGTATACTGATTCATTTTTAAAGATTACTTTTTCACAATTTCCTGTAAATATTATTATTTTTTTTAATTAAATATGTACGCTACAATTATGCCATAACGATACTGACACGTGACAAAAATGTTTGTTATTTTTACTTACAACATTTACATCTGACAGTTAGGTTGTAGATACTTTGACATATATTTATGTTTATTGTCAAGATGACATATAAAAATTCTAAGAAATGTTAAACATCTGTTTTATATCAGTATTCTTAAGCGGGGCTTCTTCTGTCATTTTGAAAGATTTCTTTTTGACAACTTCCTTCAAAAATGTATTGAAAATAAATATATTATTAAATATCTACGCTACAATTATGCCACGTTGCATCGTTTACATTTACATCTGACACTTTATATTCATTGTTATAGAATGACATAAGTTGGGTTGAAGGTACTCTGACATACATTTATGTGAAATGTCATGATGACATATACAAATTCTAAGTTATAACAATTAGCTGTTTTTTTTCGGTATACCAATGCGTCGCTTTTTCTGTCATTTTAAACATTTTTTTTTGACAATTTTCTCCAAAAATGTATTAAAAAAAATATATCTTATTATATACAATTACGTGACAATTATTCATTAAATCGTACATTAAATGCATATGGTGTGGATACAAACATTTACTGTTTATGCATTATTAAATTATTTCGCTTTACAGTGTAATGCGTTGATGGTTATTGATTAATGGCACTTTGAAACGTGTTTCTCTTAAAATCAGATTAAATTTGAACAAGTCTTGTTTAGTTTATTAAGTTATTGTGTGTACACGATACGGAATTTGCTAGTCTTCAGAAATTTCCTAAACTTTGAAAGACGTCAGCTATATGAAATTCAATGCAGAAAGTTTATAATCGAATGGACGATTTTTAAACGAACCATTATTAAAAACATCAATATAATTATAATTATCACGTTATAAATGGATTCACATAAAGAAAGTAAAACATTAAAATCGATTATTGATACTAACGATTTGTTTCGTTAAGCTATAATTATATCAAATTGATTCATATCGAGAAAATAAAATCATTTTTGAAGCAACAAAAAAATAATATACTTAAACCGCATTTAAACGCAACCATTTATAATCTATTCCGAAGACTATTTACGTAATGTATTAGTACATATATATAGAAACGTCAAGCAATAAAAATAGATGCGGAACAAATGAAAGGAATCGATCGGCGTTATTCCTTGCTGAACAAACGTTTTTCGTAATTCAATTAATTCATGCACTGCACTATAAATGTAAATAGATTCAAAGTTATATGTAATAAAATTTTCAAACGGACGTTTGAAAACTCCATGGCTTTGAGATATTTTTTTATTTCTGTAATTGTACAGAAATTTTGGTGTGATTTTATTTCAACTTTTTTTTTGCATTTGCATTGTAATAGGGTTTTCGCGAGAAAAAAGGAGCGAGGTAATTCCATTTATTTTCCGGCTCATATTTACATAATCCATTTGTGCATCGAATCGTGTCTACAGTGCAATAAATAAAATACGTGCACATTTCTATGCCTCACAGTAATTTTTACATAATAAAAACGAATTATACAATTTCCTAAAGAAGATCTAATAGAGAAACTGTTTTCATCTTTACATTTTTTTTATTGATTATTAGGATAGTTTTAGTAAGTAAATGTTTTTTTTAAGTTAACTCGTTAGTATCACCAATGGGCCAGTGTGACCCATCTGATATATTTTTGCATTTGATTGTGAGAGTTGACCCTCTACAACAGTTTTCAGTAAGAGCAAAGCAATCGCGGCGAGAGGTACTTATTTTATGGTAGAGTGTAATGAGAAATCAATATTTGGATTTCAAATTGGAATAACTTTGGTTTCCCCTGTACCAAAATGGGGAAAATCAGTAATTATGGTATCTAGTATGCATCACACTAATTTTGTGAATGAAAACACAAAAAAAAACTGATAAAATACATTTCTATAATGAGACTAAAGCATGTGTGGATGCACTTGATAAACGGATCATTTTGACCCATAGTTAGTACTTGTGTTTTATCTATTTATCCGAAGTCGTTACGGTTTAAGTTGCATATTGTATAGAATTATATTTTAAGCTTTAAACATCCATGATTTTATATAATTAGTATTTATAACATTAATTTTGTTACAATTTACTGTAAAAAAAAATAGTATTATGTAATCTTTTCAATATGCACACACACTGACTCAGTACAGTTCTAAAATTCCTTAACTTGTTAATTTAGATATATTGAAATATTCAATTTACATTTTTTCTAATTTAATTGTAATATCATAAATTTTCCATAAATTTTATCCATCAAGTAAATACTTATCGACGTTGTAAGAGATTAATTTATTGCGAACAATATAAAGTTAGACATGATCTTGAAATTTTGCATTATTATTAAATGATACGGTCGGACAATTCGAGTTGCAATATAAAGAATTATTTAATATTTGTTCCTCCCACGATTGACCTTTGAAACTCCAAGAAATTTAATTATATTCAAACTTTTCGAGGAAATAAGTTTGCAAACATCAGAGTCAGCGTTTCCAATAAACTGTAATAATAATCAAGTTGTAGAAGTTTCACTTAATTATAATTATATTGTATTGTATCTGTCCTTGAAACCTGCATTACGATACGATTGAATGATTCGCGTTGTAAAATGAGGAATGATTAAATTTTTCTTCCTTTTAAGTTTGACCTTGGGTAATGTACGAGTTTGACTTTAATTTGATTTCGAATTTTCCAGGGCAGTTGTCGCGGAGAGAAATTGGAGTTTTTTTTTTCTACTATTCTCAGCAGGTAAATTCAATGTATCGAATGATCCGGAGAAGGGCGGCATTGGGGCGTAAGATGAGGGGTGGGTAACATTTCTGCAAATTACTTTTCGTTTGTTTGAATGATTCGGATTCAATTAAAATCAACGGATATTGAGTGTGCGACTATTAGCGGAGAATCCATTTGTCGTGGAAAGAGTGAGAGGACTGTCGAAAGCATGCGAGGGTGGTAAGCGGTGTTCGAGGGGGCGGCTAGAAATTTATATGCCGTCGCTGTTTCAGTGGTCACACACGCAAAGAATGAGTAATAACGCCAATAAATTCGGGACCGTCTGGAGCAGCGCCTCCTCCTCTCTCCTCTACCCCTTAGGACAATCTTGATAAAAAGACCTATAGGAAGGGGGGGGTCTTGGTTTGTATTTAGTGTGGTCGACACTGAATCGCGTGTCCGATCCCCGTTTCTGTTTTTAACCTTTCGTTCCCCAGGTGCGCGCCCCAAGAAAAACGCCGCCCGCACGAAACCAAAGAAACTCGAATCACAAGAAAATTACATGCAACTTGAATTAATCAATATCGTCATTACTATTATTACATTCCTTTTAAAATATTATAGTGAAAAAATAAACCCAATTTTAACTTTATTTAACATTTATATTTGATTTCATTTGCAATTAAAAAAAAACTTAAATGTTTTTAATAATTGGAATTATTACTACGTATTTATTAACTTAATTATTAAAAAAAAAATAGTTTCATTTCTGAATGAATAAGAAAAGGGACCTTTTTAATTATATAATATATAAGTACAATGGAACCTCGCTTAACAAGTTTAATCCGTTAAATTCTCGGATTTTTACTCGTATAGTGAAACATTCAAAAATACACAAAATATGTGTACACAAGTTATAAAAGTCACTCGTTATGCGGAACGTCGCTCGTTAAGCGAGTCATTTTTCTTACAATTTACTTTGCTTGTTAAGCAGTATTTGCAGTATTTGCTTTCCACTAAATGAAATTACCCGGCGTATCCATCATATATATATGTATATAAATTTTAAAAATGTATATTTAGTTGCCTATAATAATTATATAACAAAATTCGTTACCAATTTGAAAATTTTATATTTTATATTAAATAAACTGTTGCAGTAAAACTAAATGCAATTATTTAATTGATGTTCAATAATTATTTACATCTACGGGATTTAGTGAATGAATTCGTGATTGATAATTGGAGGTATTTATATCGCCCTAGTATTTATAATTAAGGGGATTAATTTGTGTATACAATATAATAATTAAAATGCGAATTTTGAAGCATCAATATTACGACTGACGTTAATTTAACACAAAAAGGTGTTTATAATAATTAGTTTATCACGTAATTATTTTAGAGAAATACAATTTGTACTTTATATCTAAATGTATCATAATTCGCTGATTTTCAGATGTTACAATTTATATCAGGAGTGGTCAAACTGAGACTCTTGAAGAGCTGCATGCGGTGGCTCATCTAGCCACAACAAAACATAAATATTATATATATTTTATATTATGATTGAGATTTTTTTAAAAATTATTATACCAAAAAGTTTAGGCTCTTGCTGTAAAAAGTCTGGCCACCCCTGGTACTCACAAATAAATGAAACCTGTGGGTAAAATGACCCGATTATTAAATATTAAAAAAAATAGAATAAATAATTATTTTTTAGAACAAACACTGATTAATTCTTATTATTTAATAAATTTAACATCATTTAAAACTGGTACATGGGAAGTCAAAGTTATACCACTTTGAAATCTAAATATTGATGATATTTCAATAACATATTTGCAATAGACGGGTCATCTTGACCCGAAATACTATAGAGAAGTGCACTAGAATAGCTATAAAGTCAACCAGCACAAATAAATAACAATAGAATGCGATTGAAAACAAATATTAGGTGGGTCACTGTGACCCATCCGTAGTACTTAAAGTGTTAATTTTATATTGCTCAAGTAAGTTTCAGTTATTCATTGATATTAATCCGATGCAAATATTGTTGTTTCTTTATAAAATTGAAATATAATATCTAAGTTTAAATAAGATATGGAAATAATGAGGCAAGTAAATTGCAATTACGATTTAAGAGTTTTAGATTCATTATAATTTTATATTTTTGTTAACTATTTCTATACTGACAATTGTATGATTTTCTTCACATTTTCAATAATTTTACGATTTCATTTTGTACATCAATACCTGGGGCGGGGTTTCCCGGACTGTTTGAAACCAGAACTATATATATACAGTGGATCCTTGCAAAATGGATTGTAAGAAAAATGACTTGCTTAACGAGCGACGTTTCGCATAATGACTGACGATGAGAAGAGAAGTCCCGGATTGCGCACCTGCTACATCATTTTTAAAACTTTAAATATTATGTGTATTTTTGAATATGTTTCTACTGTATATAAAAAATAAACCGCACAAAAAGAGACTTGATTGCTCAATAAAAAAAAAATTGTTATTTATTTTCAATATTATAAATATTTGGTTAAAATTCGGATAAGTATAGATTTTTAATGCGTTAAGAAATGAGGTAATTAACTTATTGTCGTTAATCATTTGTTAAAAGAAATTTCTTTCATAATCAAATTTGGCAACGGGTTCCAAACTGCGTTTAATATGAGTGGAAAAAAAGGGGTCGAAACGGTTGGAACAAAAAAATGGTGGAATCAATCATAGAGCGTCGAATTAAATGTCATTGTGCGATGGAAATTTACGTTCGTGCGTCGTTTCGATGCACGGGCATGTTTATCGGTCAATTACTGTGATATATGGGTACGATTGTAGAGTGAAGTGGAGAGAACCAGAATCGGCCTAGGTTTCCCCATCCCTGAAGCCTGGATTTATGAAGCTGCCGTTGTTCAAGATCGCCACAAACTGTACACACATTCTACGCGATGATCAATTGCCGCCAGTGGGCATACCAGAACAACAACCACTTTGTATTTGACAACAAACGAATTGAACGTTTGCATTCTCTCCCCGAGGCCCATTGTCCGAACAAATGGAGGACTCTCAGCCCTTTCGACTTTACTTCTGATCCTACTTTTTTTTTTCGTCTGCTACACCAACAAAACGCACCACGAAATACCTCTAAATAATTGAACGTGTACAAATATCCATGAACAGATATTTATCGTAAAGCTTGTTTCGTTTTCATTTCCATAGATGTTTTGTTTGCTTAAAAAAGATCGTTATTTACAAAACGTTAATTCATTCTGAAACATTACTTTTGAAATTTCCATTACATTAATTATATATAAACCAAATTCTAAGATTCTAACATCTATGAGATATTATTCACAAATAAATTCTTTGAAATTATTTATGATTACAAATTGTGATTAAAATTATATAGAATAAATAATAAACAAAAGTTAAAAATTAATTTTCAATTTTAGAAGATTATATTAGGATGAAATTTTGTATACAAAGAATGAACTTTAATCAAATATATATTTTCCATTTTATCCAACAACATTTTGCCATCTACATGATTCCACGCTCATAAAGCTGATGATAAAACTTATCAGAAAAAGACTGCACCAACTGCGATCTCAGGTCATCATAAATATTTCAAGTTTTACCATTTAAAGAGTTTCGCACATTTCTAAATAAATGGTAATCTGATGGTACAAGATTAGTGCTATAAGCTCCAATTATTTTCCAGGAATTACCAAAAATGTGCTAGGATTAGCATTATTTTGGTGGAAAACAAATTGCTAGTTTAGGTCATTATTATTTGATTGCTTCCTCCAGTTTTATTAGTTATTGACAGTAAACATATGAATTGATCGTTTGGTTCCTTGGATGCAGCTCAAAATACACCAGACCTTTGTAATCTTACCAAATTGATAGTATAATCTTTTTGATGCAATTCAGCTTTCGATAATGGTTTGCAAATATTGATTAGTTATGTTAAGTGAATTTTTTTAGTTCATGCTAATACCGAGAAGCGATTTTCAGTTATTGTGTGTGAAACATTTAACATATCTACAATCTCTAGTTATATGACGATCTGATTCAAATATGACTTTGATTTGGTCATAATAAATTTCAGTAAAATCTTCAAAAAAATGACTCTAAACACATCTGCTAACAAAATTACGCATAATTGTCTTCTAACAGAAGCTAAAAATGTCATTTTTCAAAGGACAAAAGGACAAAAAACCGGAAAATTATCAGAAGTTCATCAAAAATACCCAATATAATATGGATATATTAATTTATTAAAGAATTAAATAATTAATATATCTATATATATTTTTTTAATAATCCTGCGAATAACATTTTTTATGATATAAGTATTTGTGGAGGCGCCGGGTAAAAAGAAAGAAATTGTGTAAATTAAAGCAAATCAATTGTAGCAGTAAAATTATATCGTGGTTGTCGTAAAAGTTATTAATGAGTGTTAATGTATGCATTTTATGGCGTTTCGAGTATGTAAGATAAATATATTGGTCATTAAATGCAGTGCATGAAATGCTCGGAATCCACAACAAACAATATATACATATATAAAACGTAAGTTTCCCATTTGTAACTTGGTGTAAACTGGAATGTAATTTCGTGTGTGTGTATAGGAAGTGAATAGTCGTAGGCATTGCAATATCAATAGAAGCAGGTCATACGAACACCAAAAGCAGAGCCAAACTGATTTACAACCTTGCCATCGAGCTTTTCGCATTAAAAGCCTCGTCGGATAAAGATCTTTTGTGGCAAGTAATAGCTTTTCCATACTTTCCATTTATTGCCGTCCCCTCCTAAAAATAGGCTCGGCTTTCGTCAAAATGTAAGAATACATAAGAATATTCCCATCCCGAGTTATGTCGAAAATAGAAGCGCTTCGCAAATTAAAACCGTTACGAACAAAATGAAAATACATCGCGCGAAAACAGAAATGAATTTCATTCCCAAAACGTTGGGAAATTACGCAACGAGAAAGTTTCCAACGTTTTCGACCGACTTCCATTCTGAATGTTTAATCAGCTATACCGTTGTCAGTTTAAAGAATTCAAGGATAGGCGAAGGATATTCTTATAGGAATTGTGCGAATTGTTAATAATCTATGCTGCTTGCTGATATTAATTAAATAATTCATTGTCTTCGAAATACAACAAAGATACCAGTCTCATACTTAATGCAATCTAAAAGTCAGACTGTTCAGTTTTGAAGAATTTTCATTTTGGTATATTTCACAATGATTACAATATATTTTTTTTATATTACAATATTTTATCTGATTTAATTTCAAGATTTGTAATTATTTAATTCTTGTCTCCCTTAGATTTCATAAATTATTATGATGTTGTTTCCTCTTTTCATTTTCAAGGACAATTAAGAGATTTCATACAATATTAGTCTTTAGTTTCTTCAGAAATAATCTACGTTTTTTTGTGACAAGTTTTGTATAACAAATTGTCAAGAGAATGACATAAGAAATTGTATGTTTTATAAATGGCTAGAAATAAAAAAGTCATTACTTCATTGCAACATGTTTTTTTTTCTTCAAATTAGTATATTCTTTCTCTTCGGTGATTGTTATCCTCGTAGGTCTCTTTTGCTGGACTGCTAATGTTTCCTGTGTTGAAACGGCTTCGAACGTCAGAATCAAAGCTTATCAGCATACTAATTACCAGTAGAACCGTAAACTTAATTAATCTGATTACAGAGTCATTAGCTATCCGCGTTCAGCCGTATAATTATTTCGTTATTGATTGAGTGCGGTCAACGCAATATGTACACGCGTTTTGTGCGAAGCTATGTGAGTTTGAAGTCTTGTAATTTGAGTAAATTTACGTACGTTTAACAAACCTATCTGGAGTTTGTGTGGTTACAACTTTCGTCTTGTAATTTGTGTAAATGCGGATGGGTGATAGAGGGTTGGACTTACCCGACGGTAACATCAAAGATGTTACTTCCGACGGAAGAGGAGACGGCCATGTCACCGAAGCCCTTTCGTGCAACAATGACGGAGGTAATCAGATCCGGGATGGACGTGCCGGCCGCAAGGAAGGTCAGTCCCATCACTTCCGGTGGAATCCTTATGGTGTCTCCAACCATATTCGCCCACCAAACCATCAGGTACGAGTATGCTGCTATCCATAGGATACTTCCTATGAACGTGACGGGAAAGAATTTTTTACCTGCACAAAAATAACGACATGAAGTTAGATCTAAGCATACGTAATTAATTAATTAATAAAAACAATAAACAAATATTGGTCTTTTTGACCTTCGATGGATGGAATAGATATCATTAAAAATTAAATCGAATTGTTTACATGTACAACATGAATAAAAAGTATTGGTCTTTTTTTCAAAGTTTTTTAGATTCTAAAGCTTAACACTTAACTTAACACAAAAGTCTTTTTGAAATATTTGTAAATAAGATTATACTACTATTACTTATCAAGAGAAATTCAGCAACTGTTTGTGTGTCAAAGTGAAATAATAATTTAAAAAAAAAACTAACATTTATTGTACAAAACAGAATAAATTGACTATTATTCAAATATTTTGTGACTGTTCGAGAAAACTTTGAAATTATTATGTAAATAGATTTTATCAGTATTAAATTGAGGATGTTTCTCGTTGAAGCAGTCTCAGTTTCTTGTATAATATGTGAAGTGGCCTTCGTAGTATGGTCGTTGGTTTTCATGAATGCGGCACCGATAAACCCGCTAAATATTTATAAATTACAGGCAGCTGATGTTGCAATCTCTGATGAGCCATTAAAGAGCTATAAGAGGATGGAAAATGGGGGCCATGAAGTGAAACGCAAATTATGCATGGTCCGCACATCTAGCGCTTCGTTTACCACCACTACCACCCCTCTTCTGCGCCCCACGCTAATAACTTGCTCCCCGCTCGCCAATTATTGAACCATTAATCCGACGGCAAATAATTAATAATGCCCCAAAAGCGGAGCTGCGGTGGCGGATGTTTTGTGCGAGATGGGAGTGAGGTTTTGAATAGATGAATTTCATGAAAAATTGAAACGTCGATAGTGGTTAGATATGGTAATTTATGGTAATTACAGGAGATCGCGTTTTTAGATAATTTTATTAACATCGGGTCATTTCACTTCAGATTCAGACATCGTTACCTAAACCTAATTGATTCATCAAAATCTGATTCTTTATTTAATTATTAAAGAAAATATAACAATTTGTCAATGAAGTTCATATTATAACTATTAACTTATTACTTATATTATTATTTATTTAAAATACTTAATACTCAAAGTTATTACTAAAAGACTAACATATCTTTATTACGGTAATTGTACGTTAATATGATTGAATATTAACAATCAATTATAATAAATCTAAAATTTGTAATTAAACGTCATTCCCATTAGCTTCCTCTTAAGACCAATGAAAAATATTATGAATTATATTTATATATATTTGTTCACACTTTCAAGTATTTAAATAAAAAGTATAAAATTTAGAAAAATCTATACAATTAAATCTAAAAAATTTTTCCTTGCATAATTTAATAATATATTTTAATCTATGTCTCTTCTTTCTCCATTTTTCAATATCGACTATTATAATTAGTTGATTTTTAGTAATTAATAAATAACTTACAAAAAATTGCTATTTTTTTATGAAGTAATAATTTTATTTACAATCTATTCAATATGAACAATAAGAAAAATTAACCTGTTTTTTTGTTTTGTCGTTATCATAGCCAGAACGTATGTATGTGATTCCAGAACATCTTCGTATATCTGTTACTAAACATTGCTATTGAACACTCGACCAGTTCTATATGGAGATTTTCATATATTTATTAGTATATTCTTGATGAACTGTGGTGCTCTGATATTATTTCTTAGGAATTTTAATTTGCATATTAGAAATTTGTTCTCCATCGATAATTCCTATCGCTTCCCTAATAATCAGTACAGATTTCTAAGCCTTTTGTTGAGATACATTTGTCTTTCGTTGATTTGGGAAAATCTTAGCCATATTTTCATGCTATTTGAGATATTTTGTTAATTATTTTATATTCTGAAGATAATATTAATTGTTTATAATGTTTATTATTATTTCATTACCTATGAACTTTTATAAAAATCAATTTGAATAGGTTCATTAATGTTTATCGCTTATTAAAGTATTCAAATGTTATCAAATCAGAATAATAATAGTGTAAAAAAGCAAATTTTAATGATGATAGGAGAACAATTCGTATATAATTGCTTAATAATTGATAAATAGCTAATGCATCATAAATTATAAAATGATTGCAGTCATTATGTAAGCTTTCAGTGAATATGGATCAGTAAACTCTTTAATATTAATAATTTCATCTTTTTTTTCAACAATATTTTTTGCAAATTATTTTTATTACTTTTCAAATTAATTGATTGTTTACTACCTGAAAACATTGGGAGCCGCATGTAGAGACTTCTGCTTTGTTTTTAAAGAAATAATTTGTTTTTATCAATTCATTTTTTCAGTGATTAAAACAATCTTAAAAACAAATAGTAATTAGAATTGATGTAATCTTTATTGAAATATATGATAATCAGAAAGTAATTCAATTAAATCCGTAGCAGATATGATTTACGATTCTTACTTTGGGGCCGAAGAAATTGGGGTTCCACTCGAAAAACCAAGCAGTATTTAAATTTATGGAAATTACGGCGATTCCAATGCGATAATTCAGTTAGCCTTAGAGCGGTCATGCGACTTTTTTTTTTATATCCCCACAAAACTCCAACAAACAGCAACAACGAAACGAACTAATTTCGTGTACGTCGCGTGAATCAGTCCAATTTCTTGTCGCGATTAAATAACTTCATTTTCTTAACGATAAAAGAAAGTCGAGTCGCCTTGAAACGCACTTAATAACTAAAACGCGAGGAAGAGAAACGAAACAAAATATAAAACCGCAAGTTTTTTTTCCAAGGAGATTATCTATGGGAAACTTCAAAGTGGAGGCTTAATTCAAGCCGCCCTTGAAAATATAATGCATATATACGTGGGGGAAGGAAAAATTCGATGCATCGGCGTTTCTCCGTTTTCCATTTTTTTTTGTATTGCTTTTATACATCATCAAACGAAGATGCTTTATGCACGATATGTAAGCGTTTCCTTTTCATTTCTTGTGCGTCTAAAGACAAAAAGAAAGAATGAATCCTTTGAAACATCCCCAAAAAAAAACATAACATTTGCGACTCAAGGAAAAACTAACGAACGGCCGAAGGGAGCGAATCTCGAGAGGATTGCTTGCTATTTTGTAATTACAACAACTGAAAAAATATATGTACATACAGGAAACTCCTTCGCTGCAAATTACTCTTGCCCTCTTTATTTAACGAAGCGTTTGCGGAAATTACGTCAGATCTACTTATGGTGGATATTACTTCAAAGTTAGTTTCATTTCTCATCAACTCTCCGACTTGAAAATAACGTATTTATAATTATTTGAATCGTGTACTTTAATTATGTGGCTGCACCGGGTTTTTCTTTATTTTTTTTTTGGTACAAAATCAAATTAGATAATTTCTAACATATTTTTATGTAAAATTAAATTGGATAATTGTAAATAAATCTATTAATATTCATTGTCTATATTTATCATTAACTATATAACTATAGATTTATGTAATAATTCATATACTTTAGTTAAGTTTTGAAATGTTTGTGTGGGGAAATTAAATATATTTAAATGAATATGGTAATTCGATTCTTGTCTTTTCAATGATATCTATAAAAATTATAATTAAATGAATATTTTATGTACTTATTACTACTTTTTACTATTTCGTGGATTCACCTGGTTTCTTTATTATTTTTTTTGCGTTCAAAATCAAAACATTTTATATTTTTCATTAACTATCTAAAAATAGAGTTATATAATAACTTTCAAAGTATGGAATATTTCAACAACTATTGGAGTAAAAGTCAATTTATATCTTAATTAAAAGAATATTTTAAGGTCTTAAACCATTTGGTGAATGCGCCAGGTTTCTTTGGAGGCAAATCAATTTGGATAATTAAAAATACATCAACAGTTTAAAAACAAGTTGTGTTATAAATTCATAATTATTTGTGTACCTAAACTATTTGATGGAATACTGTATTTAACATTTTTATGCAAAATAAAATTAGATAAATAAATTGCAAATAAATCTATTAATATTGACTTTTTAATACTTTTCTACAAATTTATATCGTTACTTTATGAAAAATTAATGTAGTTATGTTAAGTTATTAATGTTTTGTATATATATTACAGTTTGATATTTGTAAATGAATCTATTGATATTTAATTCTAGAATTTTTCATCAACAAATCAACAATTATAATTATTTGAATCATTTGTGTATTATTGTAGCAGGATTCTTAAGTTCTTACATTTTTGTAGATAAATATGTTAATATTTCATTTTGTCAGTGCTTAATAATTATCTCAATACATTTCATTTTTTATTGAGTTTAACATCATTTCATCTGCTTACAAAAATTGGTAACTTCGTCATTTTTTTTTTATTTTTTTTTGATAATTTTTGATAATTGAAAATGATTTTTACTTCAATTCGTTTGAAATTGTAGTATTCAAATTTTTAGGTGGAAATTGTATAAATGCAAATGCATCTAAGAAATATAAGAATATTTATATTATATTTCATGCAGGGATAATTTTTTTGTTAAAATTTAAAATGTGCAAATGTATAAGTGAAAAAAATGTGGATATTTACCTCTGGCCGTGCGAGTATCTGGCAAGGTAATCCACAGTGGAAAGACGATGGGCGCTAGAAGTATGTAGGTGATCCTCTTTCGAGCGCCCGACGGCCAGCTCATATCTAACGGATCCGGAGGATTCTCTTCGGATTCACCAACCTGCAGACACACCACTGCTTGAGAGGTCAGAGACTTACGTGCACGCACCGACGACATGCGCCGCTAGAATTCCGAAAAAAGAAGAAAACAGAAACATCGTCAGACACACCGCACCCCAAACTCGCCAAAAACAAGAAACGAAGATAAAAGAAAAAGATAGACAGAGAGAGAAAGAGAGAGATAGATAGAAAGAAAGAGTAAACAGAACGTTAGAGGAGCAGGAAGAGATACTCGCTATCTCGAATCTAAGACGTTACGTAATCATGCTGACAAAACAAACAAACGAACAAAGAGGAACTACTTGGTGGTAAATGGGTCTTGGACTTGTCTAACTAAGTGTGTTTCGTGTTTTGTTGTGTTCAAGTTCAATTACGTGAGTTGCATTTGTGTTTCGCTACTGCTACATAACTTCAACTAAACATAAAAACGATTTCATTATTATTATTATTTGAGTAATTAGTTTGTAAACTAATAATTATAAATCAAAATAATAATTTAATGAATTGTTTATTTGTTAATATATACAATTAGTTTTATTATATAAATTATTTGTATTATCTACCATTATTTATTTGCGTTTTATTTTTATTCTAGCAACAAATGGTTTAATTTTGTAAAATAATGATAACAATATTATTATAATAATTATTGAACTTTTATAAATTCAACAATAAGTAAAAGCGAAACTATTTATATTCTATGTTTTCTATTAAAAAAAACTTATGTATAAATTACTTATTTATAAAACTTAATTGAATTTCATTATTTGAGATAAAACAAGTATATAGTTGTCTAAAATTTCTCGCTTATTTGAAAGAATATAATCATAAATCATCATACTGTCATTTTTGTTTTATAGAAATGCAAAAGCGAAGCGACTTCAATTAATTAAATTAATGTAGTATGAGCACTTAACAGAATAGAACGAATATAAGATGCGTTGATAAAACAAAAATTGATATTCAAGTTAACCCACCGTTACTCGCACGGCGTCTATGAGACGCAAGTTGGTACGAGCCAATTATAACTTTTAAAACTGGAAAGGTGGGACACACTAACGATTTGTAAAAGCATTAGAGTAATGCATTCAAGGACTAATAGCAAAATATTTTTATAAGTGTCTATCAGACGCCACGCGAGTTGTAGTTTTAGAATATTTTACTTTAACATTTTTGAAAAATATATTGAAATATATATAATAAAATTAAAATTAATCATCTTTTATAAGTGTATTGAAAAAAGATTTTGATCCAGAAAATAAAGTGGATGTAGAGATTTTATAAAAATTAGCAATGGAATCAACAAAGTAGTGATGATGTTATATTTAACGGAGTTTCTCAGACGCCACGCGTGTAGAGATCTTACGAAAAGCCGTGCGAGTAACAGAGGGTTAATAAAAGTATTGATCGATCATGCCATGCTCAAGAAATGTCCCTAAAACTCTTATAAAACGTGTAAACTTTCAGCGAGAAATTAGTGTGACCTAAACAATTTGTCTATATATTTAACTATTGTATCTAGTTATAAACTTGTGTAAAGAAACAAAGGAATTAGAGAGACAGAGATGTATTAAATAAATGTGTTAGAACTAAAACAGTTTACCTTCGCTAGGCTTGTAGGGGATAGCTAGAAACAGAGGAAAATACGATTCGTTCGTTTAAAATTCGTGTCCATATGAAACGCTAATGTAATTCTCTAAATATCATCAAAATAATGTGTAAAAAGAAAACAACAACAAATTCACTCTCAGCAAGTAAACAATGTACGAAATCAAGTAAAAAAATAAACTAAATGTGTAAATGTTTTGTGTGTTTCTCAAATATTTATTTATTTTCGTTAATCCGTGGTGAAGGAAGTAAGGAAGTATCGATCTGCTGACCCTGGACGGTTATTTTTAAAATGCACTCATCGAATTTTCCGCCCAGCGGCGAAGACACTAGACAATATCTGATATCTGCTCAGCGGAGCAAATATGAGCGGTTACATGGAGCAAACAACTAAAGAAATGACAATTTTCTGGATGATTTTCAAGGTGACGTGGCTCGCCTACATGGATTAGTGAATGCACTGAGCACGTAAGTGTGGTGGTGTCACCTAAATTTGTATCAAACGTATCTCCTCTTCCACACACATATTTTTACAAGAAATATTTATAAATAAAATTCAATCGTTAAAACTAAAAATGTTGGGAATGGGAAATAAGTTTGATCAATAAAATACGAAGTGTGTATACTTATAATATTTAGCAGCAGTTGTGACTTATTTACATTTGATTGAAACGTGATCAGAGTATAATTTATTTATATATGTACAACACATGTAAAGCTTCAGGAATTCGGGGTTTGTTGCGAGGATCCATTACTCTCGTCGTAGCAAGAAAAAAATTACCTTGATGCGTATTTTGTATTTGGTTTGTTGTGTTTTGGTCGTTTGGGCGTCGTCGGTGGTGTGTGAGAATTGTAATTTAAAAAACAGAAAATTAAAAACATTCAGTTGACGAAAAACAAAGAAGAAGTAAACGTTCATTCTTCATTCACACAACGCTTCGATAAGTCTACTACGTTAAACTATCGAACTTCAGTTAAAGTTCAGGTAGAATCACTAAAATAATGAGATCGAAAGAAACAGGTGAAATGCATACAGAAAACATAAAATTTAAAATATAACACAATTGGTAGAAGGTGAGACACAATCAGTCCGGACGTGAAGCGAAAGATTTCTTGTAACAAAACAACAGGAGGACGCATAACAATTAATCAGGTATAGAGACAACATCAAAAAACAAACAGGGGAAACATACACATGAGAATGGAGAACATCAAACTCTGATTTGGGAATAGTGTGATAACATGTAACAATTATAGAAGGATACAATTGAATTGGAAAGAGAGATGCAATATAAAAAAGGGACGACAACATTCAGTAGCTTATTATTTTTTTTAAAATTTGCACACAGAGCACAACAATAAAGGTTGAAAAGGAGATGCAGACATTTAATTAGAATTTATATAAATATACACGTAATATAATCGCATATACAGAGGAAAAGAGAGAGAGAGAGAGAGAGACAGACAGACAAAGGTATTTGACATTTAACTCACGATTGTGTCGGGTGTCCATGGAAATCCCTGTTTTGTTAAAATAAATCATCACGCAGTAACTTGGCGCCATCAATTTAATTGGTTTCAATTGCGTGAACTTATCAGTCAGATTATCGGATTGGAGTAGCATTCATGATTCGTCTTCAACTATTTACACAACAAATAAATTTTTACGTGCACGTTATTTTATTTAGATTTTTTTTCCGACCGTTTGCAAAATACATGAATTTCGCGATGTTTGCGAAAGTGCACGGGACCTGCAGCTGATCGAAACCTGTCACGCCCGATGATTTATTATGTTTCGCAATGACTTTGATTTACGAAGCGACATTTCGATTGCACTGAACCAACAGTAAATATATACATATATAGGACAAACATATCTAATGTTAACAAATTTTCCAGTAATTTACATTTTCTGTAACATATTAGATTATTGTGATTATTTGTTTTATATGATAATACTATATGCATTTGGATATAATCAAATGTTTAACAAAATATAGGACAATATTCTCTATTATGTATAAGTATTGCAATTAGAGAGTCGAAGAATGTTTCAAATTTGTCTTTCCCGTGAAAAAATGAAAAATATCCGGGAAAATATCTAAATTTTGTTTAAAATTTGTATTCCTCGAGAAAAAAATATCTAAAAATATTTACTAGTATTTCTTTTCAATTTTCCTCTCTTAATTTAACTTTTTTTTCATTTAATTATACATTGTTTGTTGAATTTGTTTTGTTTGTATTTATCGGGAAAAAAAAAAATAAAAAAATCCCGGGAAAAAATGATCACAAAATGTTTACGAGCTTATGTATTTCTTTACAATTTTCGCTCTTCTTAATTTTATATTTTATTTTTAATTTAACTTTGATTGACTCATTTAGAAACAAAATTTTATCGACTGATTTTCCTTTAATAAAAAGAAAAAAAATCCCGGAAAAATTCTAATAATGTTTACTAGATTGTGTATTTCTTTACAATTTTCACTCTTAATTTAACTTTTTTTCATTTTATTTAACAATTTTTATTTCTCCCATTTAGGTTTTAAATTTGTATTTCTCGACAAAATATTGATTTTGTATAAAATGAGTGTATTTCTTTTACAATTTTCGCTCTTAATTTAACATATTTCATTTTATAATTAAACGAATCTCATTTCCCGGGAACAAGGAGAAACCCGGGATTGTTTTCATTTCTATTATAAATAATTTCTTTAAATACTAAGTGATAAATAAAATGAAATTTAATTGAAATGTGTAAATAGTTGAAGATGTTTTATTCAAATTATTGGATCAATCTGACTGAGAAGTTCGACGCAGCAGATAATTCGGAATGATCAACAATGTTGATGTTGAATGGAGAAAAGAGTGAATGAGTCTTGAATTAGTATCGAGAATGGTTGTAGCCTAACACCCCAATTGAGAATCGGTATGCAAGTGAATAATGGGTCCGTCCGTACGGTATGATGATATGGATTTGGCATGTTATGTCGTCGCACTTACCGATTCGAGGTTGACGTCGTTGAGGGTGTTGGCGATGCCGTTCGGCATGTCTGGAATGGCGGAGGGTGCGAGCATCGTCTCCTGTTTGGCCGCATTCACGTGGTTCGCTGCAGAACTCGTGGCAGCCCCGTTCTGCGGCTTTGTCGCATCCAGAAGCACCTTCAGCGATGCAATTGCGTGCAGCTGGGTCGCCTTCTCGTCCACTTTACCTACGCACATCCAACACCGAAACAAAAACAGAAAAACGTGTACACGGTATTAGTAAGATGATAAGCGTTCTATTGCCGCATCTGCATGCAACATCCAGCATCTCCTATACATACATATAACTTATGTATTGTTCTGGGCCTTCGAATGCAATAGGGAAGGTACGAAGAGAGAATGAAGTATCATATGCAAGGGTATTCCAATCCACAAAATATACCAATCGAACGAACAGATAAAATATCAATCTTCTCAAATTATTCAATTACAAAAACCAATATTTACTATACAAACACTGAATTCCTTCTTGCATTAATACATTATTATTATTATTAATACAAAAAAAATAATTATGAATACATTATTATAATTAAGTTTTATCGGTTTTGAAAAAACGATTTTTTTATTCAATTTATATTAAAAATTTGATTAAAAACAGAAACATTTTCACACAAAATCGTCTGTGTCGTAAAACAGGAATTTTGTTAAATACTTTGTTCAATGGAACAAACAAAAAAATTAGGAAGGAATTAAGTTTTATTCTTAATTTCCAAACGAGATGGAAATGTTTAGAGGTCATAATAGAAAAATCAATTTATAAAATATCTTCAAGAAGAAGTGAATTAATCGGAAAAAAGTTTTTAATACTACATTTTTATGAAAATTTGAATTAAATCAGTTTTGTAGAAAAGTTGATATTCTAAATCCCGTTTTTTTTTGTACAAAACCTTAGTTCTAATACATTTATTATCTATTAATTTGTGCCACGTTTTCCCCTTCACATCAGTATAAGTTTTCATTATATTTATTAACTTTTTTACAAATATGTTATACGAAATACAGAAACTCGTATATTACGGCTTCGATTTTTCTCTAATCACTAAAGTTCGGTTTGAAAATTCCAATACAAACTAAATTTCTCGAAAATAAGTACACAATAAATAAAAAAAAATTCTTTTCCCCCTCATACATAATCAAGTTTTTTTTGTGCTGTTTTTGTTGTAAAATCCTTAATTATCATTTGCTTAACTGATTATAATCTAAGAATAATAATTTTATTGATTATAGTATGTTTGTATCGTTCGATACAAACACAAAATATATTTACTAAATATTTAACTATTGATAAAATGAAATATATTTTTTTTTGTAATAGAAACAATTGAAACTTTCTGTATTAAAATGTTATTAACTTTTTTTTATAAAATGAATAATTCATTATTTTATTCCCGTTTCCTTGTATTCATGTACAGTTTGAAATCTAAAATCAATAATATTTCATACAAAATATTATTTACCACACAAACTTTTGATTCTGCTTTGGTTCAATAATTCAATAATAGTAAATTTTTTATTTATTTATTAAAAACCACATAAAAATTACTTGTTATTATCTTAATAGTCAAAGTATGTATATAAACTTTGACCCAAGTTTTTATTTAAATTTATAATAACTCTTAAGGAAACTTATTTAATTATGATACATTTTTTTTAACATAATTCAAGGAAGTATTTTTGTGATTTATTTAAGAACGAATGTGGAAAGAAACGACGAAAAGATTATGTAATTACTTAAGTTTAAAGTTTCGCGTTTGAAGTCGAAATGCAATTAAACTTTTGCATGAAAGTAATCAAATCAGTACAATCTCAAACACACGTCTTTTTTTTATTTCTATATTAAAGTCGCTTTCAACTTATATAAATATAATTTGCAGATTGCGCTAAAAAACATTCGAGTTTTTTAAGATTTCATATTTTTAGACGCGTTTTTATGCTAATTCTCATATAATAAAGATTACGTTTTATTAACCGCAGTTTTGATAGTTGTAGATTACTTTAATTGCAAGTGAATGTGTAAATTAAAAATATTATATGTTTTTTTTTTAATATTTTGGGGTCATTTGTTGTTATTCGTTTTTCTATATACTTTTTTTATGACTAAATTTTAGTTTGTTATAGTTATATGTAATATAATAGATTTTTTTTAAATTTTTCTTTATATTTTTGTAAAAATTCGAAATTCTGGTTTTGGAGAAAAGTTGAAATGTAAGTAGGTTTTTGTATAAACCTTAATAATAATACATTTATTATCCATTAATTTGTGTCACGTTTTCTCCTTTTATATCATGAAAAGTTTACTTACATTTATTAACAGAAACATTCTAGTTTTTTAATATTTTATATATTTGAACGCATTTTCTCATATAATAAAGATTACTTTCATTGCAAATGAATGTGTAAATTTATAATATTATATGTTTTTTTTAATATTTAGCAGATTTATTAATATTTACTAAATATTTTATTAATTTCAGTTCTAATTTCAAATTAGCAGAAAAATTTACAAATAATTTATTTAATTCTCAAAATTTAACATAAACATAAACACAATTAATTATTATAAACGTTGTAACATTAAGTTTTAATTGAAATAACAACGTTGTCTAATTAAAAAAAAAACTTGGTGAAAATGTACGTTGGTCCGGATACAAAGCATCTTGATGTGACAGATGAAATTCAGAAAATTAATATATTCAAAGAGAGGATCGAAGCGGGGAAATGTGTGAAAATAACATCTTTATCAAAAGCCGAGAACCTTCATTCCCATTTCGTGCCACCCGACATTGGAAATTACTTTTCCACCCTCACTCGACAGCAGAAATGGCTGCAAATTATTGTTACTTCTCGCAAGCGGAATTAGTTTCTTTTTGTCTCGCCCAAACAGTGAAACGTATTCCGGTTGAATGCGAGCATACACGAGTAGATTAAATATGTTTTCCCAAAGTGGTCTGTGTTTGCGTTCAACGTATTTTTTTTATTTCTTCTTTCAATTGAAGTTATAATAATAAAAGTAGCTGAAAAATATAATCGTTTGAATATAATTCAATGTAAATAAAAGGATATTTAGATAGTTGAGTGGATTATTATTATTACATTACAGTTGGTTTCAGTTTTTTTTTTCTTCTATTTTGATTGCTGTTGTTGAAGCTATTGCTACCACGACTTGAACGATGATGAATCGCGAACGCAAACAAACATCGGTCGTCGTTTGCGGAGGATGGGATTTCCCCACTTAAAGTGTTTTCCAGAGGATGAACCGGGCTAATGCATATTTTCCCTCTGTCTCGAGTTTGTTAGTATATCAAAGTCAAAACCTCTTTGAAACGCTTTAATGGAAAGCGACGCAGCACCATTGTTTCCATTTTCAACTGCGAATTGTATATTATATGTTCAAATTGATTCAACCTTTTAGTTTCTGAGTTGTAATCAAGTAGATGATAATAGATTTAGATTATAAACATATTAGATATGAAAAAATAAGAATTAAACTTTCATCAAGTTTACATAAAATAATAAATTGATTCTCAAACTTTGTATTAATTATTGTTATAAGAAATATTATTTTATGAATTTCTATAGTTTTAATAATTTATTAATTTGAGAAGATTTACAAAGCCTTTTATTATATTTTTTATCTATATATAATTAAAGTGAATAATGAACGAAAAATGAATGCAAACTCGTTAAAATTACGGAAATTATTGTATTATTCCTATTTGGAAATTACCTGCGAAAGGAAAAATAATTGCTTTCAAATGTTGATCGGATTGTTCAGTTTCGCTTTTCTTTCCATACGTATTCAGAATGGTCAATGTCATGTGTGAAATCGTTAATTTACGAACTCGTTAGAGATTCGGAAATTATTCTTTCATTGTTATTTGGAAATCATCTGCGAAAGGAAAAGTAATTGCATCTAAATGTTGATCGGATTTTTCAGTTTCGCTTTTCTTTCTATACGTATGCAGAATGGTCAATGTCATGTGTGAAATCGTTAATTTACGAACTCGTTAGAGATTCGGAAATTATTCTTTCATTGTTATTTGGAAATCATTTGCGAAAGGAAAAGTAATTGCATCTAAATGTTGATGAATTTTTCAGTTCCGCTTTTCTTACCATACGTATTCAGAATGGTCAATGTCATGTATGAAATCGTTAATTTACGAACTTGTTAGGGCTTCGGAAATTATTCTCTCGTTGTTGTTTGGAAATCACCTACGAAAGGAAAAGTAATTGCTTTCAAATGTAAACAGGATTCTTCAGTTTCGCTTTTCTTTCCATACGTATCGATAAATGCAGAATGGTCAATGTCATGTGTGAAATCGTTAATTTACAAACTCGTTAGGGCTTCGGAAATTATTCTTTCATTATTATTTGGAAATCATTTGCGAAAGGAAAATTTGACGAATTTGTTACAGTTTAGGAAATTATTCTTTCATTATTATTTGAAAAACATCATTGTTTCCAATTTGGAAATCAATTGTGAAAGCGAAAGCAATTGCATTCCAACATAAACAGGATTTTTCAGTTTAGTTTTTCTGGAAAATTTTCAATATCATGTAAGAAATTGTTATTTGACCAATTTGTTACAGTTTAAGAAAGTATTCTTTCATAGTTATTTGGAAATCATCTGAGAAATGAAAAGCAGATTTAATTGAAAATCGTATTTTTAACTTTCATTTTCCTTTCTATACGAAACGATAACTGAAAAATGGTCAATGTCAATTATGAAATTGTAAATTTGCAAACTTGTTGAGATTATTGTATTATTTATATATGCGAAATGAAAAGTAACAGCATCCAAATGTAAATTGGATTCTTCAGTTTCGCTTTTCTTTCCATACGAATGGTCAATGTCATATGTAAAATTGTTAAAGAAATGATTATTTTACTGTTTTGAGGAATCATCTGTAATTTTTAAGTTTCGAATAGATCACTAGAGAATGGTCAATGTCATGTGTGAAATTGTCCATTTACGAAGTCGTTACGGTTTCTGAAACGATTCTTTCATTGTTATTTGGGATTTTCAAACAACAATGATCTTTCAGGAAGCAGATACATTTTCTTAATTTTCTTTCTATATAAATCAATAGCTTTAGAATGGACACTTCAATAGATGAAATCGTTCATTTACGAAGTCGTTAGGATTTTAGAAGTAATTGTTTCATTGTCATTCGGAAATCATCTGCGAAAGGAAATATAAAACGTGTCGCACCCACAACTTATAAAAACGAAGTCGTTTTTAAATCTCTAATGGCGAGGCCGTAGCCATTGTAGTCCGGTCCTGGCATTCTGGTAATGCTCCTCCGCTTTGCGGGTTTCTGGATCTGGCAGAATGGCAAAATGAGACGCTGGTATCTGAGTATGCGGCGAAATGGGCGAAGGGAACAACGGAGGCAGAGGATTCCGGCACGAGGCGACCCTTTTGTTTCACCCCCACCTCCTACCTCCGCCACCGAAATTTTGGGGGATGAAATGAGGGCGCACACGATATTTCCAGTGCGCCACAGAAATCGATTCAACGCGTTGCTACTGCTGCTGCTTCTACTACAGCTCTTGGTGGTGCTTCTACAGCTGCCTCTATCGTATTTCACCTCTCTTAATACACACGAACATCCCACCTCTTCACATTCAGGAATCGATAAGCAATTGTTGGAAGACGCGAGTTTTCATTAAAATCTTAATTGTTTAATACCTGCTCTCTCGTGTTGTATTTTCCACCAATCCCTTCATTTTCACCTTCAGTGTAATAATTTAAAAAACAAATAAAAGAGAACAGCAGCATCCGATACAATAAATAATTGGTTTAATTCCATGGAACGCGGCCAAATTTTCAGGGCCCGTACAACAAAAAAAAATTGTATATCAATTTGCTGCAGCCAAACCCCGATTTACGGTTGCACACGCCCAAAAAAATACCCATATTCATTTCATCCCAACCCAAAATGCCTACTAATTCAGAGTACAAAAGCATACACATAAAGCATTCTGTTTGGTAAAAATGACATCAAATACTCAATTATTGGTCAACGTTTATCGGCATCAATCAAAACACAATTTTGAAAACATTCATCAAATTTTTCATCTAAATCTGTTTTTTGTTGCAAAAAAAAAGGACTTAAGTATTGATAAAATTTTAAACAACAAAATTGTTATAATAAATAAAGAATATGAAGAAGAAATAATCATTTTCAAATATTTCATTCGGAATTATGTTTTAAGCTATGAAAATACCAGTTGAAATATCAAAATATTATTATTGAATATATAATAATTCGTATACATTTCAAGTTGAACTCTTTTCCAATATGTGCTTGCAGCACTTCAAATAGCAGAATTATAATCATATTTATTATATTGATTTATTTCAATATATTTCGTTTCATTTTTCAGACGAAAGAACAGAAATCCAAATATAAATTCCCTACCATTACTCTTTACGAGCACATCGTGCAGGTTTCATCAGCAGATGTTACACGAGCATTAATTACATTTTTTTCTAAATCCCGACTTCCAACATTTGCATTTTCACTTTGTTTCATATTCATTATTATAATTTGCTTATATTATAATCATATTTCTTTGACCTGATTAACTTATTGATTTATTTTTCTAGGCTTTATAATTTATATTTATTTTAAGAATATTTAATTTAATTTTTGATAATTTTTTATTTATTCATATTTTTTTATACAATTTTAAGTAACTTTAAAAAAATTATATCATTGTACATATTTATATTTGAGGATGAAATTGATAACAATAATCTTGTTGAATATTTCAGTAATTTGTTCTTTTAATAAATGAAAAATAGTTATAAAGTAGGGCAATTAATTTAATGCATTTTTTTGTACGTTAAGGTCGGAAATTTAAATTTCAATAATGCTCATTTCATAAATCGCTTTAGATTAATAAAGGCTGGAAATGTACGTGCTTTCCCAATGAATAAATTCCGTGCATAAATCCGTTCGTGGGGGAATTTCGACCGTACCGAACCAAACTGAACTGAATATACATGCCACGTTATACGGGAGCACCGGATCGTTAAAATTACTAAAGGTTACATAGTTACGTAAAGTTCAAGCCGGTGCGTTCATATTTCAGGTGAAAGACGAAAGCGCACCAAGTCTCTGGCATTTTTGAGCTATTCCTGTCATCCCTCAGGCAACCTCAGAGACTCAAGAGAAAGTTTGCCACTCGCTGAACCATTAAAAACTACATGTTAGATGTTATTGCGAACTGACAAAATTGAGACAACGCCAAGTTTCATTATTTTTATGTTAAATTTAATTAAAAGTGAAATGATATTATTAAGTTTATTACGAAATAAAATTTAATTTAAAGAATTACATTTTTATGATTCATTCTATGCATTTCATAAATTGTATTTGAAACTAGACTTAAAACTTAAAAAATAATTATTTATTTGATTTGAAACATCAACATTTTGACTCAATTTCGTCTTTAGCATAAAATGGTTTTTTTTTAATAGCAAGTTTCATAAAAAAAATCAAACAACCGAAAAATTGCTATGAATAAATCGATACATAAATATTTACTATAACCTGAAGAAGTAATTTGGTTCAACTCCAAGTAGTCAATTCGAACTGTCGCCGGTTTGATCATGGCTTTAAAGATATTATTTTTGTGATCGAATCATTGGAAATATTAATTAAGTGAGAGAAAATGTAAACCTTCTACAACATTAAAACGTAAATATTGTATAATTTTTTTTCAAATATACAACCAAATCTGCACTCAAAAATTGAACAGAAATAAAATAATTTTATTGAGTGTATGAAAAATATGATAAGTAAGAATGTATTATCATTATATTATAATAACAAATGTTTCTATAAATAGTTATGTGATACGACCATACAACTTTGAGTTGCACAGTTTTCAATAAACAGGATATGAGACCATAAATTCCAGATGGAACTGTAGCAAAAACTTATTGGGATGTCGAAGGAAAATGCATTATGGAAATATGTTAATAAGATCCCCAAAACTGAAGCATCCTCGTCCTTCTTCATCTTAGACCCAAACCATTTGTCGGATCGCAGGACCAGAAAGTTGCCTACAAATTCGTCTATTGAATTGCTTCATGTTGCTTAGCATTCGTACAACAAAGTTCTTTCACAAGAGCTTAAACATGATTTCCCTAACACATCCATAAAAATAGTAGTAACTTCACTTATTATTAATTTAATTTCTATATACTTATAAGTATCATTTCTTTTTTTTAATTCATGAAATTTTGATATAAAGTATAATATTTATAAAAAGAATATATTGAATGAAAAAATTAGTTATTTTGTAATGAAATTGTTTCATGTATTGGTGTTAAATAATTGAATAATTTGTAAAGCATGCTATAATAGTAATACCAATATGTGCAAAATATAAACATCGCTAATGATAGATTTTGCGGAGTGAAATGCGCAAGGACTAGGATACACAAGTTGCTTTAATTGGAAAGAGATAGAGGAAATGTAGAGAGTAGAGAGTGGAAAAGAGAGAGAGAGAGAGAGAAAATAGATTAAATCACCCACTGTACCCATCAGTGATGCATCCACAAAACATGCAATATAACTGTATAAACATTGAGGCAAAAGGCAACATCAGTTCTCCTTTTGCATACAGAAAAAAAAGCAACAACAGCCCGGTTCCATTTAAATATCACCGTTGGAATAGGCAGAAGACATACAGCCATGTGAACATCAACAGATAGATAGACAGAGAAAGAAATTTAAAAAAAAAATAATAAAAAAAATAATAATTACTACTTATGTAAGAGACATACGTATAAGGAGAGCAAAAAAATAAACTAATTTACCAAAATATTTCATGTTTTGCTTAAGCCTCGAGCTCTGCATTTCCCTTCCATACAAACATAACAATATAGCTTTAAAAATTTTGCACCAATGATTAATTCGTTTCATTGCCATCCGATAACATCTCAACATTCATATAAATAAATCGAAATTACTCTAAATTATTTTTATATTTGAAAAGTTGTTGGTTGAAAGGTTATTGGTTGACGGAAAAAGCACACAATGATCTCAGCATTTTCGAGTATCAATGGCAAATGGATATGAGAACAGTTATAGCCAATTTCGTGATATTAGTGTATTTGCTAGAGCGGAGCCTACACACCGAGAGTAGAGAGTGTGGAATTAAGATATACCTTCATACTGACCATCATGAAGGGGATCGATGGTGTGGATCATCAGCTGCAGAAGGCCGTGTCGGAATTTGGCTCCGGTATGGTGACTAGGACCTGGACCTGGGACCTGCGGTGTCTCCGAAGCCGTCCTCGAGGTCACGCTTCCTCCGGGTTGCGTTCCCACAGACGTCTCGCTCGACGTTGCCACCGTACCATGCTGTAAACAAATAAACAAATTCACGTCAATAAATACGCCAGTATAACCAACATTAAAATTGAATATTTGACAGCTTTTGTACAATCAAATTCAATAAAATGCAACATCGCACAGGTCAAAGCTATTGGATTCGTAATTTAAAATACTTTTAACCTTATGTCGTATATATTCGTCATGGTCTATTGTATTGTGTAACGATTATGACGAATATATTTTGCATCATCATACATAAATAAAAACGTGGCACGCTTAAAAGGTTTAGTTCTTAAACTAAATTATCATTCTATCTCCAGACCAAATTATTAATTAAATTAAATAAATATTCATTGACTTAAAACGCGAGCTCTTGAATAATTGAGAAAACATCATGTTTTCAACCACCGCAAAGCCGACTAACTTTTAAGATGGATCAAAAGAAGTAGAGTGCAAAATCCGGCCCGCGGGATCAAGTATGTTTTAAATTGTTTATAGTGCAAAGCAAAAACGTAAACTTTATTATTATTGATAATAAAATTGCATTATTATAAACTCATCATCTGGAATAGCAATTTATATTGAAAATATTGAAGAGGAAATCGCAATTTCAAAATAATAAGATGATTATCAATGCTTGTAGGAAAATAATAATTTGTTGCAGTTACATTATTTTAATAGAAATATCCTAGTAGAAATAAATTTCCTTCAATAATTAAGTAAAATAAGAACACTGAAAGCCCATTTTTTGTTCGCTTTTATTAATCAAATTTGAAATGTGTTAAAGTAATTTAAATATTGTTATTTTTATTGCATATAAGTTGTGAGAGTGGTTTTCATTTTTTTAAGGTAGAATTTTATGCTATATTATCAAATATAATAAAATTGAAAAAAAAAGATGCGTCGAGGGTGAATTTTGTATGATATTAAATCAAGTGTTTAAATATGGTTTACGTTTATTTTGTTAGGGATCAGTACGAAAGTGGATGAATTCAAAGGGTGGTGAATTTTAATATTCGAGTGTTTGTGTGTGTTCACGAACGCGATGCGAATGCCATCAAATCGAGATAAAGCCCTCGTATTGATCCAGTTGTGAAATAAAAGTTGATGGAATCGCTGAGGCTTATTATCGCGTTACCAATTGCGATCCACAGAGCGTTTACATTCTCGCAGATCCAGACATGTGTACAATCTTGTACCGATAATTTGTCTTTTGGTGTGTTACACACGGAGATAGATAAAGAGAGGTGAGGAGAGCAGAGAGGGCCACTAACAGCGTTAGAGGAGAAGGGCTTATTTATGCAGACAAATCGATCCGAAACGGATTACACGGTTCGTGCGTTTCGCAAACAAAATCATTCATTACTGTCCGACACAGTGCTACAAATAATTGATGTATTATTCATATGTCTTAAGCAAATCGTGATATTTATATAACATCTTATGGAAATCTGTGTATGAAAAACGATAATCCAGATAATAGAATTTGTGGAGGCGCCGGGGTTTTTATAATCAAAAATTAACGATTCCTTTCCCCCCCACTCACTATTAAAATCGGCGCGCGCATACCACCAAATATTGACATTCCAAAAGTATCAATTTACAGAAATAATGCACTGTTTAACGCAAACAGAAGCGGATGTCTCTGAGTGGCTGCGCTTTGTGAAGGCGACGATGTTTGTGCTTGGCAAATCTTTAATCTTGGAAGGATTATGCGTTGGGACATCTCCCCCATTTTCCAGCAGATACAAATTGGGCGTCATTAATCGTTAAATACAAGCAGCAACACATATACACGAGATAAGAAAAAAGCGGTTGTTAAAGTGAGATAATCTCTCGTCGGTTTCCAAGGCAAATGGGATGTGAAAATTGAAGAAAACATAAAACGAAATTTTCACAAGTACAAGAAAAAAAAACATTAATTTTGCAAACATTATAACAAAAATTAAAGTTAATAATAACAATTTTAATATAAGCTTTTGTTAAAAATGGAATAAAATAACACATTAACAATTTTAGTGGAATGTCCATGATCAATATTTTTTTATATATTTATGTTTTGTATGTATACAATAAAAGTTAACTTTATTAAATCTATATTTGTTTTTCTCTTGCACTTACTTCCGTACATCATAAAAGTTATAGTTTATCAGTATTTCTAATTTAAAAGTTATTTTTTTTTATTAAAATTTGAAGATTAATACATAATTGTATTAGGCTTAAATAATAAACTTTGTCTACCAGATTTAAGGAAAATTAGCACAAAACTGAAAGTTTAAAACAAAAACCTTAGAGTGAGCTTCAATAAATTGTATAATGTAATGAAACACTAGTGTTCTCTAAAATGTAATCCACGTATTAGATAATTTAGGTCTAATTTTTTTGCGAATTATGTATTTTTTTATATAATTTACTAATCACTGTCTATATTACTTTATTTGTATATTAAGCGTTAATTCGTCTGCGAAACATTTCTTATATTTTCGCTAATCTGTAGATGTAAAAAGGTTGGTGTAAAAAGGTTGGATTATGACGAATATATACGACATAACCGCTAATTAATGAATGTTCTAATTATTTATATCAAAATAAGTATAGAATTATATTATCTCCGATTTTTATATTTTGAGAAATTAGAGATATGTATTTTGATGCGTTGAATATAATAACAGAAATGTATTTTATAATAAGTGTTTTGTAAAGATGAAGAAGTTGTAGTAGTTGCAGTTCGAAAAAGATATATGTATGTGTGTAATGTATAGATTGGAGAGAAGTTTCTCCGTAATGTCTTTCTCGATGCGAGTTAAATAATAAATCAGGAAGAGACCTAAGGGCAATAAAAATATCAGGAAAGAAATAAGTGGCGGAAAGTTTCTGGCTATCGATTTCCACGGACTTCAGTAGCCGACTTCCGAATGCAAGTTCTTCGGCAGTTTGCACATCGACATTTCGATGTCCTTCCACCAGTTAATTATTGGGTTTTATTTAAAGGAGTTTGGAAAAAGTTTGCGATTAGTGCAGATATTATGAGATTTTCTATCGGGGTTGGAAGGCAGATTGCAGATCCTCGTCGCAGGATGATGGCACAGCGTGACGGGCAGGCGCAGGTTCTGCTCGGGGAGCGCCGAAAGTGGCTTTGCTTTTGCAGCAGGATATAAGGCGGGCACACACACAAACCTCGACCCTGTTCCACGCAAGGATATTTAACATCCACTCCACTCTGCGCACCCCCTCAAATCGATAACCTCGTTAAAAAACAAGGCACCCCCTTATATATATATATATATTTTCTTTTTACTTCTTTCCTTGTTCGCTCTTTCTTCTCCGCCATCTCCAATATTATACTCTTTTCTAAAGGATTATCAACCAAGCTTGTAACGTAATTAATGACTACCCGTTACAAAAACAGACTTCGTTTCACATATTTATTCCAATTATCACTGCATGGACTCTTTCACACATATCTCAACGTGTCATTTTTATATTTCATAAACTTCTATTCATAAAGAGCATTCGTTTCTTTACACATTACACAAATTGTTAATGGCTAAATTATTGTAGTTATTTTATATCTACGAAATTATTAATGAAAGTAATGTACAAAAATAATATAAAGATCTTATTAATTGTTTCCAAATGTAATATAAAAACAAGGATTTTGTAATATTTTCTTCTATTAAATTCAATTTACTCTTTGTACGCAATACATAATAGTTTTCGAAATTATATACATTGCCTAGAAATGCAGACAACATTAATGAACAATATGGATTTTAGTAATAACTTCCTAGTGTGAAATTGTATACCAAATCCAGTCTTTACTTTAAATGAATTTATCACGTTACGAATTAATACAAAATATTAATTATATATTTTTTACTTAAATTATAAGAAATCCATGCGCAAACATAAGTTGTTTCATTAAAAGGTCAAAAAACTTATTTTAATAAAATTGGACTAGCAACATATAGATTTTTTAGGAAATAACACATAACAGTTTTTGCAGTTGGATCGCGTTTTTCTCAACATTTTTGCAAAAATTCGGACCTTTTCCATTATCAACAAGATGATGTCACATGCCATAGAAGTGGTGACCTTTTTACATAGAAAAAGCAGTATTACAGTTCGAATATATATGGTTTTATGGTCTTAAAAATACTGTAAAATTTGTATTTAATACAGATACGTTTGTACAGATTAGAAATATGAAAAATAGCTTAAATTTTGTTTATTCATTAATTTTTTTTTTTTTTTTTTTTATTTATATACAATTTTTACAATATTAAATATTTAATATTAAGAAATTAGTATTTTGATAATACAGATTCCAAAAATCCTCATTTACTTTATATGATCTTAACTATAATGTTCAGTAGTTAAAATAAAATCGTCGAGTCATTTTAACTAAAATACTCCAAGTACGTCTTTTAATTCTAACCACGAACGAACTAACGAACGAAATCTCCTCCACCGTTGCAGTTTTATTTCGGTGTTTTCTATCTAGGGTCCAATCTCTCTGGTTACGTGATCAATTTAACCCTTGCAATTTCACGTGATGCCGCTCCACCAGTCTATTTGCGCGTTTAAAATATGCCCGGCAATTCATTAAATTGAAACTAGGACGCACAGAAATAACAACCAAAAAAAAAACCTGAACAATCATTTAAAATATTCGTTCTTTCCATTACGTCCTCTTGATACGATTATTCACGAGACCCCCGATTATTCAAGAAAGGTAATTTAAACGAAATCGCGCAATTTATCACCTGGTGTGAAGTAATCATATTTTTTTCGCACCGGAATTAATTTCTGTACAAATTGAATCATTTATTGTATAGAATATAAATGGATTCGTGTGAGGTAATGTTGTTTCGATTTATTTGAGTTTGAGGTGGTAAAGTGATTAAGCGTTTCGAACCATTAATTAGGTTCCGGTTGGGAAAACTGAAATGTTTCATCGATATTTAATTATCATCTGAATTGAATTAGTGCGGAAAACAAGTTAGTGTACTTCTGTTTTCCACCGAGATTGCGGAGGAAGTTGAGGAATGCAGTTGCGGGATTGATTTTATGTTTGTTTTTCCGTACGCAATTGGAAACTTCGCGGCACGATCGATTCTCGAGTTTTATAATTGCATCGGAAATTATTCAAGGCGTGTCGAAACGCCGAAGGCGGAGTAAATGATTTGCTTTTGATTCGATGGAAAATTACCTACAATAATTTTACAATCAACGTATTTTACTTCACAATACGGATTTTGTAGATGAAAGAAAACCGATGGATTTTTATATTTTTTTAGGGGTCTATATCAAATTCCCGTCATTCGAAATAATAAAAGTTACTGTACGAATTTTGTTAGTATCGGGATTATGGTTGTCGTGATTTTGATACTGTCGATATGTTGATAATGTCCAGATTTTGATACTGTCCGGATTTTGATACTGTTGGGATTTTGATACTATTGGGATTTTGATACTGTTGGGATTTTGATACTGTTGGGATTTTGATACTGTTGGGATTTTGATACAGTCGGGATTTTAATATTGTCGGGATTTTGATACTGTCGAGATTTTGATTCTGTCCGGATTTTGATTGTCGGAATTTTCATACTTTCCGGATTTTGATACTGTCGAGATTTTGATACTGTTGGGATTTTGATTATCCGGATTTCAATTGCCACCGTTTTTAGAGATCTTGAAGATATTTTGGGAATTTGTGAATAAAATTGGATTTGGTGTTTTAAATTTAGATTTAGTATTTGTGAATCTCGTAGATATTTTAGAACTAATTGTATGGTTGTCGGGATTTTGATGCTGTCGAGATGTTGATACTGTAAAGATTTCGATACTGTCCGTATTTTGATACTGTCGGGATTTTGATACTGTCTGGATTTTGATACTGTCGAGATTTTGATATTATCCGGATTTTGATACTATCCGGATTTTGATACTGTTGGGATTTGATACTGTCGGGATTTTGATATTGTCGGGATTTTGATACTGTCTGGATTTTGATACTGTCGAGATTTTGATACTATCCGGAAAGTATGAACTTTCCGGATTTTGATGCTGTCGAGATGTTGATACTGTCTGGATTTTGATTGTCGGAATTTTGATACAGTCCGGATTTTGATACTGACGAGATTTTGATATAGTCGGGTTTTGATACTGTCCCGATTTTGATACTGTAGAAATTTTGATACTGTTGAAATTTTGATACTGTCCGTATTTTGATTGTTGGAATTTTGGATACAGTCCGGATTTTGATATTGTCCGGATTTTGATACTGTCCGGATTTTGATACTGTCAAGATTTTGAAGCTGTCGGCATTTTGATACTTTCCGGATTTTGATACTTCGAGAAGTTGATACTGTCGAGATTTCGATACTGTCCGGATTTTGAAACTGTTGGGATTTTGATACTGTCCAGATTTTGATACTGTTGGATTTTGATACTGTCCGGATTTTGGATACGTCACGAGATTTTGATACTGTCCGGGATTTTGATACGTCCGATTTTGATACTGTAGAGATTTTGATACTGTTGAAATTTTGATACTGTCCGGATTTTGGTACAGTCCGGATTTTGATACTGTCCGGATTTTGATACTGT